GGGGGGGGGGGGGGGGGATGGAGGAGATGATGATATGACGACCGGAGCCGTTGCTGCGCAAATTGCCCGTGACTCGCGATGATATTTCCACGGTCACGCTACTTCTAGCTAAACATAACACCGCGATCGTCCTCGTCTGTCTGCAGTGACCTCCGTTCTATCACGTCACTTCCTTGTATATTCTAAACGGTATCAGCAGTGCTTTCTACGTGCTCTGGCATATGTCGCGCCCCATCGTTTATCCCAAACCATGTGCAAGCCTCAAGGGTGATCTGGCTTCGCGACCAACATGTCAATTTCTCTGCACAACCTTCACCTGCAAAGAATTGCGACCAAAGGTATAACATGACAGGCTCTCTGATTTCGGTTTATCACGCCATCCGGACATCGCATGTGGTCGTTTACTCATGCCCTGGAACAGATTCTCTTGCTTGCGGCGCAGCCTCTCGCTGCATCTCTTCCTTTCTGTGGTCTGGGATCCTCATCAGCATAACAACTAATCTGTAGATCTGGACTTCTAGGGTTGTCTCCGATTTTGACTCTCTGTATGTACATGCGAGCACGAGCTCCTCGGAAATGAACCCATTGGATTCCAAGGTCAAAGCTCTGTGGCTACTTCCGGCGATGGTACGAACACCCTGAAACGTGGCCGCGTTCATATTGTCCTCATACAACACGGCGCACAGCTCGACGATAGGGCAAATACTACATGGCGCGCCTGCGGACGGACTTTGCGGGCTTCGAATTCACGCGCGCGTCTTACAAGATGTTCTCCGCCGCCAGCCATATCTGCTGCTTCTCGGCTATCTGACTCTGCGCAAAAGGTCGTCCTCCTTCCTGTGGCATTTTCCTTCGCCTTCGCCGGCAAACGTGGCTTCGACCGATTGGCTATGGAGCAGGGGCATCGAAGGTCCGGCCCACGTTGGCTTTACGGCAGGCCGATCCTAGGCAGCAGCGTTCTCGAGGCTCCCAGGAGCCCGTCACCTGAACGATATCGCCCGCCTTTCCGAGTTCTCTCCCTTCTCCCTTGGGACAGGAACAAGGGACAACACTATCGCGCCCCCGCACTTATCTCGAACACATCGCGCGCGAAGCCTGTGGCAAAGATAGCGTTGATCATTGTCCGAACCTCGTCGTATCGTCGGGTGCTCGGCGCTTCGCGCGCAGAACGGGACTCATCGAGCGCTTTCTGGTTGCCTGCTCCGGACGGGCGCAACTTGGCAAGCTTGTACTAGCTGAGTTGGCGTATCGTTCCCAGCACTACTCACGATGGCGCTAATGTTGGCGTCGGACGATACGCGGTATGCCGATCGCCCTGAGCGCCGCGTCGATCCAGGCGACTCGGGCCTGGCGCTATCGTCGCGCTATTCTTGGACGCCGCCCCGCCCGCATCCCACGCGCGCAGCACAAAAAGCCTCGAGTCGGGGCTTCTGCCCGAGGAGGGTTCCCTGGGGCAGCATATCACTGCCTCAAACCGAGGGGGTGGTCTCGGATTAGTCAGCGGCCGAGCTTGAGTTTGTGGAGGGGACGGCCAAACATGCGTGCCTCTGCTGGCGTGCCTCTTTATCGCCCCGCCAGCTGGCTGGCTTCTCTTTCATTGCGTTGCGCCGATCGGGCGCTTTCTCGGAGCAAGCCATCGCTCGCACGGGGGCCTTATCCACGGCGGCTGGGAGGCTATCGCTGCAGTCCTCGCGGCTCGATATAACGCGCCGTGCCGACCCGTTTCTTCTTTGCTCTCTCGTTCGATAGACGTGTAGTCGGTCGTGGTGGTGGGGGTCAATCATTGCGGTGATGCTATCTCTGTCGTCGGCATAACTCCATCCATCAAGATGTCTGCCGTCGCGCACACATATGACCACTGCAATTCCCCGTCGAAGGGCTGAGGCTGAGTCGGTTGGAGCAGCGCGATCGCGGTACCACCTTGTCGCCGCCGACGGGCGAACCTACTTACCGGTCGGGGCAGACGCGGATGCCCGTTCGAGAGCCTGTGCTGAGCGTGGCTGGAAGCTATCGAGGCCGTCTGTGCCGCGCTGATCCGGGCTGAGCCCGTGTCTCATTAGCTCATTGGCATCGATCCGGTCGGCGAGAGTCGTCTGCGAAGGTGAGCAGGCGAGCAGCGGTTGCGTCATCGGACGATGCCAGCCCGCTACGGAACGTATACGCACCGCACTGCGAGCAGAAACAGCAGGACGCTTTGCCTCCGTCGCGCAGGCTGAGACAGGGTGGGGGACGAACGATCGATCTAGGCGTAGTTACGACCCGTCGTCCGTGAGCAGAACAGGAAGTGATGGATAGGGTCAGCGTCGCCAGGAAAGGAAACAGCGCGTCAGCGGCGCTTCTTCTGAGCAGGCCGGCAGTCGCGCGTCGACACCGAGCACGCTGCCCAGACGTGCCCGCCATCTGCTCCTCCACCCGACGACGTCGAGCACGCCCTCGTCCTCGCCGTCGCCCGCGTCGCCGCCAACTGCGCCCGCACGCTTACGGCGGGCCCTGCGTCATCGGTCACAGCCCAGGATCTGGTGGCGCGCTCCCATCTCCGTGGGCCTCACTTCGGGAAGTTGCCTATAGGCGGCATCTCAGCGCGAGCACGGGCGACGGATCCCCTGCGCACCGGGCAGCTGACTCGCTCAAGCGGTGAGTGTCCCTCGTCTAATCTGGGCCCGTCGGCACTCTCCCACCCCCGCTGCCGCTACGGAACGCTGATGCTGCCCTCCTTCACCGTCACCGGCAGCTGACTGACCGTCCCTCCGTCCCGCCTCCTCTCCGTGTGTCCTTTACCCTCTCGGCGACGTGCCTCACGCTCATGGCCGCCGCCGTTGTTATCTCCCAGACCAGCTACTCGCCGCAGACGCCGACGGGCTCGTTCTCGTACGCGATGGCGTCCCAGGCTCTCGCTTCCTCCTCGCGCACCCCGCAACCAGCGCAGCTCGACCCCGCCGCGCCCCACCCGAAAACGTTCCGAGACCGTCTCCAGAAGAGCCTGCGCACCGTCGGCGCCAAGACAAAGTCCAAGGCGTCCGCGCCCCCCAACCTCGACGACTTTGCCGCCGCCTCCACCTCGGACAAGGGCAAAGCGCGGGCCACCCCGGATCACGATCCGCAGAAAGAGAAGGAGAGGAGCAGGCTCGGCGCCGCTTTCCGACGATTCGAGTCCAAGGTCTCGTTCAGACCGGCGCCCAACGATATCTCCACCCCGCCGGGCGCGTTTAGGTCGCCCGCTCATGACGCGACGAACCCCGACGATCCTCCGGGTAGGCCCAGCTATGGCTCGCTGCGCGGAGGCTCTATTTCCTCCCCCGCCCTCCACCTCTCCTCGCAGGCGATACCGTCGCCGCGGTCAAGGCCGTCCGTCGTCGCTTCGTCCTCTTCCACGGCGTCCGTGCTCGCCTCGCCGCCGCGCGAACCCTCCCGAAGGCAAAGCGCCCGCCCCGCGCCCCGCGAGATAAGCGGTCCCGCACCACTCGCACCTCGCAGAGCGCAGAGCATCACCGCCTCCACTGCGTCCCCTTCTCCCCTGCCGAAGGTCAAGTCTCGACCCGCCCCGCTGTACGAGGGCGAAACGCCTCCCGTAACTCCCACCCGCGCACCTCGTTCACCCACGTCACCTACATCGCCTGTACAACGTGCTCGCAGCCCGCAAGTCGACGAGTCCCCCACAAAACCTCACTCTCGACAGCTGGGCACTTCCAGTCGAGCAGCCGCCAGCTCTGGTCACCTACCCCTCTCCGAGCGACCTGTATCGCCATCAAGTCCCAGGGCGCGGTCACCTATCGACCGGCCGAAGATCGTCACATCGGGCCGGCCGTCGCTCGCTTCCGCTTCCACGTCCCACCTTCCCCTTTCGAACGCTCCGTCCACTCCGGCGAGAAGAACCTCCATCGAAGCGCGCCGTCCATCGGTTGAGGCCCGACGTCCGTCCGTCGAGATCCGACGACCCTCGATCGAACAGACTCGACGCGCCTCCATCGAAATCCGGCGAACCTCACTCGACCAGCGTACGTCAGGCGGAGCTCGCAGACCCTCGCTCGAAGCACCCCGTCCGCCGTTCGCGAACGATTCCCCGACGCACTCTCGGTCCGGCTCGCCGTCCTCGCCAACCTCCTACCGGCCCTACTCCCCTTACAACGGCCTCGGTCACAGCCGCATGAACACGTCGACCACCTCCCTCACCACGGCGTCCCACTTTGAGCACCGCGAGCTGATACGGCAGGCATCGTCCTTGCTGTGCAGGGAGATGGTCAGGCCTCCCGCGCAGCTCAGGAAGAGCGGGATCAGCGACAGGGAATGGGAAGAGGTCGAGGTCCGGTTGAGACAGCTGGCGAGGTTGGAGAGGATCTGGGGGAAGAGCGGGGCAGGAGCGAGCCAGACCAACCTCGCCGCTGGCGGTGGTTTCGGCGCCGCCGGAGAGGACAGGGAACGGCGGCTGTTCGCGGAGGCCCTCAGGGATGGCTATGTCCTGTGCCAGTGCGTATCACACCTGTTGTCGGTGGCAATGAAGCTAACAGTTCTCCAGGTTCATGAACAAGCTCCGCCCTGGATCACTCACGAACGCCAATGCCCGTGAAGACGGCCTGGTGCGCACGACTAATATCACGCGTTTTCTCGCCGCTTGCACGACGTACGGCGTCCCTCCCGAAGACCTCTTCAACCGTGACGACTTGCTAGAGACGACGCCGGAGTCCCTCGCGCGTGTCGCACGCACCATATTCGCGCTGTTCAATATGACGGAACACGCGACCCCTGATCGGTCCAAGTTTATATCAGGGGGCGGAGGCAAGCATACGCCCTACGGTACAAACTCCTCTCGGGGTACCGCCTCGACGCCGAACCTCGCCCTGCAACGCGCCACATCCCCTCCACCCAACGGCAAGAAGCAGCCTCTCCCCACGCTGGACGACAGCGCCTTCGACAGTTCTTCGTCCGAAGAAACCGCTCGCAGCGCCGATGCGTACGCGAGGGAAGAAGACCGACTCACCCCGCTCCCGGTTCCTCCTCGCTCCCCCCTCCGCACCAGATCCACGGCCTCTAAACCTATCCCGATCCCGGAAAGGATATCGGTGGCCGACTCCAACCGCGCCTCCGTCGGCGACTCGGTTCGCATGTCACTGGCCGAGTCGGCCTGGGCCGACCGGCAATCGATGGCGAGCAGCCAGGCGACGGACCTGACGGAGTTCTCGAATCTGAGCCTGCTGCAGGTGCAGCGGAGCCAAAGCAGCGGTCAGAACAAGTTTGGCACCATCCGCACGGTGACCACTGACGCGACGTCTTTTTTGCCCTCTGAAGAGCATCGCGAGACGACGGCGCCGTCGTCGCCGACCGACGAGTCGCGCCTGGAACTTCGGGCGCGCCGGTTCTCCAGGGAGCGCAAGCCGAGCGAGACGGCGGTGGTCGACCTGACGCGGGTGATGGAGGAGACGGAGCCGAGCTCGAGTTCAGAGGCGAGCAAGAAGAAGGATCGGACCCGAGTACCAGGCGCTGAACACGAGCGCGAGCGCGAGCGCCTGCGGGCGGAAAGGATACGCCTCGGAAAGGGCAAGTGGCCGGACGACTTCATCGACGCGTTTGGCCAGCTCCGGTCCCCCATGATGCCGGCGTCGGAGGCTTCCGGCGCTTCGACTCCGCTGTCGTCTTCACCGCGGAAAGTGTCGTTCATCAACAACATGGCCAACCGGGATTCGTCGCCGACTCCCACTCCTATGTCGTCCTCTCCTCCCCGCAAACTGGCGTATGTCGGATCTCGCGCCAACGACAGCTCGGAATCTCTCTCATCACAGCTCCTACCTCGGCGACCTACTCATCGTGCCCGTCACAGCGTTGACGCTCCGAACGTCCTACTCCCGAAGGAGATAGTCTATCGGGAGTCCAGTCCTGACTCTGCATCTTCGCGGCCCGGTATGCTGAGAAGGGCGAGCACCAAGACGGGAGGAACCAGGAACGGCGTGTATCTCCCAAGGAGCAGCCTTGAGCAGGGCCGAACGCCTTCGCAAGAGAGCGAAACACGCCGAGCCGAGGGTGGTGTTCCCTTCCCTCGGGCACTCTCTAACGAACGCTCCATTGCTTCCGGGCTAGGATCCGACAGGTCGCAGGCGGGAGGGTCGGCTCTTGACGAACATCCGGTGCCTCGCGTACGTGGACGTTTTCAGAGCGATATCGACTCTGCCAGCGCCCGCCGCAAACCGAGGCCCACCTCGTATGAAGACCAGGGTGCTAAAGGGCGAACCAGATTCGAGAGCATGGTTAACCTCGGCGTTGATTCGGGGAAAGCCAGCGCTAGTGATATGATTTCCAAGGACTCTTCGGATGGGGGTGCTGTCAGGCAAACTCTGGTAGTCAGAGAAGATGGCAAGCCGTCGACATCATACGTGAGTCAAACCGTGCCTTACTCTCGCGGAGTCTCCTCTGAAGTGGATTTTGCTAGCAACTTGGTAACTGCATCGGACGCGGCCAGTACGGGTCCGTCTACCGGGCGCTCAACCTCAATACCGGGCAGATGGTGGCCGTCAAACGTGTCAGGCTGGAGGGCATGAAGGAGGATGAAATCAAGCAACTCATGCACGAGGTTGAACTCGGCAGACGTCTTGACCATCCCAGCATCGTCAAGTATCTGGGCTTCAGTCGTGATCGCGACACGCTCAATATCGTCCTTGAGTACGTCGTGCGCGGTCTCGTTGTAGCTTCTATTGACCATGCAACAGATATGCCGAGAACGGCTCTTTGCTTCAAACCACCAAAGCATTCGGGAAGCTCAATGAACGTCTAGTCGCCAACTACGTTGTCAAGATCTTGGAAGGACTTCACTACTTGCATCAGAGCGATGTGGTACATTGCGATCTGAAAGCTGCCAACATTTTGACCACCAAGACGGGAAACGTCAAGTTGTCTGACTTCGGTGTCTCCCTCAACATGCGCGCTGTCAAGCACGAGTACCGCAAGGATGTTCAGGGCACGCCAAACTGGATCGCACCGGAAGTCATTGAACTGAAGGGTGCTTCGAGCGCGTCAGATATATGGTCCTTGGGTTGTACGGTGGTGGAGCTCTTTACAGGGAAGCCGCCATACGCCGAGTTGGACAACAGTATGTCAGGTAAGCGCAGCCTTCCGACCGTACCGACATGTCGCTGACCCGCATGCAGTCATGTTCCGGATCGTCGACGATGAGAATCCCCCGATTCCCGAAGGATGTTCACCAGAGTTGGAGGACTTCCTTCGTCTGTGTTTCCAAAAGGACCCGAAGAAACGGCCTAGTGCGGAGTCATTATGTGATCACGAGTGGCTCAAGAAGTATTGGGCTGGGCACAAGGTGAGGCGAACATGGTCTGTAGTTTTGTGGAGGCTCACGTGCACAAAAAGGAGTTGCGCCCCCAAGACAGCATCCCTTTCATTCGGCGTGTCAGTCAGGAGATTCAAAAGAGTCCTCTTTCCGCTCGTTACCTTGCCAGCCTCGACACCTCTGGCCAGGATGCTTCTCAACTGGATGAGACCACACCCAGACCGCTCGGGAGACGCGTTTCCACCGGCCCGACTACGCCATTGGAAGATTCGATTTCCCCTAGGGAGCATACGTTCGTCAAAACAACGTTCAGTAAAGGTCCGTCATCGACAAAAATATTTTAAGTTGATTATGGTTGTCTGACCTCGGCAACCAGCCATGAAGTGCCGTGTATGCCTTGAAGCCGTCAAGAGGAGCGCGGTCCTGTGCGAGCAGTGCAGCCTCATTGCACATGCCAAGTGCGCGCCGCATGCACCACCGACCTGTGATCTTCGCTCGCAACTTCTCATGTACGCGCAATACGCAGAGAATGGTGATCCCGGCAGTGCCTACGCCACTGCCATGGAAATCTTGGCTGCAGCTCAAGCAGCGGGACCACCGACAAGTCATGGCTCCGAACAGAGCGGCTTGCCGTCGCCTCGGACGAGTTTGGACTATCAACCGTCGCAGGCACCATCGTCGCATGGAGCGCCGGTCCATCCCCCTACTGCCTTCAGAGGTTGGGTTCCCTTCAAAAGATCCCGATCTTCACTATCTCCCGAGCCTAAGGAGACGACCTCGACACCCTCCTTGGTCGGCCAATCCCCATCTATCCCGGAAGAGAAGAAAATACTGCAAAAGAAACGTTCGGTGCTGAAACGTCCCTCTCGTCCCGTCATCGAGAAACCCCAATCGCTTTCGAGTAATAGCTCGGGACCCAACACGTCGAGCATGCGCAGTGCTGTCACGGCTGCGGAAAGTATATCTGGCTTCCATCTCGCCCGACCTGAGTCGGTAGCGACCGTCACCGAAACCGACCTTGAGCCTGTCAACCCGAACGCTGGCTCTGGAAGTGCAAGGACCAACCGTGCGTCGCACTTCACCACACGTTCTGCCGAGACGATGGAGTCCGTTTTCGACGAAGCAAGGACCACTTCAATCCCAGGTGGTCTGCCTCCCCCGGACACACGACACCACAAAAGCCGCGCAGACCGTAGCTCGAAAGCCTCTAGCAACGGGTGCTCCATCCAGTAGATCCCTCTTTTGTCATCCACCTTCATTCAGTCAGGAATTATTGAGTCAGTTAATGAGAATGTTCCCTCTGTACACTCGTGCTTCTTTCCTCCCCTTCCTAGTCTAGCTTGCTCGCTCATACTGTCCTGTTTCTCGTCATTTGTTTTTCATTTGTTTTGGACACTCACATACCCGAGACCTCATTATGTACATACCCTCACTCCATTCTCTCGCATTGCATACGTCATCATTGTGATACACGTCGAACATCACTGTCTTGTACACGAGCAACAATGGCCGAGTTGCATGAAGTAAACAAAGTGATGCGGCCTTGGCCCGAATGAGAAGATAACTCATAACACAGTGTCTTCCATTGAGAATAGCTGGAAATTCCTATTATAGGTTCCGGATGCCAATAGTTGTGCATCGCTGGCGAAGTCAACAGACATGACTTTGCTGTTGTCTGTGGATAAGGTGCGCAGCAGCTGCCAATCATCCGCGCTCCAGATGCGCACAAATCCGTCGTATCCAGCACTGGCAAGGTAGAGACCTGACCGATACTTCCATTCTTGCTCTGCATTTGCAGACTTTGGGGGAGGGCGTTCGTCGGAGGTTGGGGCGCCGCTCGTCGCCTGCATAGCAGGAGTGTCCATCGGAGCACCAGTTTGAGATCCCGGCGCGAAAGTCATGGTGGGGAGTGGTAAGTCGCTACGGAAGAATCGCACGTCGGAAACGTTCGATTTATGCGCAGGGATGGTATAAAGCGCCTTCAGCGAGCGCATGTCCCATATACGGATTGTGTCGTCGCCGGCGCCAGTAGCAACCTGGTAGCTAGGAGCAACTGCTCAATGTGATCCAAGATATGAAACATGGAAGAACCAACCCATTCGGAGAGAACGATATGCCAAAGATGCCCTGTATATGGCCGTCCAACACCATGGCGGTCCGGCCAGTTCGCAAGTCCCAGACGCGACCGATGGCATCCAAACCTCTAAAACACCGTAAGTTGCCATTCGCATACAAAGCAAGCTGTGTTGCCTACCCAGAAGCGACTAGGGCGCCATCATCCTGGAAGTCGACCGCGTACACCTCTTTGGAGTGACCTTCCTGGAGCAGAAGCTCTTTTGAGGTAGCAACGTCCCACAACCGCCACGTAGTGTCGAAACTGGCCGATGCCACGTAATCCCCTGACGGATGAAATGCAACGCGGCATACCCGATCTTGGTGGCCTTTCATGATAGCCAAGGGTTGATCGCTGTTCTCGCATGATAAGTGAGTGATGCAAGATCATGTGTAGATAATCACCTTTGCAGTGACCACAGATGGACGCTCATATCACCGGCACCGCTCACAAGGTTGGCAGCACTTTCACTCTGCGACAGAGTTGCTCTAGGATGCCATGCTACTCCGCCAACACGATCGGTATGACCTAGGACATGCACGGAAAGTTCGATAAGCTCAGAAACAGGGACTTAGCGGACAGGACGCACCCACTAGTGTCCGTATAGGCGTACACGCTGGCACATTCCAAAGTTTGACAGACCCCGACCAGCTAGAAGCGGCTAGTATTTTGCTATCAGGGGAGAATCTAACCTGAGATATTGGTCGATCGTCTCCAATTTGGGAACCCATGATGGCGAATCTCTGCAAGAGATATTATGAATCGCCAAGATTCACTCTCTGCAAGCATGCGCACCTTGACTTCCGCGAAGACCTTCTTCCGAATGTCAATGACTCTACCGAGCGGTATTCTGCTGTCGACTCGCTGTTGTGCTATACGTTTTTGAGCTCTGTATGAGCGGGAACGAGAGGAATAGTAAGCACCTGCTTGCGTTCACCATGTGCTAGTGGAAGCCAACCTCGGGAGTGAGAACTCGGCAATCTTTCTTCTTGCCTCGAGTAGTTCAAAAGACCCAGGAGAGTAGAACTCCTCTTGCTACCATTTCATACGTCAGGGCAGCCACGGGGTAACTCAAGATATGATGCAAACCTCCTCTTCGTCACTCTCCTCCGTTAACTCTTCATCCGCACCTATCGCGTCATCTCCCCGAGCTGCATTGATTTGCGACAAGACATATATAAGACGATCTCTGCGGTCTGCGGCCTTCGGTATGATCCATCAGCATCTAGGAGGTCTGGAATACAGCAACTTACACGCTCTCCAAAAAGCGTGATAGGCTCCCCTATCTCGCGAAGACGCGCCTTGACGCGGTTGTCGTCGGTAGGGACGGCCATGCTACGAGCTTTCTTCTTGCGCTCAAGCTCATCGAGTATGACCTGGTTCTCCATGCGCGCTCGCTCTGAGCCCAAGTAGTTGCCATCGTCCATAAGATTATCTAGCGTAAGTTCCGCCATCTTGAAGGTTGGATTTTGATTCAAGAGAGTAAGTATGGTGCGTGCCTCTGGTAGTCGACCACAGCGAAGGCGCACAAGCTTGAAGTCAGGCGTTCACTGCGACACGTGACTGCAGTCTGTTGTCCCGCGGCCGCCTCTACCGGATCCATTGAATGCTTAAATGGCGACCATCGCGTCCTATAGACAAGACGAGATTGTTGCTCAATATGGTGGATGGCCTATGTGACGTGAAGCATGTCGACTGGACGGACTACTCCTCATGCATCCTCATGTCTTGCAGCAAGTATACTTACACCCGCCTTACGCCGCTGGGAAGAATTCGGACTTACACGATGCGTGCCTGTGCGCAATACTCGGGGATAAACTGACGATATCCAGCTGTTGCCCATCAGCTGACAATGCTTGCGCAACATTGCTGTCGATGAGGCTCACCATCCTATCGCCAAATGTCTTCAAGACGCTGAGCTTGAGCGTGGCTGTTGGCTTACGTCGATGCTTACGATCGCTTACGGCATGGATTATTGAGAGGTCCAAAAGTAGAATACCTCCGAGCCGGAAGGCATCAAACGTATGAGCCTCACTTCCAGATTGGATAAAGCGCGCCTCTCTCGACGGGGACTGCAAGTCTCAGTCATCAGCAGCTTGAGCACCAGCTAGCAATGGAGCGCGTCAGTAAATCGAGTGTATCATGCGCAGAATGCAGAAGGTTCGAGGCTTCATTCTCCGAGTCTGACCTTCGCTCACCGCAGTGCCTTCGTAAGGTCCAAGCTGAAATGTGATAGGTGAGATCGAATATCCATATGATCATGGTCGCTGATACGTCGGAAGGATATTTCCCTGCCAGTCTTGTATAAGGAGAGGATGTGCCCACCTATGCCCTGAAGGTGATACTGTGTTTTATCTTGAAAGGACTAACGCTGACGACGTGACACCGCTTCATAGGAGAGTTGACTGCGATCAGAACAAACCAGTAAGAACAACATCTCCCAATCATGAACAGCTCTTCAACGTGGTCCAGATCACTTGCCGACAACGTCAAGAATCTCCGCGAAAATGTACAGACCATGGAAATGCAGATTGTGCTTATGGAGCGTGAGCTAGTTCGCCTGCGACAGCAAAACGATACCGCCAGCTCTTCCTCTGCGCGAGAAGGCGGTGATCTGATCACAGGCCAAACGCTTTCTACCGTGGTCAGCGACTTTTCTATAGTGGGTGGCTCGAGCCACAAAAGCTCCGACGTTCTGTCTGAAAGCAATACCGTGAGTTCAGTAACAAATTTCTGGCCAAGCAGTTTGATGTCCTCGTTTGCGTGCAGTATCTGGATGCTCTTATTCCCGTAAGTCGCACATGGACAACTGCTTTCTAAATGTGATCAACTATCCGTGCAGCTTGATGGAGAATTTGCATATGTTCTGGACTACGATCACCCTGCAATGTCTAAGCAGCTCCTGGACCTTCACAATGCTTTCCCGTTTGGCCGTGACGCGCTCGTTGATACCGAATCCGTCCGTCTGGCATCCCTCGAGTTGGTTTCCAAACTACCAGCTCGGGATCATGCCCTGCAATTGGCGAGCTCGTATTTTCTGTCCCTGGCATGCGTGTGCGTCCTTCTTCGCTTCATACCAACTTGGTGTGAACTGACCCTTCATCCGCAAGATACGAACCACTGCGCTGGAATGACTGTGAAGAGGCAATTCATGAGGTTTACACCCTTTCCATTCACGGTGGTCTACTCTCTATTTCAGTGCACAAACTTGCGGTCATATACATGATACTGGCCTTAGGCTCTATCGGCAAAGGGGACGACAAATCAGCGGAACTTTATCACGTCCTCGCCTGCGCTGCTATATCTCTCCGCTCTCTCCATACCGAGGCCACATTAGACACGTTCACCGCGTTGTTCCTGACTGCGCTGTTCGAACATCACCGTGGCCCACGCAGTGTACTGAACCGGCGCTTGTCCCTACTAGCCATGTGCTCAAGCGTAGGGTCGCGATTAGGCCTTCATCTCGACGGTGCAAACTTTGGAATTCCAGCAAAGGAAACTGCTCGCAGAAGGGCAGCATTCTTAGAATTTCGAACCTGGTGTTTGGTCTCGGTGGGGGGTTCGTCCTGAAAACGGGACTAATTACTGAGGCATCTGCAGAGCGTGGTGATGGGAAGACCTTCGGCTATTTCCATCCATGATGGAAACCAATTTTTTGGTCAACACGCGCCTCCGGGAAATGAGCATGGAATTAATATCGACTGTGAGTTGCACGTGCACTCGAGATTTCGAACTTGTCAACGTCATACTGGATACTGGTAGTCCACGAGCACAAGTTTGGTTTCGCAGGTATTACGATTGTTCTCTTCGCCAAGAGACTCTGAGACTATCATGCTTCATACAGCCCATTGTCTGTTCCCCGCATCGCAGATCATACAAGACACAGCACCGTCCACGCACGTATATACCAACGTGCTTGAAGTAGACAACAGGATCAGAGTACGTGCTACACGTACTTCCACGAGCCTATGTTCCTGACGCTATGCCACTCAGACATATCCCGTTCCTGATTACCTCAAGTCACCGTATGACTTCCCGCCTATCGGTGCGTGGTCTTCATCCCCGCTGAACGCAACAAGGCAGTATTGGTCGGGCGGCTTCAGAGACTACGGTGAGGCTTCCGTGGACGATACCTGTCGGAAGGTTCATGAGACCCTGCATAGTGCTTTTGTACTTGCATCGGCCCTACTGCCGTGATGCTTTGTTTAACCGACGAGGCCTGCCACTCCAACATCAGTATGGTCCATCGCTGCTGGCTGCCTGCAGTGCCGCGCGCCGTATTTATGCACGTAGTCAAGCGTTCTACCGCGCTCATCCTGACAAAGCTGGCCCCCTGTGGTTTGTGTGGCACTCGATTTACATGGGCTGTGTGAGTAGTCCTCATCGATGCCGAGTGAGCGACCTAGGACTGAACTTGCTCTCTATGTTGCAAGGTTGTAATGGCAGCCCTCATCGTGGAGAAACCGAGATGCCCACTTGCACCTCTGTTGATACGTGACCTTACTGCCTCGGTGGAGTTGTTTGAGCAGGGTTCCGCGCAGTGTCAATACCGCGGCCAGCCAATGACGGTATGCTTCATCAATCGCAGAACGACAATCACTCATACTCTGGTACAGCCTGTCCTCCAGGAAATCCGGCAGGAAGCTCAAAAAGCGTACAATTCGGCTTACCCTGACGGCAGGTTTCCTACAGCCTTCGAGTGGATGACTCAGGAAGGTCAGGAATCTAGCGCTGCAACGTCAAACCCTACCGTCCTTCTCCAACCCATGCAACCTCCGGTGGAAGGCGAATCCCACTCGACTGCGTCTGGGCTGCTCCAGGATCTTCTGTAGGACCACATATGTAAGCTGTTCGACGAGTGCGCCCAGATTGACGATGATCAAATATACGGGATCTATTGTACCGGTTTACGAACCCAAAACAAGTAATTGCACTGTGTAGTTGCCCATCCACTAAATCCGCGACTGCCGCTACGGGGAATCAAGATCCATTCACCCTTCCAGGGTGCATATATGATACCGCGTACTTCTGCCTCAGTCCGTAGCGGGTGCCCGTCATATAGACGGGAGATCCAGGGTCGGCCCTTTCGTTCGCCAGGGAAATCAGATGAAGGATAGTTCTGGAAGTATTCGACCAGCTCTTCGGGATTGATGTACTTGGAATGAGTATGCGTCCCGGGCGTAACAAGCCTCAGGGCCTGCTCAGCCATGAATATTGTCAGAAAGTAGGATAGAGGCGTCCGTGCGATGGTTGAGAGGAACAGATGTCCTCCGGGCTGATTATCCCAAGTCAGGCAATACATTCAGATGCCATGAGGTGGCACACGCACCTTTACGAGTTGAGCACACGAATGCAGAAAGGAGGCAGGATTGTCAACATGTTCTACCACCTCCAATGAGCAAACGACATCGTATCGTTGAGGGTCCTCGAGCAATGCTTCGGCTGAGGTATGGCGGTAAGTCAAAGAGCGGGTTTTTGACGAGCAGAGAGCAGGGTCGGCGGACGCGTGCATGGATGCAATCGCAATATTCGAGGGTGATGCATCTATTCCGACCGTTCGGCCGCCTAATCGTGCCAGACTCTGAATTACAACATGCTCAGCACGTTATGGGAAATACGAAAGGAAGGCGTACCTCAGAGAGCAATCCACCGCCGCACCCAACGTCAAGCACGTCCAGTCCTTCCAGTACGTGACCTGTACGCTGCATTTCCTCTGCAGCTTCTTCGCCTCGTTCTTCGCGAGTGATTTCCAACAGCTTTTCCCGGATGAAGTCCACGCGATGCGGATTCATCTTGTGTAATAATCCGAATTCTCCATGCTCGTCCCACCACCGCGAGGAGAGTCGAGAGAAATGAGCAATCTCATCTTCGTTCACGGACCCGGTGGTGGACGAGGAAGGCGCTGCAAGTCCGGTATGCTGCCGGCGTCGAAAGCAAGTGGTCAACGTTGGGAGAAGGTCGTGCCGTGCCGCCGCCACGAGCCGAATTCTGGATGTGCGCCTCAGGCCCAAGGGAGCTGACATGATAGGCGAGCAACAGTATGCGTAAGGTCACCAAGTGACCGTTGAAGGTGACTGAGAGATCAAAAGGACTAAAGGGGCACTGGGTGGTGGAGGTTCAGTGTACGCGTTCGCGCGGTCCCAGTCTTCCTGCATTCAACTTATGTAGATACTCGCACGAAACACGGGTCTAAGTTGTCTAGCTATCATACACATACATACAGTAATATGTTACTTCCATCCAACCAGTTGCAAGGTCCGTGAGATGTGAATCAGACTCTCAGAGTCGAGGCGGGTAAGTAAGGCAGGAGCCACAGTTGCTCAATTGTCGTGCTCGGTCCGTTTCCAGCGCCTCCACTTCCGCCGAAGTGCGCGCCTTGCCTCCTCATACATCTCTCAATGGGTCAGGACATAAGTCGCTCGCCCCAAACGAGACGATGGCGGTGAGCGCGGATTGCTCCAGCAAGCACTATCCAAGCCAGCCAAGAAGAAAGCACGAGACAGCTGTTAACAACTGTCAGAAAAGAAGTATATGGACGTAGATGACGAGTACGCGCCAGCATGCGACTGTCCTGGCCAAGATTTTCTTCTTCCGTGAGACAGGTGCATAGGGGGTAAAGATGATGGACGCGTAACGAGCCGGCATCGGCATATTGAGGAAGGCGAGTGCAGATACCAATTCAATGGCCTGCGACAACGGATTGGTAACCGGATATCATATGGTGACTGAAAAGCCAAACCTTTCGGCGACCGGCATCATACACCATGCGAATCTGGTGGACCTGATCTCGTATGATAGGAAGCCGCTCCGAAAGCTCTGTGAGAGCGTCCAGAGCGTCATCGAGGGTAGCTTGAATGTAGGGAGCATGGATCTGTAGAGCATGATCGGTCCTAGTGGTTGTAACCTGGCGGGAAGCGCGTCATGAATAGCCCCATGTTCGTGTCGTATGTAACTCACCTGCAATGTCGCCTTTGTATCCCGCAAGAGTTGATCCAGTGCACGGAAGTTTCCCAGCTCCTCCGACAGCTTCGACTGTGACGAGAATGAGCGGACAGGGATGCTGACTGAGACGGTCATCCTACCTCAAGCTCCTTGATCTGCGACTCATACTGCGATGCGCGCATTGACGCACGCTCGCACAGCGTTTCGAAGTCCAGGTCGATCGAGCTAAGCGAGTTTGTGATTAGTGCAGTGCGTGGACTACTAATTCGGGACAATCGCACCGTAACGTTGATGGACTCCGAGAACTACTGCGTGAACGACTACGGGGAGTAGGTGCCCTTATCTCAACTTGTCGCGGTCTGATGGTGAAGCCGGACATGGTGGATGGCATGCAAGCCGCGATGTCTACCGCACTCGAGTCTCGTACGGACGCCCAGCGCTGGCTCAAGGCCGCAACAAGACGTTAGAGTTGGAGGGGACAACCCTCCACAGAGGGGCCAAACGGACGGGGGTAAAGAGGAAAGCTAAGAGGGACGAAAATGAAACGGCGGGTAGAAGACCATTCCAGTGAGCAAGGGGCCGAAGACGTAAAGGGATGCCTCAAGGCCATTCGGCGTAATTGCGGGGATCGTTATCTCACGTTCTATGATGTCCATTACGTCTTATCACGTGGATACACAGCAAACCTGACAACTTTGATCAGGCATCTTCTTTGCAAGGTAGTACTCATGGCATGGTATGATGTCCAACAGCGGAACGAGTATCGCTATGGCTGGGCACGGCTTGCTCGACCGAATAGGATAGTACTATGGACTCTCAAAGGATAAAAGCAAAATGGGAATTCAATCATGCTGGCCAGGACTTCGAGCGCACAGTCTTAATCCAAGACGTGGCCGCGTTGGGATACTACGACAGACAACGGCAAATCAGCTATCAGCCTGTGATAGATCCATTCAAATACGCACCTCCCAAACCATCGCGCCGGCAGTCCAGTTTTTAGCCTTCGCCTGTGAAAGGCATCCTGCCAATGTATCGGCATCCATATAGCCGTTTGACGCATCCCCCTGAGAGATGTGAATAGAGTCAGTATGCCTTCCTTTTTCGAGACCGGGCAAATCGCATACCACTTGGGCCGGCTTGCCGATCACGAGTTTATTGAGCGGAACCCCGGTATTGGCGATTTCGAATACCGATGTGTTGGCCCACTGGGTTGACGACCTCGTGAGGAGGCCATCGCAATCGGTATACTCCGTTGATCCCTCTGCCACACGAGTAAGTTTAGATTCTGCGCATCATATCGGGACACCTACGATTGTAAAATTGGACGTTGTACTGTGCGAGGGCAGGATGGAGAATGCTCAGTGAGCGCCGCTCAGGTGCGAGGCGGTAGGTAGCGTACCCAATCAATCAAGCTACCGACGCTCTTGTCGACTTCCAGATAAGCTTTGCCGTTGTATGCATCCGGCGAGAACCTATGATGCACAGGTTCAGCCATATCAAAGACCCGAAAGACGGGCGGAACTTACCAAGGGGCGACAGCTGAACCGAATCGGGAGTCAGTATCTGCACATCGAGCTGATTTGGCGGCAGAACGTACGAGCATGTGTGATAATGTAGGATCCGGCCGGTAACTTGACTCGAAGTTCCGTCGTGAAGTTCGCCAGCCATTGTTCAGCCTTTCCGTCTCGAGCATCCATCGCAGCCAGGTCCTACGCTCACGCAGATTGTCAACAACAATAGCAAGGAACAAACACCAGAATATACCTCATAGTCAACGTCTATGCCATCGAGGTCGTATTCCTGGACCCACTCAGCAAAATTATCCGCAGTCTTGATAGCGTCGGCACCGGAAGAAGTCGGCGTGTCGGTCGAGCCAAATGCTGAAACCTAGATGTTGGATGAGAACCTGAGACAGCCAATCTGTAGCCGGAAAATGACTACCATGAGCTTGATGCCGGCGTCTGCATACTGCTTTTTGATCTGGGTACGCTGATCCTTCGTGAGCGTGGTCCACTCCTCTGCTTTGTCGTATGCGCCCTCGGTGAGGAGGAAAGACAAAATACTGGCACATAGAGGCGTCATCAAATCGACCCATTCAGGCATAGTGAGTAACCTCACAACACATTGAAGCCCTTGAATACACCCTTTCAGTTCCAGGCATCGAAATTTGGTTGGAATCAACATACCTCGACGGATGTCACGTTAGGAGGACCGGTGTCACCAGACACGTATTTATCGCTGTAGATCACCTAATATGTAGTGAGAAAGATATCAGGGTGGCAAAACATATGCCCATACCCAGTGTGGTGGATCGCTCGCGTTGGAAGCAGATGCAAATGGAACGTCGTGCTGTGGACTAGAGAGCACCACCTGCCCGGGACCATCCGCAAAGAAAGGGGAAGAGTAAGCCTCGGACGCCAAGAACGAAGAAACTACAAGGAGGGCAGCGAAGGGGCAGCGAAGTAGGCTGAGCATCACGTAGAGCGGCCAGACGGAAACAAGCCTCGGTCTCGTCGCGGCGCCCCAAGCAAACCTCTTCATTTATATCGAGACAGGATTTGTGCACTTTTCCGATCACGAATCGCGAATGCGAATGTTTGAGAGTGACGACGGTCGTGATTCTAGGGCGCCGCCTGGGGGCAAATACCAAAATCAGGCTGAGATATGCCCTGTTCGCGCTTCGTTGACGTTCCTTCCATGGTCATCTGCTTGTGCAGGACAGCAGCTGGATGCCAACGCCGTCAGCAATTCCCGAGGATAGGTAGGAAGCGGAGAGCGCACTCGGTAGCCATGGACTGATTGGGACTGCGCGGAGGTCCTGCGGGGATGATGGACTCCGAAACAAGTGTGAACGGCGCCCACCGACGTCGTCAACGAGCAGGAGAAGAGCAAACAGTGGATTCGCGAACGTCGCGGAATTACGCACAAGCGATCGAACTGAAACATAATATATACTTGCTGAGCATGAAGAGACGGTGATCTCACCCACTGGTTATGCAAGGTGCAGACGACGCCGCGAGGTGTGGGATGCTTTGTGGAGATGTTCAAAAGTAGCGGCGGTTGGGCTCAAATTGAAAGGTCCTTTCAGCCTACAGAGGCAGGACACCACGACCGAAACTTGTGAGACAGAGAACGCGGATAGCGGGATGTTCCCCAAATCACTCGCGCATGAGCGCATGAACCCGAGGCACGTCAGGACAGCATGCGCTGAGGACAGATTCAGGAGAGCCACTTGTGCACATGCGATGACAGCGGTCAACAGTGAACCGAGACGATCGGGGAGGCTATACTCAACGCAGAAACCGAATCGCGACCGTGAGGCCTGCCGCCTGGCCAGATGTGATCATCATGAACGCCTCTCGACCTCAAGTTCCGGCCACAACCTCGACAACGACTTCCGGTTCGACGTTCAACACCAGCGGCGCTCCTGAGCCTTTGGATACAAGCCGTAATGTCATAGCCCTGCTTTGGGTCCTCCTGATGCGCTGAGGATCTGCTTGACAGACATTCTTCACCGGTTCATCGCGCGTCGCCGCGTTCATGCACTAACGCCACGTCCAGATCTCATTCCCAGCCAGCTTCCTAGCCCGACACTCTATGACTGACTCTTTCATCGTGATCCTCGTACGCTGTTCCTCGAATGATTCTTTACGGAGCAAAATTCTTTGTATTGATGACCGCGTCCCCACACCTATTCCGTCCTTCTCCTCATTTGCCAACGTATGTTAACCAACTGCTTCAATCCAATGTGACAAGAGCCGGTATACAGTCTCTCCTCCTGTGTCTATCAGCTACTTCCTCGTCCTTACACAATACCGGTCCATCACAGGAGAGAGATTAATAAGTTGCACTATCTAGTATACTAAACGTGATCTGTGCTGCCGAAGTTATGCAACGAGGCTACGGGGAGTGCCTGCTCCGATGCCTACTGGCGCCTACAGTGGCTCCTACAGGCACTGCAGCATCCCCAGCGATGTGAGTAGGGAACTTCGGGGGATGCGGTAGGCACGCACATCGGTCATCCACGAAGTCAGCCGCGGCTTCAACGTCCCAATGCCCAGCCCAAACGGTGAAAAAGCGCTCTAACTGTAAAGCGAGTGCTTCCTTCCCAAGTGCACCCAGGATGGACGTGAAGGAGCCATGGCGGATCTATCACAAGACGGATTAGATGCTGGTCGAAAGGGCGGGATGTCTGGCATAGTGCTCGCCTTGAATTCCTCGTAGCCGTTCTGTAGCTGCGTCTGGACAGCGACATCGCTGACCGAGCTTTCATCGTATTCGACTACAGCTTGTGCCGCAGGTTCCTGAGATTTGTCTTGTACTTTGCCTCCGGATTTCGGTTGCTTGCATTCCACCGCGGGCCGCGTCGTCTTCCTCAACTCAAGACACTGACAGTTATTGACAGGAATAAGATGACGACATGCAAAAATCCAGCCCATGCTCACGGCATGAATCCAGAATCCAGGTTCAGGGGAGATCGTCACCATGCGGCGCCTTTGCGAGTGCACTTCGATCGCTGGAGCATGGGCACCGAATGCACTGCAGATAAAGAGAGAGATGGGTACGTCGGTAGATCAGCCGAACACAGTTCTCACTGGGCGAAACTAACAAGAGCTTTTGCGAGTCCGACCTGCCGTAAGAGCTTGTCGCGAGATACAGCCCCATCGCGGGACGTATAGAAGACGATGTGGGCTTGCTCCTGTGCATCCTCATCTCCGGGCTCCAGAGACTTGAGCGACGGATTGTATATTGTGAGATAGGACAAACACGCAGGGCTGTTGTCTAGCTGGTTCATGGGCGCGGAGTACGGACTAGAAGGATTGTACAGCGACTTCAACATCGCTGAGCGCATTAAAGCGCGCAAGATGGACGCCGTGCGTTCATGATCAGCGTGCTATATATATCCCAGGTTCGTAGAAGTTGCCAGCGCGAAGGCCGCATCGAGGGAAAATGCAGTGTATTGAGAGGCAAAGATACAAAATATGATCCAACAACTACTCGAGATAAATTCAGGTGCAACGTCGGCGGCACTCAAACGGCATCGCCTTCGCTTTCTGCTTCGCTATCACCATGTTCCTCGTCACTGTCTTCCCCCTCTTCTTCGCTTTCGTTGAAAGTCAAGGAAATATACTCGTCTCCCAGCTGCGCATCTTCGACTGTAGGGTGAAGGAAGGAATGAGTATTACCATCGGATTCATGGGATTCGGACTCCGGTTCAGCGCCGGAAGCGGTCTCTGCGCCTCCTGCAATAGCACGGTGAGCAAGAGCAGCCTGAACAGGTTTCCGATTCCGGTTTGCTCTGATAACATGCGGCAACTTGCAGCCCTTGATCATGCACGCGCCGGTATCGGCGAAGTCGGGACATTCGCGGACATGTTGATGTTCGCAGTCAAGCCCCTTGTCGCAGTAGCCGAGCACAGCGAAGTCACGGCAAACGCCTTGCTTAGGCCCCACACGGACGTGAGGGAAGGGGCAGTTTGTCCGCGTGCACCTGCCGGCGTTGGCGAAGTGAACGCACAACGGGGTCCGTTGCGGTATCGGATCATGCGAGAGAGCACAGGTCTCAGCCGTCTTGGCGCAGTTGCCTTGGAGGAATGGCCAACATATGGCAATCTTGTCTGGATCGTGTTGATACGCGCAAGTTAATCCTCGGCTGCAGGAACCTGGGCGGATGTGAGTGTCTGGGGCCACAGGAGATACATACGACACGAGTGAACAGCGACGGCGTACCGGTGGTGGTGAAGCGAGGGCAAGGCTTGTCAAGTAGCTTGCGACGTTTCGTCGACGAGCGTCCGGTCCTGATTCCAAATCCAGTATGAGACAATATGGCAGCGCTAGGCACAGAGAGGCAGCGACAAACTTGTTGTTGAGAGTCATATTACGGCCAGAGTGCCGCATCGAGCTCTTCGGTTTGTACGCGCGTCTATCATTGATCATTTGCCCATGTGCATTTCGCGAGAACTTATGGGTTGCTTTGGATGGGCGGGCTGAAGGCTTGAAGGGTTTCGAGACTGCGATTGCGTCGTTTACGTGCGAACCGGGCTGCTCGACGCTTGCTGGAAATCATAGGGAAAAGAAGACGTACGATCTTTGCGGACTAGACTGCGACTGGAGGACTCGAATGCGATCCCGCCGATGACAACGTCGCGTTTCTTTGACGGACCGGGAGCCGGAGGAACGGACTGCGTAAAACTTGGTGGCCTTCGAGCAAACTGGCTGACCGGTTTGTAGCTGGGGTTGATATAGTTTGCGAGGTGTGTTTGCTGTGGGTTGGGCGTCGAAGTGCCCGACTTCGCGCGATTGATTGCACCTATGAGACAAGTCAGAGGCGCGACAAAGGCCGGGGAAAGGAGGGGCACCTGTGAGTCTCGCGATCTCAAGTTTCAGCGCAGCATCTGAGGAGGACATGGCGGAGCGTGGAAGAACAGGGTAGTTGATATCCGGATCAGGCGACTTGTTGTCAACCTGCTATGCGTACCCGCTTAGTCAACTTCTCCCACTGTCTCTTACGAGCTGTCGCGCCTCTGCGCATACAGTTATGACTTCGATATTGCCGTGTATAATCATCGGTGCTGGAGCCTCTGGCTTGAGCGCGGGATCTCTACTATCGAGAGCAGGACATAGGGTACTGGTCGTGGAAGCGCGCAATCGTGTCGGTGGGCGCATTCATACCGAAAGACAGCGGTATCCATGTCCAGTAGATTACGGAGCGAGGTACGTGCCATCTCGAGTAGTGCGGATGAATGCATATGATGGTATTAAAAATAGCTTTGTGCATGGCCTGGACGGAAATCCCTTGAAAACTATGTCCAACTACGAACTGCTGGTATGGCATGCCGATTTCGAGCCTCTGGCCAGATTATCGACCAACAATCGTATCAGACTTTGGTCCACGCGGATGGCGATAACATGATGTTTGGTTCCGACGGTTTGCGGTCCAACCACCTTATTGAGGCGTTTACTGAGCATGTTAGCAGGCTCAGCACTCGCCAAAGAAACATCCGACAGATTAGATTCCGCTGTGGCAACTGCGTTCTTTGTCGATTCCCGTGAAGCATCTCAAAATTCCGAACCTGACCATTCTGTGTCTCTGGGTTCCTGGCTACTGGACAGAAAATCACCGTTCATGGCGCGTTTCTCGACCGAACAAGAGCGGCGATACGCAGCCCAGTTTGCTCTCGGCCTGAACGGCTGGACCGGAGCTGACCTTCAGAACGTCAGTTTTCGCTACTGGGGATTTGAGCGCGAGTACGAAGGTGGAGATGCGGTCGTAGCGGACGGTTATGACAAATTGCTGGAGCCGCTGCAGCAAAATGTTCTCGCGTCAGGTGGAGAGATCAAGCTTGGCGAGCAAGTGAGAGAGGTCGCTTTCGACGAGGACCAGCAACTCGTCAAAGTGGAGACGGTGATCAATGCCGATAACTCCACGACGCGGACGTATCTTGCCAAATCGTGTATCTGCACGATACCGCTGGGCGTGCTGAAATCCGCGGAAGGGTGCCCATCCTTCACGCCTAAGCTTCCTCCGCGGCGCATGGCTGCCATAAACCGTTTAGGCTTCGGCTTGCTAAACAAAATCGTACTGCAATACCCACGCGTATGGTGGCCACAGGAACCCGGATTTTTCACCATTTTGCAAGGCGGAGAATCTCGACAATCACTATCAGGGACCACTTCGAACGTGCACGCATCTCCTCGAGACTATCTCGATACTATCCCGGTTTGGGCACAATCCTACGCCCACGTTAACGGCAATCCCATACTTGTGCTATATCTCGGCGGCTCCTCCGGCCACGCGATCGAACAACTTCCGGACGATGAGGTGCAGACCTGGGCGCACGACCTCCTCGCCAGCCGCCTATTCCAGCTGGCGCTGGCTGGCGGGAAGCCTCCAACACCGCTGCAAGCGCACGTCACCCGTTGGTCATCCGACCCACATGCACGAGGTTCATATACTTATATCCCAGCCGCCACTGCGAGCGAGGACTTGGATTACGCACCGTCCCCACTAGACATTGTTGAACTCAGTCGGCCGCTGTGGGGTGGGCGGCTGCGCTTTGCAGGAGAACATACCGAGCTGGATTGCTACGCCAGCGTGCACGGGGCGGCCATCAGTGGGTGGAGGGAAGGAAAGCGAGTCAACAATGCTTTAGCGGGAGTTTGGGCTGAAATGAGTGATTAGGCACCGTGTATGGTACTTAGTATGTCGGAGAATACAACATCTCTGGACTAGTCCCATTTGAGCATTGCTATAGTATCGCGTAATGTGCTAGTTTTGCGTTGTCAGGGTGAACACAGTATCCAAAACAAGACTTGCTATTGCTATGACTTCCAGAGGAGCAAAACGGTATCTTCGTACTCCTTGGGATATTTGCGCAGGTGTTCGACGTGCCTGGAGCCAGACATCTTGACAAGATTCATCGCATATCCTTGACGCTTCGCGTCCGCGACATGTTTCTCCACCGCCCATGACTGCACTAGTTCATCCTCGTCGGAATAGATGTACGCGCGTTTCGTATCTGAAACGGATACGATGGCCGGATCGTTCAGGTGCCGCCTCACTCGTTCTATGACATTCACCGAGCCGAACAGCGTAGTGGGCATCCATACTGTGAAGAGATAGAATACCGCCAACAGGACGGATCCAATGGCGCGCAAGTAGAATGGTCGAATTGGCGCTAGGAACGCCGAAATGGTGTTCCTCAAGTTCAGTTCTCCAGGAGTCGAATCGAAGAGGATCTTCGTTCCCGAACCTCCCAAGTTCGGGGCCAATGACAGCATGTCGTCCAACATTCGCGCGCCACCGTTGGAGAGGACATGGATCAAAGTTCCGTCGTCGGTTTGAGAGGTTTGAAGCAACGATATTGCCGGTTGCAGAGAGGCATGGCGGGTCGAAGCACGCTGAAAGAAGTGTCGTGGTGATGACAGAACGAGGATTATAGGCGTATTGGGGAATAGTCGGCGATGCATTATCACATACTGCAGGCATAGCATAATCTCAGGGCTCAAGTATTATGGAATAGGAGCTCTGCGAACCTTCTTTGCATGCGGCAGCGCTGCCCCCATCCACGCAAGGATTAGAATGGCACTGGGTCCGCTAGATACCCCGGAGGATTTCACTCCCAGTGCCGGTGAATAATATATTGAATCGCTGATGCGTTCCAGGGGCGTGTCTGCAATCGGTTGACTTGTAGTCATCAATGCGCAACGAGTTCGAAGATGAGCGCGTCACAAGAGTAACAAGCTCCGAGCGTCCGTGGCCGTTGGCAAACGGGTGAAAGCACGTGGTCCTTGGTAGGGCAAGGGCCAAAGCTTGCACTCTCTTGCCTCATCTACTGAAGCGATAGGTTGTGTAGTCTTCCCGCAAGCGTAAGATGTGTACCTTCGTGTGCCCCGGCTGGGGTGCGCGTTGCGCAACGTACATACAGCATGAACAATGACTTCCCGGTTGTATTCCACCCCTGGACTGGAATGTCATATGGGTGCAGCATGGCGTGTGCATAACATTGCAGTAGAGAAGGCGGGATGCGGTAGCAAAATAGAGGACATGGTACAAGACGATAAAACAATCTATGCCTCGTTGATTTCCCTGAGGCGGCGGATGGTGCTGCGATCGCCATATGTCAGCATGCGATATACGGCAGCAATAATGGCGAGTAGAGAGCAATGTGGTGTAAGGCATGTTCAGAGGAGGAACATACCTTCGTACGGTGGCAGCCGCCGTCGTTGATACTGTCCAAGCGCCACCAGCGATGACCTTTTTGCAGGCTCCGCACTTCCAGATACCGACAGCAGTCCGCTTGACAGAGTCCTAGTGGACGTAACATAAGCATGCATGGTCGTCTTGGTGGGAGGCGTCAGGTTGAGATAATACGTGCCTTGCCGCAGAAGGTGCAGGTGTAACGGGCGTGCTGGGTGATTTCCATCTGAACGCATACTATCAGCATCTACGACGAATGGCAGGCAGGGAATGGTCTCACCTTCTTCACCTGCTTACGCAGGGACGCACCGTAACGCTGTAAGGAGGCGGATTAACTCTTTCTGGTTGCCATACCGCTAGCGGGTAGATACTTGCCGTTCCATACTTTCCGGTGACGCCTACTTTGCGGGTGCGTTTAGTCTGCGAGATATTTAGACCGTATCATGCAGCAGCAACGGTCCAACGCACCATCTTGAAGTGGTTGTTTTGGCGGCGGACAAGGTGCTAGACTCGGGGCAGGTGAAGCGTGGGTGAACTGTACAGAGGTTTCTCACGCGTTCTGTATTGCCCCTGCAACCGTTAAGCTGATTCAGGCGGCGCAACATGGCAAGCGGACCGGCTCTTTGCCTCGATGTTTTCAGCCTTTTCAATCGTGCTTCGTGGACGCGCATGTCGTTCAGTGGTCTAAAGGAAATGGGAATGTCGACTTGCTCCTAGACAAAGCGATCGGGGAATTGTCACTGGATACATAACGTTGCTATGTACTAATTGCATTCGGTTACTTCATCAGCTTGTTCGTATCAGTGCTCTCTCTGACTTTCGAAAGCTCTCCTCGTCCAGCAAGATAAGCTGCGCCGGAATCTGCCCATACCTGATAGTTCGTGATCTTTGGTTCTGGTGAGTCATCGAAGTCCAGCAAATAGTGGAAGATTTCGTTCCAACTCTGCTCCTGGCTAACACTCGGACCATCTGGCAGGGATCGTCGGAGAGATGCTTTAATCACGCCGAATTAACTCACCTGGGTTGGGCTTCACCCATGTGAACTTCGCCTTCCCTACGCAACTGACGCGCCGCGATTCGGCGTCGACGCAGAACTGGTCGAAGGTCATGTTTTCGTACGTTAGGTAGTCCTATGCGAGTACCTCGTAAACCATCTAATCGTTATCCCTAATAGACGGATGGTATGCATACTTGCAGCATGGCGAAGTACCTCCTGATCTGATCCAGGCCAGAGAATGGGCGCCCTAGGAAGGGAGCTGCGATAACAATGTAACTCCAGCGTCAGCCTTGCCCTGCTACTTTCGATTGGACTCTCGGAGCGAACCTAGACACGGCTCTCCATGCTCAAACGCTTCGCATGCATGCGTCCGACTGAAGTGCGAAAGAAGGCGATCAATGGGTTCCTTCTGGGAGAAGTCGGATATGAGACCTTGTGCTGATGACAGGAGAGCTGCTCGCGACACCATAGTTCAAAGCAATCAGATGAAGGGCGGAGACGTATACACATACAATCATCACCCGATTGCGTCATAGTAGTTCCTACCGGACACAGTAGAACAAGACCAAGTAATCCATGAATCAAATTCTTCCTACCTTTCGTCTGCTCGCAGCGAGACAAAAATCGTCGCGTATCATACAAGTTATCCCAGATATACACATACAACAGGGGTATCGAAGTAACCAGGGTAGTTGGGCCAAGTTTTAAAAATTACAAGCCAGCTGCTCGTGCCACGAGGGCCATGATTGTATCCTGAAGTGCGACAATTCATCGAACTTTGGACAGGATGGGTAAAGAAATTAATGCTGACCTTCTCCGCAGCAGTATCGGCGAAGAGCATAGAGAGACTCCGTTCGGCTTGACCGAAATCCAGGGCGAAGGAGTTGGGTATAGCTTCGAGCTCTTGTAGACGCTCGTTATCGCCTTCACGGTCGTCTTCCGACCACTCCATAAGTCTTTTTACGTCTCGTATCTTGATAACGTCGACAGGTTTGGCGCCGCTCTTCTCGCTCTCCAGCTTGGTCCTATAGAGGAGCATATCGCCGTCCTGCAATCGTATCTTGAAGAATCGTCTACGCCAGACCATCAGAGGTTCAACCTGCACGGTGACCCATCCCTCCGTTGCGCTTTGATCGGCCGACAACAGACGAGATTTACGTTCCAGTTCGGCACTTGCTCGCGCAGATGCACGTGCCTTCTCTCGTTCTTGGAGCTGTTTAGCACGCTCGGCCCTCCATTTTTCAATGCGACGCGTTTCTTCCAGCCGACGCTCCTTCTCCGCTTGCCTTTTGTCCCGCAGTAGTCGTAGGCGTTCCTCCTCCTCCTGCCGTTGTAAAGCCTCCTTCCTCCGACGCTCCGCAGCAGCTCTCCGAACTTCTTCATCGATACGCTGTTTTCGATCATGCTCTTCCAACTCATACTGTCGTTCAAGCGCCAGTTTCTCAAGCCTATGTCGCTCCTGCCGTAACCTTTCTTCCTCGAGAGCTACACGTTCCTCTTCCTCTTGCCTAAGACGCGCCTCCGCACGCAGGCGGGCTCGCTCTACTGGATCAGGACGAGGTCGCGGAACAAGCGATTTCCACGCGTGCACGGAGGGTTTCGCATCCGGTGGTGAAGAAGGTGCTGGTACAACCATCTGTTAAGTAGATGTCAGGTCAGCCTGTAGCTACAACGACCAAAGTTCGACTTACTGTAACGGGACCAGGGGGCGATGGCGCTCGCAAGCGGGTCGGAGATGTAAACTTATCATCCTTTGGCGGGGGTGGAGGCGGTGCATCGTCGTCCGACGAACTTGGAGAAAGCAGCGATCCGATGGAGCTACTGCCCGGTGAATGCGATTGTTTCCGCTGTGTGTTGTCGGAGACAGCACGACGGCTTCTGCGTCCAAGGAATGTTTTTGGCGCCGAGTGGAGCTTCGTGGATGACGAACGACGAGCAATTAGTTGTTCACGAATTGCCCTCATTACGGCGTGACTCTCGATTTCATCCTTCCTTGAAACTGTGATCACGGCCTTTGGAACCTATAGGGCGATGTGGTTGGACATAATATAACAGAGGTGAATTGGTGACTTGCGCTGAATACGGTCCCGACGCAACGTGAATGCATGATAGTCGATGCTGATGAAGGCATCTCAACCCATGAGCAGGCATAGCAAAATCTGACATGGACACGTACCTCGTGCCTTTCCCTTCAATGATTCAGGGGCATACGTGATCAACACATAGTAGGTGTCTCCATCGATTTCTTCGCGATAGAACCCGAAGAAAACGTAATCTTCATGAATGTTGTCTTTGAGCTCGTACAAACCGGCGGCTCCTGAGCTGTACAAGGCCGCGCTGTTGGGACTCTGTGACGTAGAAGTCCAAGGTAAGTACGATACCTGATGTCAAACATCGATAAACCACACTCACTTCACCGTAGCTTAGGAGAAGCCTGGATGACAGCCGAAGGTCTCCGTTAAACACTAACTCAACGAACGGGCCGAGACCTCACCAATCTCCTGCCTTTCCATTCAACACGGCCTTGTATGCAGTGTTAATGCGTGCGTCGGAGGTGTTCAGCATAGCCATGACAAGTTCGTTGACGACCAGCGTTCAAGAGAGTCAAGCTTCGCCAGGGTATGACAGAGTACGGGGTAAACACCGAGTGCCACGCAGCAGCGCAGCAGTAGGTAAGGTCATCTGGAACAAATAGATCCTCCGCACAGCCCGTATCCTGTCCATTGTGAGACGAAGCTGATTTTTAGCTTATTAGAGCCGTTTGGCAAACGATAAATATCGGAACTTTGGTTTCGGAACTTTCCCGAAACGTTTTGGGATTGTATCGAAACCTGCCACGCGAGCGCAGCGCTTATGTCACCGTCATCGAGCTTGCGCATTCGCCTTTGCAGCTTCGACCTCACCTTCACTCATCAATTGCCAACCCTAACTCAGAGTCTATGATACAGCTAGTCATGAAGGCTATCGCACGGGTCTGGCGCCGCGTTGTACGACGTGCGACCCGATGTACAACATGGATGGCAGAATTGTGGCAGTGCTACCTGACCCAAAAACGGTTGTTGCGCTGGACAGAAGTTTCGAAACTCGTGGAAGAAAGTTTCGGATAATTATCGAGGTGGGGCTGGGAAAGTTTCAAGGATTTCGATATTTATCGTTTGCCAAACGGCTCTATTATGGCCGAAAGAAGGATGCGAAGACACGTGAGAAAACGTATCATTGTCCCTGGCATGCTACAGTAACTTAGAACACAGTGAGACTGCATATTGTTGACTGTCTAAAGTTTCAAGTGCTAGTCGTACAATAGATAGCCAGTATTATGGCACAACCTACGAGAAGTGTGCTATCATACGCGGCTGGTTTCAGAGCAGGGAGGTCCAATAAACACCGGCGAAAAGCATACTTAGGCTGCCACCTGATTCTGCCTAATTCTTGACCTGATCTGACTTTTGTTGCACCAAAAAGTCAAGCCCCTATCTTGATATGTTCATTAGATCTCTCACGGTCTTGCCCAGTGTGGTACATAGGTTGACTCGGTCAAATCATCTGATTCTTGCAGTCAAGTGTAACGAAACGCAGCCTTTTTAAAAAAGATGCCTGGAGTGCAGTGACCCAAATGCAGATACCACAAGCTGCTTGTTTGTTGGCCCACCTCCGTAGACTTGATGCTTATTATACAATGTTGGGAGCGTCAAATCAACGCCTCCAGGATCACCTTCACGCCCCATGCACCAGGATCCGGTATCTTCTCCTCCTTGAGCCTATCCCCTTCCACATACGCGCTTCGTCCGGCTTTCGCGGACAGGTTTGCTGTTTCCTGAGCGGCTTTGCCTGCAGAAGCAACAGCGCTGCCCAAATCCGCGCCTTGAGATTCCGCGAAGGTCTCAACGAAAGCGGACAACGGATCGACAAGCGTGCGAGACGGACGGCGCGCACGCGTGTAGGTATATAGCTTGTCGAGCGCTGTAGAGAGGGCTTGAGCCCATCCTGAAGGAGTCACAGGAGAAACGTCAGTGGCAGCTTGAAGACCTTGCGCGACTCCGGAGAAGAAAATACTGCGCAGAGAGTTTAAGCGTCTGGTATGTGATAAATCAGACAATCCTCACGAGTAAAGGGCGCCGCTTGTACCGCCCATGTGTTCATCAGCTACTTGAGCCAAAGCAACAGCGCTGCCCACGACATCCTCTCCTGTAATCACGCCTCGTCGGATAGCGTCGAGCACAGCTGATGTCGTCGATGGTTCATCCGTCGAAAGATCGAGGGAAGTGAATGGTACGTACCGCTAGCGCCTGTTTTGAGTGTGGTTCCACAGTCCCCGTCGCCCGCAATGGTGTCCATACGAGTGATCTCGGGCTCGGCTGCTATGAGGGCATGGCAAATTTTCTCCAGCGTGGTGACGAAACCCCTTGGATCAGGGGCGGGACGAGCAACATGGGTCTTTCTGGGGGATACTTCGCTCTGTTCTGTGGAGAGCTGTGAGGACTTTGCAAGGTCCGGAACCCGACCGGACGACCATTTCCATCCAGGCACTTCCGGTGTCTGGTCCAGAAGTGAGAGGATCAGATCCTGGGACGGTGTATCCTTCTCCGCATGCGCAGACGATGGGAGCAGAAGAAGCGTGATAGAGAATCCGGGCATGTTCAGGCTTGTCTAGGATTCATGATCAGACGTGGTCATGTCGTGTTGTGGTATAACATACCATGAAGGTGCCTGAGAGAACCCGCTTGATCTTGATTCCCCGATGGTCGATGGCCTTGCGAGTTTCGGCAAGGATAACGCCCAGCTCGAGTTCGCTGAGACCGCCAAGGTTATTCAGCAAGAGCACGACCTCGTCGGCGTCGTCACCGGAGACAGGGCCAATCGCTGATTTGAACTTGACAAAAGCACGATCGGGGTCCGCGCCGACCAACATGTCCAGTAGCTGAACTATGAGTTCGTTCAGGGGAGGGGCGGGGGAAAGCCTCTTCGCTCCAGTTTCGTTATGAATGCCCATCCCTGTACGAAGTTAGCACATTGCATGACAGTTAATCTCGTGAGCACTGACCTATCTCAATCTCATTCGCCTGCAGATGAGATGTCGCGACTGCGGTGCCAGGAATCTGTATTTAAGCATGGAGTGTCGATCGACCTGTCAGTGCGACACCTGCGCACGTGTGTATGTTCCAAGCCGACTCCAATCGTAACCAGTCGCGAAGCGACATAATGGGCGGTGGAGCTCACTTCGTCCAAAGAGGCACCTCCGTGCGCAAGCGCCCCGGCGATCTTGTAGACGAGAACAGTCCCTGCAAGACCTCTGAGATTTCATATGGAATTGAGAGATTGCCTTCCTCGAACAGATCGTGGATGCGCGTACCTGCGGCCAACTATCTTCCCTTGCTCCCTACCAACGGCGACGTCGTCTTCAACAGCGATAAAGCGAACTCGGTCCGCCCGGTCAACTGCGGCGAGTTCTTTGGCCAAACCGAAGTTGAGGACGTCTCCTGTGTAGTTCCTGCGATACAGTGAGCCATTGGCCGTGGTCGACGGAATCGGACTGAAACCAACTTCACTATCACCACGGTTCCTTTCTTGTTGTCGACGATATCAAGCGCCCGACGCACTTGGCTCGCATTCGGAGACGCAAATATGTTTCCGCATACGGCGGCTGTGATATAAAGGATCAGGCGAACCGCTGGAATTGCATGCAGGAGTTGACATTACCCGTCAGCATGCCATTCCCTGCGAACGCCGATGAGACGCCGAGAAGCCATTGATAATGATCTGCAGCTTGCCTACGAAACCTGCGTGTGCGGGTTCATGGCCACTGCCTCCTCCGCAGATCAGGGCAACTTTGTTAGGGTTCGGGTTCATAAGGTGAAGAACTACCGCAGTTTCAGCCTGAGATGAAGACGATATGCCAATAGGGGTTACCCTTATTGCTGCGATCCAGCGTCAGATCCGGGTTCAGGAGGCAGCATCCTTCCAGGGCGTCAAGGACAATAGAAGTCGTATCGTTCACGAAGTGTTTGCCTGCATGTATTGTGTTGAGTTAGGTAATAGAGGGCAGTGTGGATCCCATTCACTTTGGATGGCCATCGGTTTCGAAGTCAGAGACGCGATTGTCTTTCATCGTGTGGCCTGGACGCGTGCACCCTTTTCTACGCTTTTCGATCCGCCTCAGCCACGATTTCCTCTCCTTCAACACACCTCCGCGCGACACCTGAGATTATGCAGACGCCGATCAGCCCAGCGAGCTCGCCAGCACCGCAAGCTGAGCTTCAGAACAATAATCTGGGGGTTCGCAAACGCCAGAGATCGGCCTCCATGCATTCCAACGACAGTTCGTACTCCCCCAAACGCGCTGTGTCAGAGACACCTTCCAACGACGGACCCTCCCGCGCAGTTCAGTCGGATCCTCAGGATGTCGCGATGCTCGACGGAAGCCGATCAGGCGGTCCGCCAGACCCCACGCAACCCGCCACTGAACCGCACCTAGCCGCTTCTGAGAAGTTCAGCATCGTCGAACAGGCTAGGAAGAGTCCCATGGAAGTTGGATCGACCTGGTACATTGTCTCCTGGCCGTGGTACCGCCGATGGATGAAGGCGTGCACCGGGGAGGTCGACAAGGACGGTCCTGTGGCTGAAAGCGACATAGGACCGGTGGATAACTCCCATCTCGTCAATCAAGCGGGAGAGCTCATCAGCTCTACTGTAGAGGGCGTGGATGTCACCTATGTCCCATCCGACTCGTGGGCACAACTTGTCCGATGGTGAGGCACATCAGTTCGTAATTCACGCCTACTCACAGATCGCAGGTACGGAGAAGCAACCCATCCCTTGCCCCGTAAAGTTATAGCTCGAGGCATCGCTCAGGAACCTTCACTTGAACTACACCCTCCTCGAATCAGAGCCATGAGGCTGGTCGCGGCTGACGATGCAGCCACTCAAGACCTCGCTGATACCCCATTGCGCTACATCACGCTCTCTTCGACTGATACCCTGGAAGACCTGCTGAATGCCGCGATTCACGCATTCTCCCCCCCTCCTTCATCCTCTCCCCCTGCCAGCCGCCTCTGGTCTGTCCCGGCGCCCCGCACAGATCCAGTAGAGGGTGGTTACTCTGCGTCTCGATTGCTTCAAGTCGGCGGCCTCCAGATTCAACCAAGTCGCAAATCCCTGGACGAAGCTTTGGTGCAGTCGGACGATCTGTTCATTCTGGAACTGCAGGAAAACGGTCGATGGCTGGTTGACGAGGCGCTGGTGCCCACCATTGAACCCGGAACGGCTGAGACCGAGACTGTGGCACTGGAACAACCTGCCCCGCTCTTCAAACCCGAAGAAGATTTCTTTACCCGAGTCGCGAAGCAAGCCGTGAACAAAATCCTCGGTGATGTGACGCAAAGGACCAACTCGTCGGCTGCTGAAAACGTCCCATCAAAAGCAGTTGTAGCGACCAATACGTCAACTCGCGCTACCAAGTTGAAACCACCGGGCACAATAGGACTAGGGAACTTGTAAGGCTTCAATACCCCCTCGCTTGCTTTCAGCATAATTCAGGCTACTATAGGGGCAACACTTGCTTCATGAACTCTGCCTTGCAGTGTTTGGCTCATACGCGCGAACTCGTGGAATATTTCCTGAGTGGGTGTCCTGATGTTGCATCTGAGATTTTTCGTTCACTGACATTTCCGTCCGCGCTGTATTCAGATGGCGTGTATGAGGAGGAGCTTAATCCCGATAACCCACTTGGAATGGGAGGTGCTATCGCGCAAGCGTTTGGTGCGCTGCTGGAACGGATGTGGGGTTCTCCCAGTGCTTCTTCGTCTTCTTCATTCTCAAGTACCTCGATTTCGCCTCGAGAGTTCAAGCAAGCGTTACAACGGTTCGCGCCCCAGTTCTCTGGCTACCAACAGCACGATAGTCAGGAACTGGTCGCATTTCTCCTTGATGGGCTTCACGAAGACCTCAACCGAATCTTGAAGAAGCCGTACGTGGAGAAGCCCGACTGGGAAGGGGGAGGAGAGTTGGAACTCGTACAACTGGCGAAGAAGAGTTGGGACGGGTACTTGCAGCGGAACGATAGCGTCATCGTTGACCTTTTCCAGGGCCAGTATCGGAGTACTCTCGTCTGTCCTGAGTGCCAGAAGGTGCGCCGTCTGCGTCAATAGCCCATTTACTTCTATCTAATCAAGGTTTTAGGTATCCATAACGTTCGACCCCTTCATGTACCTTACACTGCCCCTGCCGATCAAAAAGAAGTGGAAGCACACCATTTTCTACGTTCCAGCGGATCTATCGAAGCGTCATGTGAGGGTGAGTAACGCTGAGTCTTTTGGTGATGTTGCATCTCAGCATCGTTCAGGTACCTGTGGAAATAGGGGCCGATGCGTCTTTCAAGGAGCTACGTGCACTGCTGGGTCGATGGATGGAGGCTGACCCCAATAAGGTTTTCCGTTCCCTGCGCAGCTGTCTCCATGGTCTGATTATCATCACAGCTTCTGACCTTGGAGGAATTCAGTCACCGCTGGTATCGCGTGTTAGACGACAACGTGATTTGCGGCGAGATGGCTCAGAATGACAACATCTGGTGCTTCGAACTGCCTTGCGTGTCGTACTACAACCGTCCGTCGTCCAAGCGTCCCGAAGACGGCCCGTTTATCATCCCCGTTCACTTCAAGGCCGCCAAACCGCCGACGAGGTATGGCTCCCATGCTCAGGAGCTTTTCGGTATGCCTACCATCGTCGTCATCGATAAAACCACGGCAACCAGTAAGGAGAAGATTGAAGAAGCCGTCGTGGACCACCTACAGCGGTGGACGATGAACGCGAGAGACCTCTACCAATGGGTAGGAGGGTCAACGGACGCCATGGAGGAAGTCGCGATTCCTATCACTGGACTTCCTTCCGTCGACTCCGTGGCTGTGACGGAAATCAAGGAGAACGGGGAGGTTATCATGTTGGACGATGTCCCTGAGGAAGGCGACATCGTTGACCAGAAAAGCCAGATCATAGAAGATACCAATGACGACTCTCACGGGGCAGCCGCCAGGGAAGATGACACTCCGAGGAGACTCGGTCCGAAACAAGGAGTCTTCGAGCTTCTATTGTCTCCCGACCAGGCGAACCTTGCCTCCGGAACGACCTACCGCAGTCGCGGATACCAGGACTGGGACGAGCGCATCGAGGAGGCGCAACAGGAAGCTCTGGACGGCGAAGACCCTGTGCTACTACGTCCAGACGACGCTTTCTACCTCGACTTCGACGAGAACATGCGTTCTTACTTCTTCGGCGACGAGTTGAGCAAATGGGACCAGAGCACTTGGAACCAATGGGGGCATTTCGTTCACCCTGAGCTGCAGGACGCGTCCGACGACTCCGGGAAGAAGAAGGACATCAGCATATATGATTGCCTCAACGAGTTCACGAAGGAGGAGCAGCTCGGGGAGGACGACCTCTGGTACTGCCCGCAGTGCAAGAAGCATCAGCAGGCGACAAAGAAGTTCGACCTTTGGAACGCGCCCGACATTCTCGTCGTGCACCTGAAGCGATTCAGCAACTCAAGAATGCTCCGCGACAAGATCGACGCGTTCGTCGATTTCCCCGTGAACGGACTCTCTCTGGAGGGCATGGTGCAGGAACGGGAAGTCGCGAAACATCTGCAGGCGCAAGGTGTAGACGTCGCGTCGGTAGGCCTGGCCGAGCTTGACGAGCCTCTCCTCTACGACCTTTATGCCGTGGACGAGCACATTGGAGGCTTGGGCGGCGGACATTACCGTGCCTACGCGCTCAACCACGAGAACAACGAATGGTACCACTTTGATGATTCGTTCGTGTCGCCTGCAAAGGCTCACGAGTCCGTAGTAAGCACCAATCCCCCCGTTTCCTAGTTCATCAGACCACGTTCAACTGACGTGCATCCACAGAACGCCAACGCCTATCTTCTTTTCTACAAGCGGCGCACGTCCCGCCCCCTCGGCGGCAAAACGTACCTCAAAATCCAAGAAGCCCGCGAACGCCAGCGTCAACTGCAATCGGCGGCGAAGATGGCTAGCCCCGTCGCGCCCGCGGCGCAGTTACCAACGCCCCCTGAGGAAGCGTCGCCGCCCGCATCACCGACCTATAGTCGTCCGGACGCGATGGGCAGCTTGCTCGGCGACATCCGCTCACGAAGCGGCTCGTCGTCCACGTCGCCGGAATTGGACCGCTTGCCACTCCAACCACTCGGTGTCGGCGGTGACAGCTTCGACTTCCCGGAACCGTGGAGCACGCGAGGGAGCCCGAGCTCGAGCACGGGAGACGATGAGCTTGATGCGCGATCAGTGCCCGAGGATGAAGCAGAGGCGGAGGTGGAAGTGTCGGAAGATGAGGACATGTCCGGCGCCGCCGGGCCACGTTCGCAGCTGCGGCAAGAGTCGCAGGCGACCGATTTCGACGCGATTGACCTCTGAGCACCCTCCTTCGAGCTCGCAACCGAAGTTCTTAAGACCGCTGTCGCGGTGCGACGACCTGATCACGACAACAACCTGGGACGCTGCAACTAACTTAGATACCGCGCTACTGTGTATTATGCCAATCCGTCGTAATCGTGTTATCGATAGAATTAGTTCATAGTTAAAACAACGCTGAGTGTACATCCATTGGCAAGAATAGCATCTTCCTGGCAGCCAAAAGAAAGAGATGAGGGTAGTATATGTATGGATACAGGGTATGAAGTCGAATTATTATGTAGGTCTTGCCCCGAAGGAGAGTCCGTGATTTTTGGTCCTTGTTTTGACGGAGGTGATGGACGTGTTAGTTTTACATTGGCATCTCGTTGAGGTTGCTCAGAAGCGTGGTGAGACAGCGTTTTGTGACCATGTCGCCCTGTACACTGGTTCAGCTACGGTGATCTTGGTTACCCAACAGAGTGACGTACCTTCAGCAGGGCGGCAAACGTATTGTCGCGCAAGGGCTCTGGAAGGCAAGCGCGCAGAGCTTCGCGGGCCCTGAGGTTGTCGCTGAGGCGCAGGTAACAGCGGACGACGTGCTTGAGGAGGCGGACGGCCTGCGTATCGACGAGTTGGGAGACCATGTTGGACAGCACGGTACCTACGGCGTAAAAACGCTCGTAGGTGTGGCAGATGTACGTCAAACCCGTTTCGTCTAGGAGAATCCTGAGGCGGATATCGGTAAGGAAGTCATATCGTACAGCAACGTTGGAAGCCTTCGACGCACTTTTGCACGATGAAGATCGCCACGGTTTTACTCAGCTCGGATCCTGTCTCCATGATACGGAGGCAGAGCGGAATGATCTCCGTGGAGAGCAGGAAGTGGATGACGGTGCTGTTGTCGTTCTGTTTCACGAGGGCGCCAATGACACCGAGCGATGTGAGGCGGAGGTACTCAAACGGGCGGGTCTTGGATGTGGTGTTCAGGAACGGGTAGAGGAAGAGAGGTATGTGGGCTAGATCGTGCATCAGATTGCCGAGATCAGTATTGGCCAATCCGGTCCAGTGAACGGAAGCTGCTCACCGTTGAGGAAGAGTTGTCTGGTCTCAGAGTGGGATGCGACACATTGGAGAAGAGCCAAAGCATTGCAAACGCGGTTTGAGACGTGAGCCGTAAGATTCGGCGGGGAGAGGAGCGGATACACAGAGATGATTTCAGAGAGGAGAGCGGGCATAACCCCTGCATGACAGAAAACACCCATGATCTCATGCTCGACTCTGATTCGCCAATAAGGTGCGTACCAAATGAGTGCCAGAGCACAAGAGCGAGCTCGTCATATTGTTCTCTCTTCTTGCTGAGCTCGAGCAGGGCCGTTTCGCGCGTACTCGGATCCATCAGGTCGATGACCAGCTGGAATATGACCGCGTTCTCGCCCTGTCCCGGCTGATGCTTGAGCTGATCGTAGCCTACAATGCTCGGCGTGCCAATGAGGGTGTTGCTTGCGGCGCTACCCACGGTGCTCGACATTGCCGGGGTGTTGAGGTATTGCAACCCGGGAGTCGGCAAGGGCGTCTGTTGGCCGGTCGCCGAGGTTTGAAAGTGCGTTTGCGCTGGCGAGTCATATCCAAGCCCGTTGGCGATGTTCCGCTGGCTGTAGGGGTGGTATTGACCGAGGGCCATGGGGAGGAGGAGTTGGCGGCGAAGGCACTCACGCTAACGCAAGTAGGCGCTGGTAGGAAGGGGATTAGTAAGCGAGCGAGTGCCTTGAATGATCGTGGGAATTCGAGAATACATGTTCGATAGCACAATTATGCGCTCCTTGCTGTTCTCAGCAGTTGTCCTTACACATCGACAACAGTAAATCACAGAAGTCATGCAAGGGCGCTCGTGAATACGAACCAAAGCAATGTTTTGAGGTTGTTGAATTGCAACATCCCACAGATGGCACGGTGGACGTGTGAGCCACGTGGAAAGGCTCTTCCCGCTCCGTCACAGCGCACGTATACCCTGGTCTCGTCCCCGCCGACATATCTCAGCCACTTGCCTTGTTAGAGACTGGTCTCTCGAGTTCTTGGTTACTCCATCTTACTGCTTAGGGACGCGCCCGATGGAGAGCAACCGCGATGAGGCCTTGCGATGCCTGGCTATCGCGCAGAAGCACCGCGATGCCGGCAACTACCCCTCAGCACGCAAATTCGCTCAGAAGTCTATCGTAAGTGCGCCTTCGAACACGACATCCTCTGTATCTTAATCTCCGCACCAGAGCTTGTACTCGACACCGGAAGCCAATAAGCTACTGCAAGTCATCGAATCTGAAGCATCGCAAGCATCCTCAAACGGTGGCCCAAGCGCTTCCACTTCATCTGCGGAAACGCACCCATCAGGCTCCGGCATGAAACACCGACACACAGACTCGAACGCTCAGGCGAACGGCTATGCGAGTGGCAGCAGCGCCGAGAAACCGAAGGCGAGGGAGTACACGACGGAGCACATGGCAGTGGTCAAGCGCGTGCGCGCGTGCAAGGTGACGGAGTACTACGAGATCCTGTCTCTCAAGCGCGACTGCGAGGAGAACGACGTGAAGAAGGCATACCGGAAGGTGAGCTGATTACTATCCCAATAGACTCGCGCCCGCATCTCATGCTTGTGAAGCTTGCGCTTCAATTACACCCGGACAAGAACGGCGCGCCTGGCGCAGACGAAGCGTTTAAAAGTACGCTACGATCGGTTTTTACCACGTTTGCGGATTTTGCTTACCGACGCTTTCATCAAGTGGTGTCCAAGGCGTTCCAAGTGCTCTCAGACCCGCAAAAACGTGCTGCGTACGATCGGCACGGCTCCGACCCGGAATCGCGCTTCGGCGGCATGTCGTCGTCTGGTCGCGGCAGTCCGTCTGGGTTCGCGACTACCTCGTTCCAGGGCAGTCCATTTGGCGAAGAGCTTAGCCCGGAAGACCTGTTCAACATGTTTTTCGGCGGCGGCGGCGGCATGGGCGGGCCCTTTGGCGGTGGTGGGCCAGGTACGCTAACACCCACCGTTCATTTCGTTGCTACAGAACTCATTCGCCTCTCTCTTCCTTGCTCCAGTCTTCACCGCAACGTTCGGACCCGGGGGTTTCCGCACGACCCGCATGGGCGGCGCCGCTCCCCGCGCACAAGCGGGCGCCAACGCGGGCTCGTCCTCCGCCTGGCTGCAGCTCCTCCCGCTCCTCGTCCTCTTCGCCTTCTCCCTCCTCAACGCGCTCCCCTCTCTCCTCTCGCCCACCCCCGTCCCGGACCCCGACTTCTCCTTCCGGCCCGACGCCCACTTCGACACCACGCGCGAGACGTCCGGCCTCGGCGTGCAATACCACGTCAACGGCGCCGAGTTCCGCGCGCACCCGCACATCGGCGCCGAGTTTGCGCGGCTCACCACGGAGGCGCAGGAGACGCGAAAAGGAGGCGGCCCGGCGATCCGCAAGTTCGAGGGCGTCGTCGAGCAGGCGTACAAACAGAACCTGTACGCCGAATGCCAGCGCGAGACGCAGAAGAAGCAGCGGCGGAAAGATCAGGAGATAGGGTTCATGGGCATCGGCACCGACTGGGAGAAGGTGCGCGCAATAGAGCGCGAGCCGATTGCGGCGTGCGAGGTGTTGCGGCAGATAGGCGTCTTGCGATGATGATCTCCACGACCTTAGACACGTTCCGCGCACCATATGCTCTACGGCTTTCATGTATTCTAACATCAGTAATGGGTCATATACATATGCTATCTTTATCCTGGTTTCATCTCTGGACTTGCCCGCTTACAGACATCCCACGACGGTGATGAGGATGGGTATGGTACAGATCTCTTCATTTCATTACTTCTTGATGCCACGAGACGATGCCCTCTTTAGCACTACAGTTTCTGTTCTCTACTGACTGACTGATTGACTGACTGACGCGCGGAGTCCGATGCAAGTCGACCGCAGGACGACGGGAGGAGAAAGACAAGGTAGAAAGCAAGAGTGGGCGAGTGATGGAGAAGGGGGAGTGGTAGGATATGCGGGAATGGGACGTGAAGGAATTGGGGGGAGGGGGGGGGAACTAAAGGAGAAGTGTACGGTGGCGACGAGGGTGCTTGGATTGGGGGGAGTAGGGGCGAAATGGGTGCTGTTGGGTGCTGTGGTCCGATTATCCATCCTGCCATTGGGCTGAAGATTCGTGTCGCCTGCCGGAGACGAACGGTGTAACAGCGCAGAGCGCGCGGGGCATCTGGGCAAATCATCTACCATTACGCGGCGCTGTACAGGAATAAGTTATTCGTTGCCGCAATCTGTGACATCCCGTCAGCTGTTGTATCTTGACCCATCACACATGCTCGGAGACGTACCGCGATCGTGTTCTCCCTGGGGTGCCAGCTCGCATGCAGGATCTTCTTATTGAAGTCGAGCGTGTCGCTCATCATCGCCTCACGCAGCGGACGACCGTTCTTCTGCCCGGGCTTGTTCGCGCCGAGCGGGCCACCGATCTTCTTCGCCTTGAAGGCCGACTTGTCGGCCTGCAAGACGACGTCCGAGAGGGTGTCCGTGTCGTATATGCGGAAGTAGTTGTGGTACGAGCCCGTGAGGACATGTCTACATCGATCGAGATGGGTAGTAAGCGTCGACGATCCTTGAAGAAGGCTCGCAGCAATGTACGCACTTGTCGTCGCCGCCCCAGACGCACTCAAACTTGTCGAAGATGCAATCGTTCTCATACAGGTCGCAGAGCTTGCCGCGGAGGTGGTCGTGAATCGGGATGGTCTTGACGGGCCGGCTGTCCATGTTAACGTCCCAGATCTTGAGGGAGAGGTAGTCGCGGGAGAGGATGTAACGGCCGTCGTGGGAGAACTTGACGTCCGAGATGGAGGAGATAATCTCCGAGAAGAAGGAGCGGTTGGTGGGGTCTTCCTCTTCCTCGAAGGCTTCACGACAGGACAAGAAGCACGAGTGAGACCAAGCTAGACGAAGAGCGAGGGACACGACTGACATTTAGCGTGCCGATCGCAGAGGGCCGAATCGCGCATATCGGCAAGCTTGATGTTGGATTTGGATGACGAGTACATGAAGATGTTGCATTGTTGGGGGTGGAACTCGGCCGAGGTGATGACCTCCGTGAGCTCCTCCATGTTCACCGGTTTGATGTCCACAATGTCTGCCGCCGGTCATCAAAAGCCATTCTGAATGTTCCTGGCCTGCACGCAATGCTCACTGAAGCTCTGATCGCTGATATTCAGGTTCCAGAGGTTGATCCGCAAATCGTCGGCGGAGATGTACGTTTCCTGATCCGAGTTGACGGAGATGGAGTGTATGTGGTACGCGTGCGCGTTCGAGTAGACCTTCCGCGGGACGGCGGCGATGATGTTATCCTGGAGGTGCATCTTGGGAAGACGCAGGTTCTGGCGCACGGTCGGTGCCGGTAAGCTGCGCTGGCCCTCGGCGAGGTTCGACTCGGAGACGACACGGAGCTGCTTTTCGAACACCTTCCATAGTTTGATAGTTTTGTCTGTGTTGCGAGGATGCACAGAAGCAGACAAGAAAGGCATCAGTGAAAGGAAGGGGAAAGAAGACGGGCGCTTATGGACCGTTGGTGGAGAGCAGAAAGTGCGCAGCGTTCTGGCGCTTGCACCACTTGATCTTGTTGATCTTCTCCTCGATCTCGAGCGACTTGAGATAGTCGAACTCGGGTTCGTGCGATTGGAACTCGGTGTAGAATTTGTATTCGCAGCCCTTCTTCTGAATAGAGCGACAAGCATATGACGCAGCGCATATCAGCATCCGTGATCGGGGTGGCTGAACAAGGCAAGACGCGCGTAGTGGATGGATAACGGAGGCGAGGGATGCGTATGTATGTAAGAAAATGTTATGCACGCACGGCTTCGTTCCGCTCGAAGAGGACGACTCGGCCACCTTTGTCGCCCGTCGCGAGATAGTTGCCTGTGGAGTCGAACTCGACGGTGGAGATGATGTCGGCTGTAGCGTGCAGCGCGTCAGAACGCCCGATCCCTTATCTCGCGCAGCGGCCGGCCTCCTCCTCGCAACGCGCAGCACGTCTCCAATAGACATAGATCGGGGAAGACTCGCCTTCGGTGATATCCTCCACTTCGCCTTTGTCGCCGAAGCACTGGGCGAATCGCCAGCCACCTGAGCCGGAGGGGTCGGTCTCCATCGTCATTATCTGGTGTGCGGTGTCGGATGGTGTGGGTGTTGGTGGTGAAGATGCAATGGCGGCTGTTGCGGACGTTGGAAGATATTGGGTTGGGTGCAGTGCGGGGTACACGAGTCTGAGGCCTGCTGGGCGTGGCGCGGGTCGAGATCACTTCACGGCAGACGCAATGGGACGGCCACAAGGCGGAGTCCGAATCCCACCCCTCCCTACTCCGCTCGTACCGGGACCGCGCTCGCCATACGCACCCGCCGCGTTATTCGCTGGAATAACACGCCATGGACGGATTCGACGACTTGCTCTCGGGCTCGAAGCGCATTCTCGAGGAGAACCCGTTCGACGACCCGTTCGCCAAGCGCTCGAACTCGCCCGATCCGTGGACATCTGGCTGGACGCAGCAGCCGGCAGAGCACGCATATGCTGCCTCGCACGACGTGTTCGGGGAGCGGAGCACGACGCCAACGCAAGAAGCGGCGTTGACGACGCCGGTCAGCAGCGAGCCGCTTGATGTAGCCGCCCTCCAGGACGACGAGCCCGACCCGCCGCTCAAGTCTGCGGGGTTCAGGGAGAGCACCAGCGAACCGTCGCCTCCGCTGGCCCTCGAGCCGGAGCCAGAACCGGCTACTGCTGCTGAACCTGTCGCGATACCCTCGATACCCGCCAGAGACCCCACGCCTCCCCCAGTTCCCTCACCTCCAACTCCATTGGCACCCGCACCAGCACCCACTCTTAGCGAACCTGCATCCACGCCAGTGCCAGCGCCAGCATCAGTACCAGAGCGCAAACCGACACCGCCAACATCACCATCCATCTCCTCTCCAACCTCATCCACCCACACTTCAGCACCGGTGGTTTCGCCGCTCGAGTACCCTACCTCAACCGCCCACATCGAGCAGCCCTTCTCCAATCTCGCGCTCGGCGGCGAGTCCTCGGGCGGATGGCATCAACCCTCATGGGATCCCAATCCCAGCGCCAACGGCTGGGGGAGCGAAAACGACTCCTCTTCCGCCATCAACGGCACCGTAGACGGCCCCGCCACCAACAGCACGACCGCGGCAGATGACGACTCGGACGACGACATTCCCATCGCCCAGGCGCAAGCAAAGCGCCTTTCTGGCGGTTCTGTCCCTCCAAAACCCAATCAAAAGAGCGGGCCCGCCGTCTTCACCATCACCGTCTCCGACCCGCAGAAGGTCGGCGACCCGATCCGGGGCTACACCATGTACACCGTGCACACGACGACCACTTCCCCGCTCTACCCCAAATCAACCTTCTCCGTCCTCCGACGCTACTCCGACTTCCTCTGGTTATACGAGACGCTTTCTAACAACAACCCGGGTGTGGTGGTCCCACCCGTGCCGGAGAAGAACCCGTTTGGGAGGTTCGACGAGAATTTCGTGCAGAACCGCAGGATGGCGTTGGAAAAGTGCATCAACAAGACGGCGAACCACCCCGTGTTGGCGAAGGATCCGGATCTGAAGATGTTCCTCGAGTCGGACACCTTCGCGCTCGACGTGCGTTGAACAATCATTGAAAAACGGTCGCGATCGCTGACACCCAAGGGACCAGATCAAACATCGCAAAGCGGAGATTGCGCACGAACGCGGTGGTCTCATGGCTTCGCTCGGACAGACGATCGCAGGGCCCCGATTTTACGAAATGGACGAATGGTTCGACAAGCAGAAGACGTACCTCGACTCGCTTGAGTCGCAGCTCAAGGGACTCGTGAAAGCGATTGACCACGTCGCGCGTCAGCGACAAGGCAGGTGTCTCCGAGCATATGCATCTCCTCGTGCTCATCCACTTTGCCTACAGAACTTGCTGTTGCGACGGGCGAGTTCGCGCAGACGATCGCGGAACTTTCGCAGTCGGACGTGGGCAAGTCTCTTGCGCAATCGCTTGCCAGCGTGGCAGAGGTAGAACGCAAAGCACAGGAGCTCGAGAAAGGACAGGCGCAGGACGACATGACCACCATCATGTCTACAGGTGCACATCCCGACCTCCCTGCGTTGATCCTCTTCGCCTAACATCCACCGACCAGCGGACGAATACGCGCGGCTCATCAACTCCGTACGCCTCGCCTTCACCGGACGCATCCGCACGTACAACGCCTGGCAGTCCGCCGACACCGAGGTGCGCCGCGTCAAGTCGGCGCATGAGAAGAACAAGGCGGCGGGGCGCATCGCGCCCGAGCGGCTTGGTTGGAGTCTGAGCCAAATTGCGGATGCGGAGCGGAAGGCGCTCGAGGCCCGCCAGGAGTTCGACAACTGCTCCAGGCTCATCAAGCAGGAGGTCGGACGGTTCGAGAAGGAGCGGATCGAGGACTTCAAGCGCTCGCTGCAGGCGTTCTTGGAGGGCATGATCGGGCGGCAAAAGGAGGTTGGTATTTTTTCTCCATTTCATATCCGATGCAGGGACGTAACTGATTGTTCATCGGTCTGCTACAGCTCATACAGTCATGGGAGATTTATCAACAGACGCTGCTGAAGAAGGTGGGAGCGTTGCCGTCGAACGGGCAGCAGGCCCAGCCGTCAGTGCAGGTATGACCTGCAGCATTCGAATTTCATTGCCTTGTACATGCGTTTTGCCTTCTGTACCGTTTGGTCTTATCTGGATGCAACGATAGCTTGGGTTGATCCTCCATGTGCACATGTACCTATGCTGTGGCCCGCGAGGCTGCTACGCGATCCGACCGTAGCCTCATTTCAGCCACAAGGTTGCTGCGTCGCGCCTCCGACTCCCGAGCATCTTGCCCAACTTGGCCTGCTTCAGGCCCGGTCTATACCCATACTACGTCGCTGGATAATCTCGGCACAAACACTACGTATATAATCAACAACCCCAGTATACCTGTACCTAGCGCTTGACTCTCCGACACCATGTTCAACGCCCCGCGGCCTGCGCAGCGCTACGCCTCCGGCACGGGGCCGGGCAACTTCGGCGGTTCGTTCGTAGACACAAACCCCCTCGCGGCGAGCACATACGACGGACTCGACCCCTGGAGCGCGGCACCAAGTCCGTCGCCGCCCCCAGGGCCCGCGCCGACCTCGGTGTTCGGTGCGGTCATAGGTGCGTTCACCAACGTCGTGTGATGATGAACCCTCGGAGTGATCTGGTTTCGGCACAGCGGACGCGACGGTACCGAGTATATACAGCAAGGCGCTCGTGGCGGTCGATCCGGGTAACTCGGGCGAGACGAGTGTCAGTTCACTCTCGAGGGTGTTAGGCACCAGCGGCCTCGGCGCGTCCACGATCGACAAGGCGAGTATACCCCCCCACTACTGCTGATGCGTTCGTGTGCTAAACCGGGGTTTTTCTTCTACTTCGACTCGCGCAGATAGTGAGCTTGGTGAGCTCAAAGCCGAGGGTATCCAAGCTCGAGTTTTTCGTCGCGCTTGCGCTGGTCGGGCTGGCGCAGTCAGGCGGAGGTGCGTGGTGCCTACCGCAAGCACGGGAAGGCATCTCCGAAATCTCATGATATCATGACATACGTGCAGACATCAGCATCGAACAAGTCGCCGCCCTTGCTGCCCAGAACGCCCTCCCAGAGCCCTCGCTCGACCTCTCTGCACTACCTCCATCCTCATCCACCATCGAATTCCGTAGCTCCCCTCCAGCCGTGCCACCTACCTTTGCCCCTGATGACCCATGGAGCGCCCCGTCGCGCATTCCCGGCAGGGCGGGTGCGCATCCCGGGATCAATGGGATTGAGAACGGCGTGAGCGGAGGTCCATCCACGGTCAGCGGAACCGGCATGCCGCCGAACTGGTGGCGTCGCCAGGATACGGCGAGCGTGAATCTGCTGGGACAGCAAGGCTTCTTGCTGAGGCGTTATATGGTATATGAGGTCACGACCGAGGTAAATTCTTCTGCAGAGTTGTATCCAAGTGACGGCTTGCGGCTAACCTTTGCGAAACAGAAAGGACCCCCGGTACCCCGACGATATTCGGAGTTTGTGTACCTGTGGGACTGTCTCGTCCGCCGATACCCGTTCCGACTGCTGCCTGCTCTGCCGCCGAAGCGGCTGGGACGTGAGTTCTGCAATTCCCGGAAGCGTCGCTACGCGTTCTGACAATACTGTTAGCGGATGAGAGCTTTATAGAGCAACGACGCCGTGGCCTCGCACGATTCCTGAACTTTGTGATGTGAGCACCTTCCGCATACTCATGTCATTCGTCACCGATGTGTTCTGCTCAGGAACCACCCGATAATCAAGGATGACGGCATATTGGCGGTGTTCCTGACGGAGGCGTCGCTAGAAACGTGGCGCAAACATGCTTCCGTCTCGTTAGAGGAGGAAGCGTATAGCAAGCGCTTGGACCGCGTGGAAGAGATGTCCATACCCAGCGATCTGGAGGAGAAGCTTGCGTACGTCCCGCACCTTCTTCTCTTCTTTGAAATCGGCCCCGCCTCACAGACGCATCTCGAAGGGTCGTCCGCGGGAAGCTGAACGCGCAGATTGAGAACTGGCAAAAGATTTGCATACTCGCCGAGCGAATGATCAAGCGACGTGAAGGAGCAGCGGTATGCTTCCCATTGGTCTCGCTCACGCAATAATCGAGCCAAAATATTCAACTTGTTTTTGTTCATGCAGTCGGATGTCGCTCGTATGACTAACACACTGAAGGCTCTCGTGGAAGTGAACGCGCCTTGTTGGCGGGGCGACGTCTGCGAGCTATGCTCAGGCGTGAACTCGGGTATTAGTCATGTGGCGTCGCATTGCCAGAGACATGCAGATTTCTTGGAGGGGAGAGTGAGTTGATGGGCTCCCATGAGGATATATGGGACTTATACTCTTTGTAGTCTCGTAACTTGCTTTACTCGACACTGGAATCGCTCAAGGTAATTGTTCAACCCTTCATGTCGACAACGCTCATCGTGATGCACTTGCTAGAGCGAGCGAGACCTGTATATCGCCATGCGGGATCTCTTCATACGACGCGACAAGCAATCTGGAGACCAAGTTGAGAAGCTGAAGAAACGCGTTGAGACGAGCTCGAGCAAGCTCAATGACGTCAAGGAGACGCAGAAGGATGGATGGCAAGATGAAGCAGAGAAGCTTTCCATCGCGATCGAGAAGGACAAGGCTGCGATCCAGCTGCAACTGCACCGGAGGGTGTTTATACGTGCATGGTATGTCTTTACTAAGCAATAAGAATGGCCCGAGATGGCCTCAGAGGAGCTGATGAGGGCATCGACAGCATATGGCACGAACTCCGCGTGGTGCTGCACAACCGCGAGAACACTCTACTGACTCAGGCCGTGCAGCTGTTCACTAAGGAGGAGAGCGAATTCTCCAACGAAGTGGCAGCTAATTGGAGCAACCTCAGGGAGGCCGTGCAAGATATGCCCTACGAATGAACGTGATTGGCCTGATTATGGAACCTGGATGGATCGCCAAGTGATGGCTTCCGCTGTTGTTGTGTAGATTCTGTCGGACAATGCATGGGCGCGAGTCTGTTGCCATCGCACGCTACTAGTACTATCTGTACTCATCGTCTGTGTCGAGGAGCTCCAACAGGTCGACTTCGACGACGCAGGCGCGACGGCTACACGTGATCAGACCATCTCATCACGAGGTCCCCTTTTTTTCGTCTTGCGTCTGACTTCCACGTCCAACGACGGAGCTTGCGACATTGGGGGCTTCAACGATTCGAAGTCCAATCTTCTATCTGACTGGTGAATACGCAAGGCTTAGCCGACTCCTGCCTTACGATCCATCTCTCGATGTGTCGCCTCTGAGCTTCTTTTCACACTTCCTCTGGGCTGGGACCCAGATTCCGGACTTGCCGTGATTTATCTACGCATTGCACGCCTTGCTCACTGCAATGGGTTAAACTACACGGCGAAACGAATTGGCTTCGAGCAGATCATCACCCTCGTCCACATAACGGATTGATGTTTTGAATTCGAAGCAACATCCCCGTAATTCACTTTTGCCATCAAACTGAAGACACTGGCTACTTCGTAAGCAGAACGTATCTACTCTAGTCATTTGTATGTGCAAATTGCGTAGTGTATACAGTCAGAAGCAAATAATGTACCTTTACAATATGTGGTAATGATAGTATCTAGGAAGATCCTACGGTACCCTTGAATAATGAACGATAAACATGCTGCGAGACCCACAGATCGTAATGCTGTCGATGCGTTCTGCATACAAGCCCAAGAGAGTGGTGTATCCCAGTGGATATAACATAGCGATCGAAACCTACTCAAACTTGTTCGCCTGAGCGCGATCCCGCTCGATCCTTGAAGTGTAGCTGGATTAGGTCATCCATAGATGATATGCTGAAGGGCTTGACATAGTAGCCGTCCGCTCCCGCGTCCAATGAGCGCTTTTTGTCCTTATCGAGACTTTGGCCAGAGACTGGGACGTAATTGTCAGAGAACAGCTCTTGTATTACTGAATGACTGCGTACCCATGTAAACGAGGCTAGGCCGCAGCTCATGTTTTCTTTCCAGCTCTCGTATTTGACGCGTCGCCTCGGCGCCGTCCATTACGGGCATTTGTAAGTCCATCAGGACGAGCGTGAACACACCGGCATCGTGGTGGCACACGGCCTCCCCATAACGCTCCACGGCTTCCTGTCCATTGCGCGCAGTCGCGTAGGCAAATTTGCGTTTCTTAGCGTACGTTGCCAGCACCTTGACGTTGATGTCGTTGTCGTCGACTATGAGGATCCTAATCGATGAACGATCTCGTCTGGCCATATGGGATACCGCAGCAAGACCTGGCGATGGAGCCCGGGAGTCAACATCGAGGTTCGTGAGACGCGGGCGAAGAGCGTGAAGGTCATGTTGTTTGTATATGTCCAAGGCGGCATCAATCACGGACCAAAGCTGCGCACGAACCGTGGGGAAAGGACAGCGGAGCATACGAGTATCAGGACCGCTTCGCCCCTTGCTGGTTTCAGTACGATCTATTCATAAGTATCAGTGCTGGCTTTGGGGTAATTAGGAAAGAGCAGCCAGTACCGGTTACTACGATAACGATCTGCCAGTCGTAGATCGCTTTCCGGAGAACATCGGGCTCTACCATGACGTCGGCTATAGCGATGCTTGCTTGATCTCTGAGTGTCTGCACAAAGCCGAGCGACTCGAGATTCCGAGCGGCATATACGAGTGGTAACGTCTCAATGTCCTGTTCGATTGGCATGAAGTAGGTAAGCGGCATCGTGGATTGCTCCAGGCGTCGGCGCATGCTCTGTGGATTCTCCTCCGATTCAATGTGGGGCTTATGAAGTCGGAGACGGAAATGTGATCCTCGTCCAGGGGCGGATGAGACGAGCGTGAGCGCTCCGTTCAAGAGGCTGGTGATTCGTGCCGCGTTGGACAGTGCGCATCTCCTTGAAACTGGCGTTTTCGAGTCATCACCTTCCACCTTCTCTTGGGTCAGGAAAACGCGAGCCCAGTCTTCAGGAACCACCCCAACGCCTGTATCCACCATTTCGTAGTCGAGGTACGAGCTGTCAGGCCCTAGGCTTGTCTTGAACAAAATGTGACCCTCGTTCGTGGTCGATAGGGCGTTGAGTAGGAGACATAGCAACGCTTGCTTGAGCAAGTCGCCGTCGATAAAGAGTAATTCGACCGAGGAGGGAAGTCGGTTATCTACGACGATCACAACACGACCGTTCTTGTCCTTGTAGAGAGAGGAATCCATGACGCTGCTCACGACGTCGCTCTCGACGAGCCCGATGTTGTGCATTGACATCGTGAGGTCGTGTTGATCAATGGGATCGAGTTGCTCGAGCTGTATGACCTTGTTGACCATTTTGAGGAGGTGCTGTCCCTGATCACGTATGACCTTCAACATGCTCGGCGATGACTTGAGGCCGGATGTACGACCGGGGGACGCAAGTATCTCCTCGACGAATTGAGTCTCCTCCAATAGAAGCTCTGCCGAAGCGATGATCGCGTGGATGGGAGTTCGGAGTTCGTGCGTTACGCCCCGGAGAAATTGTTCCTTAGCTGCTAAAGCCGCTTGCAGGTGTTCGCCCATGAGCACATTGCATATCGTCATGGCACATTGAAGGACGAAGCCCGCATCGACGTCATCGAAGATGGTCTTCAGATCATCGGTCTCGACGACCAAATAGGTGCAACCAACGGCCTTCATCTTGACGATGACCGCGCGCAACGTCCGGCCAGTTAGCTGCAAGGTCTCCCCTGGAATGTGATTGTCGCGCAGAACGATGTCGTGGATCGCGTCTGTATCCTCCCATAGCCATTGTTGCACCTCCGTGTAAGGTATGTCCATGTTGCCGCGTAAATGAATGATGCCGTCTTGGTGAACCTGATATGAAACGTGACATGTGGGATAACACTCGCGCAAAACATCCATTATACGCCCGACTACATTGTGCGCCTTGAGATCGGGGAGTGCTGCAGCCAGCTTAGCAAAGACCTCCTCCTGCAACCCTTTTCGGTGCAAGCTAGCCCGCTCGACGATCATGTGCACCATGCTTTGGGCCAATCGCTGCAAAGTCGAGGCTTGAACGGGTGACAGAGGTGGCTGCTTGCTGTACGAGGCGACGCATAGGGATCCGAAGGCGACTTCGACGTCCGTCCCAGGGAGGTGATATCGCAGCTGCGTTCCGGCATAACTTCGCAAACCTGCCTCCACGTGGGGAGATTGCGCAAACCTCCAGTCGGCGAGCATGTCGGGAAGCATGAAAACTGTTCCGGATTCCTGCATGATGGTGTGGGCACATGTAGCTTCTCGTCGAGGTAGAACAGCGAGGGGGCAATTGGCGGTGACGATGCGAGTATAGTTGTCATGATCCATGAGGCCGAGGATGGTACAATCCCGCTCCATGATATCCTTGGAAATAGAAAATACGATTATGCCATGGGCTCAGACCGGTGACGTATCATACAACTGACCTGGACTACGTCGACCATGTTTTGCAACTGAGCCAGTAGATGCTTATCTTCGCGTACGAACTTAGTGTAGTACCATAGCAGTGTGAGACGTTTGAGCTCGTCCTTCGTTAGAAGCGGGAAAAGGTACGGATCTGTAAATCCTGCCGGCTTCGGCGGGATCTCGGCTGATCCATCCGAACGCAGTCCAGAGGGGTAATAACATCGAAACTTGCACTGGTCGAAGTTCTGCAGGGGATATTGGGTTAGCTCGTCGTTGAATACCGTACGGTTGGTGGGTGAGGAAGTAGCTTCAGGGACGTGAAAGGACAAGTTTGGGACAGCGGCCGAGGGAAACAAGGCGATTCGTGACTGCCTGGCGATAGATTTTGACCGAGAGGACGACGCTTCAGTTTCTGGCCGTGTTGACGATGGCCTCCCGGGGCTGGCGTCAGCTACGCCGGTTGTTGTCATCCAGACAGAGCATGGGCAGGTAAAGTATCTTCAAAGGTCAAACGCTACTTTCCGATGAGATTCGCCGCCAAACAATCACTTGACGATTCAATGACAGTCACATGACTATGTGCCCTCTCCCAGGGGACTGAATCGTGGCAAGTCGCGCTCAACGCCAGCGAGTTGATATTCTTGAATCCCTCATTCCTCCACGACCATGTCGGGTCCCTCGGCAAGTAGGACGCGTATTCGAAGGGCACCAACGGGCTCGAATGTGCGCTTTGACGAGCCCGAGCCGGAAGAGGATACTTCCCCCTACCAACGCTTGAACAACCCGGTCAGTCTCTGTCTAGTAGCCCATATTTCATTCCGTTCCTCATTGATCAATAATTTCCAGAAAAACCGCAGTGCTGCAGAGCAGATTTTGGATAGCCCGAATGCCACGTATGCCGCTCTCGGCGTACTGACAACTCTCGCTTTCGCCCTCCGCTTCTACAAGATCAACAATCCCGACCAGGTCGTGTAAGTATGGCAGTCTGGATGCTTGGATTGCAATTTAACAAGCTGCACGGCATCTTAGATTTGACGAGGTTCATTTCGGCAAGTTCGCCGCCTACTACATCCTCCGCCAATATTACTTCGATGTCCACCCCCCACTCGCCAAACTCTTATTCGGACTTGCTGGCTGGTTCGTCGGCTTCGACGGCCATTTTATGTTCGAGAACATCGGCGACAACTACACGGAAAACCATGTCCCCTACGTTGGCATGCGTGCGCTCCCCGCCATCCTGGGCAGTCTGACGGTTCCTATCGTCTTCCTCATCATGAAGGAATCTGGCTACTCGACTATCGTAGCCTGTTTCTCTGCGATTCTCGTCTTATTCGGTACGTATTTGACCTTCTTCGTGCTAACCGACGTTCAGACTTATATCATTTGCATAGACAACGGCCACATTGCTCAGTCGCGTCTCATTCTCTTAGACGCCACCTTGATATTCTTCATGTCGCTTACCATCTACTCATACATCCGCTTCCGCAAGCTTCGTTACCTGGAGTTCACTCCCGCATGGTGGGGCTGGCTCATTGCAACAGGAGTCTTCATGGCGTGCACCTGGGCGTCTAAAGTCAACGGCATTTTGACGGTCTTCTGTATCGGCATCGCCGTGCTTGTTGACCTCTGGGACATATTAGACATCAACAAGGACCACAGGCACACGATGGTGAGATAGCTCACTCTCCGCTGGTCTCCCGTTCTATCCTAACGGTCTCTTCTCAGGAATACTTTGGCCGCCACTTCGCTGCGCGCGCCGTTGGTCTCATCGTCGTGCCGCTGTTAGTTTACCTCACGGTCTTCTGGATCCACTTCAAGGTCCTCATTTACTCCGGCCCGGGTGACACCTTCATGAGCCCGGATTTCCAAGAGACCTTGATTGGAAACGAGATGCTCCTTCAGAGCCAAGGTAAGCCGACATTGCGAGTTCCAGCGTGTGCTCATGCTTATGACCGACTTGCAGAGATTCACTACTTCGACGTGATCACTATGCGCCACAAGGACACCAAAGTATTCCTCCACTCGCACCCGGAGAAGTATCCCCTTCGTTACGACGATGGACGTATTAGTTCCCAAGGCCAGCAGGTCACCGGGTACGGCCACAACGATACGAACAACTGGTGGCAGATCATCCCTACCAAAGCCCTCCCCGAGACCGGGCGCGGGCGCATAGTTCGTGGTTCGGACGTCATCCAGCTGCTCCATGTCAACACCGATACCATGCTCCTTACCCACGACGTGGCGTCTCCGCTCATGCCAACCAACCAAGAATTCACTACCTGGCCTAAGGACGACTACTCGCGCTACAATGACACGCTTTTCCGTGTCGTGTTGACTACCGGCGAAGATGGCGATGCGTGGAAGAGCAAGAGTGGTCAGTTCAAGCTAATACACGTCCCGACCCGTGTCGCGATGTGGACGCATCCCAAGCAGTTGCCCGATTGGGCGTACAAGCAACAGGAAATCAACGGTAACAAGAACTCGGGCGACAAGACGACTGTGTGGTATGTGGAGGAGATCGTATCTTCCGCATGTGCGTTCCGTCCCCCTTTTCAGGTGGCGTTGTCCTGATCTTATATATATAGCTGCCGATCCGGAGAAAGTTGCCAACGCCCAGGCTTCTGGACCCCGTCCCCCCAAGAAGGTGAACTTCTTCAAGAAGTTTGCCGAGCTGCAAATGTTGATGCTCCAGCACAATGCTGGTCTGACGGCGTCCCATCCCTACGCAAGCAACCCCATCAATTGGCCATTCATGATCAGCGGAATCAGTTTCTGGACTGAGGGCTCGACGCAGAAGCAGATTTACATGATTGGCAACATCGTCGGCTGGTGGACGTGCGTCGTCACGCTCTCCATCTACGTCGGCATCCTTGGCGCGGATCTGCTTGCCAGGCGGCGCAACATCGAACCCATTCCGGAGGAGGTCCGCAACAGGCTCTGGAACACGACAGGATTCTTCCTGCTCGTCTGGGCCGTCCACTACTTCCCCTTCTTCCTCATGAACAGGCAGCTGTTCTTGCATCACTATCTGCCCTCGCACCTCGCCTCGGCCCTAGTTGCAGGCGCCGTGTTCAGCTTCATCCTCTCTGAGACGATCAACTACCCTATTTCCATCCGTGGGCCCTACACTAAGGCGAAGCCCAAGCAGTACGCCGACCTGGGTACGAAGGGCCCGGCGTTGGTCGCTGTTTTCACGCTCCTCATGATCATTGCGTTTTTATACCTCGCTCCACTAACTTACGGCACACCGGGGTGCGTGACCACCTTCCTCCCCTGACACTTTAAGTACTGACTGTAATCATCTAGGCTCGACGGAGAAACCGTCAACAAGAAGCGACTGTTGTCCTCCTGGACACTGCATTTCGCTGCGAAGAAGACGGATCACGCAATCTAACGGCTGGCCAGAGTCGCGTTCGAGCAAAAAAGGGATACCTGCAGCTAGACTGCGCTTTCGCCTGCATGTTCAGGATGTGTATATAGTGTACAAAATTATTGCGAATGGATTGCATCGCTATTCGGGTTGGCACGAAGTCTTCTGGTTCGCACGTCGTTCCCTGTGGTGTTGACGAATGGACTGCTTGCAGCGCTTAACCTCATGACAATATCGCGGTTTCTGGTTGGTTGCATTGCATACGAGGAATGTCACAGGAATAGCTGCCCGCACTCTATGTTTCCAGAACTGCCCCACTTCATGCCGCCTCCGCTTGGCGAGCCTTCTCGAGCTTGAGGTAGAACTCCTCCTGGCGCTGAACTGTGAAGCGAAAAAGAGTCAGCATCGAGCTGCATTGTCCTGGATGTTTGGGGCGGCGCTAATGTACGACCACCACGAAAGCATTGCGAATGGAAACAAGTTTGATACTTGCCATGCTTCAGGTGAACACCGTACCTGCATTGAGGGTATGTAGTCAGCACATTGGTACATATCAGCGGGACGCCGGCTAGTGGATACGCACCAGAAAGCGTAACCGGCGGAAACACCGAGGCCAAGGCCGCAGGTTAGGTCAAGCCAGAACCTCTTTCTGAGTTTTCCAGTGATAGGAGCGATGGCCATGGCTACGGTCGATGGACGGAGTGGTGGTTGATACTGACAGCCAAACGGCGCGAGGGGGAGGATTCCGGGTGGCGGCTCGCGTGGGAACTTCAAAGGGTTGTCGGGGTCGCACTGGACTTGGCCGCGGCTGAAGATGGCCAACGCCGCTGCATGGGCAAGGATGATCAGCATGCATCAAGTTGAGTCCTTAGCCCGCCTCGTTTTCTTTGTGCTCAGAGTCCGTGTGTACTCATCGTGCACATCGGCGAATTGGCCGAGAACCGTGACAATACAACGTTAACGTTAACTGGACACTAATATTCTTCAACTACCGCGCCGGTATCGTTGAAGTTGTATGTGTCACCGGCGGGTTAAGAACCCAACAGTAAAAAGCACACAGTATGAGGTTTGATAAGGGAGCCTTCCTGTTTTTGCCTAGCGAAAGCGCAGCTTAACGATTTTCTGGCCAAGCTACAGCCCCAACGTTCGAGCATTCTTTAGCGGAAAAACGCGATGGCACGCATTCGAGAAAATACGGTATATCATGTCGCATCTCAGTAACCACCGTCCATCATTCCAATGAGCGCCTCGGCACGCGAAGTCCTAGGCTTTACAGCACACCTAAAGGGCTTTGGATGGTTGATGATCCCGCTGGTCCAATCCACCACCGGCTCAACAGTGTTCCCATGCTCGTCCAACGTCTTGCTGATGTCGAACACCGCTAGCGACATCGCACACAGAACAAACACCGACGCGTCTCCGAGCTGACGGCCTGTGGACAGCTATCAGATGCGCTTGAAATACTGTGATGACCACAGTCGTACCTGGGCATACTCGACGACCGAATCCGAAGCAAAGCTGGCGTGGGTCAGGCTCAGCCGACCTCCCAGGTTTTTCGAGGAATCGAGATTGATCAAACGTCATTGGGTCGCGATACGTGCACGAATCGTGGAGAAAACCCCTGCGAGGGACACTGACGTGAGCCTTCCAGACCATAGCACGAGGGAGCATCATCCACATACTCAGTCGCTATACATGGCGTACCCTTTGGGATTAGATTGCCATTCTGAATGCCATCCTCTTGTGTTAATATGCCGTAGACCTGCGCCAGATGTTCAACTAAAATAGAAAACACGACATATGGGTTACACTGTACCTCGCGGCGCGACTACTTGCCACCTTAGCACTTCTTGCACGAGCGCGTCTATGTCGGGCGAGTGTTGTCTGTCCGCCAACCCCGGAAGTCGTTCGTGACCGATGATGCGGTCGATCTCTCCCTGCGCTGATTTTTTCGCACGTCAGGGTACAGTGTCATCGCCAGAAAGAACGAATAGTTTGCCTATTTCTGAATGTTAAAAGTTCTCCTGACGACGAAGGATCATTGACAGCTCAAGTCTAAATTCCAGCAACCTATCGTCATGATGACCGGTGAGACTTGGATGTGCAGCTCACCGTGTCGATACCACCTGATAGGGACGGACTATCAGTAAGCAATTGCACTTCACATGGGGTTCTACGATTGCCTCCGTGAACGTTTACGCAAGCCCACCCCACCATATCCTCATCATATGTGACAACTCCCTCGGTAATCTCTTTGAGGCAGTTCGAAGTAAAACCAGGCAGAACTTTCCCTTGAGCCTCAAGTTGGTGGATTTGGTTAGCATGGCAAGCTATCCCAGGAAAGTTGATAGCCGACATACCATCCGCTCTTTGACGTAAGGCGACGGGCATATTCTTCCCCTCTGACAACGTCTTCCGCATCTCGGCCGCGATCCTCTTGAACCCCATACCGGGCATCCATCCAGGCAGATAGGCGACTATAATATGAAATCAATTGTCAGTGTCTGGGTGGATGGCCACGAGACGCGATGCCAAAACTCACGCCAGGGCATGATATCAACTACATGATGCCCAGGTGCCGTTACGGAGCCGAAATCTGCACTGACGCGTTCCATCAGGGCTACAACGGGATACTCCCCCTCTCCAACCTCGTTGCCGTTGCAGATTTCGACCATTATCACGCCAGCAGACCTAAACTTCTATGTGTGAGCGCTAAACTGCACGTGAGAATCAAACCGAGCCTCTTTCCAGGGGTATCTCGCCTGTGTATCTCGCTATAAGGTTGTCGGCGTTATAAGCACGCGTAAGAGAAATCGGCGCGTCTCGCATTCCTGGATCGTCACTTGGGTGTTGACGTTCTCCTGGCCTGATATAGCAGCGGGGCAAGTGAGGTAAGGATGGGAAAGAGTAAGGGAAGACGAGAAAGAAACTGCGGAATAGTTTCCTAAACATCCTCAGCCGATCAATATACGGACTGCGAATGCAATACCCCACGAGATCACAGACCATCTTCATCCAGGGGCGGTCGTTGTCAATATTCGATTTCTTTCCTGTAACAAACAGTCAGAAAGGTTCCGCAGTGACCGGTTGGTATGCAGCGCACCGAACACGTCGACGACCACTCGCGAGTGATTAATAATCAGCATATTCGTCCCGAGGGCTTTCACCATGGTGAAGTTGCCTGTAATAAGTAAGCACATGAGTGTCAGTCCATTCCGCGCTCCAAGGCACGACTATTGGAGACCGTACCGAACTCTCTACCCCACTGAGTGAACGTCTCCCGCTCATATTCCTTCGGCAGATTGAGAAGGTTCCCGATAATAGGCACACCCCTGGGACCGGGTGGAAGAAGGCGTGTCATAACGCCATCTGACGAGAAGGTGCACGAACAGAGCGAGCAGGAAGGCCACAAGAATATCGTGGGGAGAGGATAGAAACACGCCGTGAGCCCAAAAGGGCTGAAGGAGTCAAGGTAGACTCGAAGGCCGGCACATTCTCCGATTAGCATCAAACGCTTACAAAGGTCAGGGTGCGAGTAGTTGAACCTTCTCCGCTTTGGGAGGGCCTCGCGAGGTTGACCCAGAACAGAGACCGTCTACTCACCATTTCAGCACACGGTTGCGCGACCCTCGGGCTCTTCATTTGGGCTGTCTAGGTACAAGTTGTCACCCTGAATGTGTCCTGTATCTGTGGATATCTGTGGTCGAGTCTGTTCAGCATAGTCTTCTAGCAGCATTCTTGGCCTTGGCGTGAATCATTGCACCGCTCCTTCGCGGTAATCAGGCTGAAGGTTTCTAGTCTGATTGAGGATAACCGTGGCGCGCGCGCATCGAACTTTATCGCAGGCAAATCCGAGTCAGCCACGACTTGCATTGTGTGGGGTTTACACCCGAGAAAGGCCCGCATAGTATTCTGTGGCGTGACGATCGTGAACGTCTATCAATACAAATGGGTAACCCGGCCATCCACTTCTTAGCGATGATATACGGTATACTCAGCTATCACCCATGCTGCCAAATCTATAACGCTGCCTGCCGATTCACGACATACACGCGAAGATCCTGCCAGCCTGAACAAGCAGGTAAGACGATCGTTTCCACGACGCAGCGCTACAACACTCACCTCCCCCAACGCGGCACATTACCTTGTGGGTCCTGCCGCTTGCCGTCGGCCGCGCCATCGTCGTTAGCTTGCAGTTGATCACCTTCCTGCCCAGCGCGTTCGAAAACGCGTACTGCGCCTTGATCTCCTCGTTCTCCCGGGGCGCCTTCGTCATCGGCGGGTCCACCCTCTCCACCACGAATCCGTGGGCGATTGAGTTTACCACGTTTGCGACTTCGGTGTCCAGGGGGTCTCTGGGGTTTGGCGTGTAAGGATACATTGGTTCGCCTTCGAGTGCAGGAGTGTATGCTCCCGCGCGCGAGCCGGGGCGCGAGACGACGCCTGGGCTGCGAGGGCTGGCGGAATCCTTGAAGCTCGACGGGGGGAGGCTCTTCATCAACGACGGTCGCGGCGTCGCCCTCGCATCGGCGAAGGTGTTGTGATGACCCGAAGGCAAATCAGAGATCCTTGGGCGGACCCGGTGGTCCGGTGAGCGACTGAACGACATGCTCGTGTCGGGGCGCCCGCCGTAATTCGACATTGCCGAACCGGGCCTGGACGCAGATTGTAGTTGAAAAGTAGGAATGGGTATCATGGAACGGCTAGGCGGCCGCGGAGCGGGAAGCAGGGTACCACCAGGCGTCTCAGGACGATAGGCGGAGGATATCCCGCTCGCGGCGGATACGGAGAAGGCAGGGGAGAAGGGGCGGTCGTCGGTCATGCCTCCAGGCGAGCGCTGCGACATACTCCGCCAGTGCTTGGGTTCGGGTATATTGCTCGGCGTCCTCGGGCGCGAGCGGGGCGTTACGGGTATGGGCGGGAGAGCGGGCATGCTAGCCATCCGGCTCGACGGGCGGGTGCTCGTCGCGCGCGAGGACGGCCGCGACGGCGTTCTGAAGTTCGGCATAGGCGGCGGACCCGATGACGGCGCGGTGCTGGCCGACGACGTGATCGGTGACCAGGGCCGCGAACTCGCCATAGAGCTTCGCGACGAGCTCCGTTTGTACTGAACAGGTGGCGGACCCACGTGTGGTTTCCGGGCGGGGCTCAGCCGTACGGTCCCCGAAGGATCCGGGGGTTCGACCTTGGTGGACGCGTTCCAGTCCGGGCGGCTCTTGAGTGTTCGGCCAGCGTCCGGCGCGAATCGGTGACTAGGCGAAAGGTCAGGTTCGAGCGACTGCGAGTACTTGTGGGTTGGCCGGTCGACGGTCGCGGGTAAAGGTGGTTCCTTGCGCAGTCCAAAGATGGTACTGCGGTGGCGGAGGGTGCGCACGGGCTCGGAAGACGGCTCGCGGGAGATCCTGCCGGGCATTACTGGCGTGATCGGAGGCCCGATCGGTGATTTGGGACCACCTCCTTTGAGTTTGCGTGCGAGCTTGCGGAAGGGCGAGATCGTCCCGCTCAGCGGACCATGCCTGTCCGAGGGCCCCGCAGATGGAGGTGTGGCGAGGTACCCATTCCGCTTCGATGCGGCGGTCGTACCCGATGCGCTTGAACCCGCCTCACTTGGGGCGAGGTCGCTGCTAAGCAGCAGCTTGCGAACATACTCCATCTCTGCCTCCGTGCGTCCGATGCGAGCCTTCAGGTTCTTCCACCTTTGCGTGGATTCCGCGTGCCGGCGAAGACATTCCCCGTTCTTGGTGACACGGTCTTGCACGCCCTTGTCGAGGATAGAAAGGACTTTTGAGGTGGCGGGCATGTAGTGCCTTGAGTGATAGCGAAATTAGGCGTGGGCTAGCTCGAGAGGCCGCCTGACGTACTTCTTCTTTGCCTCAAACGACTCGCTGAGTGATGTGAAAACTTCGAAGTTAATAGGCGACTTGTCCGACCTGACGCTTGACGAACTCGAGCTCCTCGACATCCAGTCGTCCCTCTGCTGCACCTGGTCAATGAACTCCTGCAGAACATGTCAATAAGATGGCGGAAACGGTAACAGTGAGAAGAGACAAACCTGACATCGATTCACCGCCTTCTCTAAGCTAGCCATCATCCCATCCGCCTGCTCCGTGACGGTCCTGAACACCGTCAGCCACTTGTCCTCTCTTAACTCCTCCCTCAGCATGTCGCTCTCCTTCTGCACCGATTCCCAGTCTGCCAGTAGAGCCGCATGTTTGCGGCATATTGCAGCCTCTTCGCTGCTTGATTCGGTGTGCGCCTGGGTTGGGGTCTTGTCTGATTGGAGAAGTGGCTCGACAGAGTCGGTGACGGCCTTGATCCCATCCGCGACTGCCTTGAGGCGCTCATCAAGGGAATTGAGCGAATGGTCGATCACATTGGTAGCACCAGACGCGTCGCTGCTGGTCGCTTGGGATTGATGTCGCAATTCTTGAATCTCTGCACATTGGGCAACATGGGGTTAGGAAACAGGAGTATTCATACACGTTAGTGGGAGGGAGAGCGCACCAAAGATACGGGTCTGAATATCGGATATACTGTACGATAGTTCGGTAATATGAGTGGATATAGCGAGAAGCCTGATATCTCTACGAGCGAGCACGCGGAAGATAAGAACCCTGTCATATTGCGTACATAGGCAGGACTCACTCCTGACTCCGTGATTTCTCCACTTGCCGGTTTAGGGAGAGCGCGCCGATACGGTTCGCGGTAATAGTGACGTTCTCTACGTTGCCCGCGCACACGGACGCGTCAGCAAGCACGTCTTACGACCGAACAGGCGGCGGGCAATGCTCACCATCATCAAACTTGCCGAATTCGTGGAGCGAGCCCGAGGACTCGCTCGAGGACGATGGCGAGGGCGAGGGGGGCGCGGACCGATTAGGCGCCGGATTAGAGACGGCTGAGTGGAGGCTGTCGCGGGACGACGAGCTACTGAGCGAAACCATGACGATAGCTAGAACCAAATGAGAGAAAGCGATGAGATAGAGTAGACAGCGAGGGTTTATGGTCCACTTGAAGTTGGCGTGAGTGGCTCAGTGACACGATCAGTTGGAACCAAGTTGGTGGCGAGAATTCGTAACGAGGGCGAAATTGAAGTAAGAGGAGGATCCGCCGGGACGCTGCTCTGTGCAAGAGGAGGGTATATTGCCGATATGGCCAGCGGATCCTCTGATGCGTCTGCCCTGGAAATATCTTGGAGCCAGTCGCTCTTGACGGTGGACAGTCGTGGCGGAAGCAGCGACCGGGCTCAGCCACAGCGTGATATTCGCTCGGGTGCATTACCATCAATACATGTAGGCTATTTCGTATGGTACGTATATTAGGTAGACGAAACGAGCAACAAACTACAAGAGTAAACGAAAAGCAGAAAAGCAATTGTCTATGATGATATGCAGAGCACCTCATCATCATGGATCGGCCATCACCACATCCTCATCCCCCTTCGCCGCGCCGGTCCCCCCGCTGTTCGCGATCGCAACCTGGCGCTCGACGTGCAAACGCCGCCAATATATGAAAAGCTCTTTCCGTGCGTCGGACTCCGCCTCGCGCATCATCGTATACCGCGACACAGATGGCTTCCACGGCTCCATCGCACTGTGCACGCCCGACGCAAGTCCCTCCTGCGACCACAGATGCTGCGCATCTGCCGGCGTATTGTTGCGGAGCGAGCGCAAAACCTCCGGCTGAACCAGCGGATGCTGCAGCAACCCGGGATAATACCGCCCCGCGATGAGCTCAACGGCGAGCACCACGTCGTGCCCTGGCTTCACAATGGCGCGAAACTTGTATCCCACCGGCGAGGGCGGGAGCGGATTTGGTTCCGTGATCGCTGGCCGCTCGGTGGGCGAGGGCGATGCACCCGCCGACTTCGATCCTGCTGGATCTGCCGGGAGAGGGTCATTCTCCTTCTCCTTCTCCTTGCCTTTGCCCATCTCTGCGCCGTCCCTTTGAGCCCCCTCGGCCGTAGCCTTCTCCGAGCCAGGCTCCTCCCAGTCGTCCTCCACGAGTTCATAGAGTTGTCCGAACACCCTACACAACCGCTGCGCGGGGTCCTTCCCGGCCGGGGGGATCTCCACCATGAAGATACCGTCGATGCGCATGAATACGCCCCGTCCGCTTGCGCCATACTTACGCATCCCTTCCTCCTCATCAACCCCCTGCATGTTCAGCTCGCGCCGTATCCGCTCGCGTGTGCTCCGGCTCGGCCCCGCGGGCGGGAGGATGTGCGCACTCCCCCGCGGCGCGACCTGGCTCCGGTCGCACTTGATACGCACGAAGTCATCCGCCCAGATACGCTCCGCGCCCCACCACAGGCCCTGAAACCGGGTCTGCGTCACTGTCCGAGTCTGCTGCGTGGCCGCCCGCGTCAGCGGCGGAGCTTGCGCCTGTGTCTGGGTCGGCGCCAACGCCGAGATGCTCGATGGCTCCGCGAGCCCGGCGGCGTTGTGTTGGGCAGATGCGTTCATCACCGCGCTCAGCGAGCTCTCCGCCGGGGGCGCGGACGCAGTCTGAGTAACACGCCGATCGGCCGGCGCCTGAACCACTTCCGTGTACTGGCACTCGTAATCGTCCGTCCCGCCGAAGTAGCGCGCAATCCCGGACGCGATCTCAAGCGCGATCGAGTATGGAACGGCGGCGTCCGCAAACTCGGGCGGTTTCCCGTCGTCATCGAGGAGCGGGCTGAACTCCGCGAGCTTCGCCTCGTCTGGAAGCGGTTGAGAGGAGGTGATGTCGAGCAGCGCTTGAAGTATTGTGTCCGGCACGGAGTACGCCTGGTAGGGCACTACTCTGGCTGAGTCCACGATCCACTCGTAGTTGCAGCCGAGCAGCTTGAGTCTGTACACATCCCATTGAACGGTTGTCCATGGCGTGTCCTCGTCCTCGTCCTCAGTATGCGGCTTCTCCGGTCGTGACGTCGAAGCTGGCGTTGACGCGGCCTGGTCCATGCCTGCCACCATCTCCGGGTCCGCAGCCTTAGGCTCCTTCGGTTCCGCCCGTGCCTTGACCTTCGATTCCCGCGCTATCGCAGGCCACAGCGTGATATACTGCGCCTGGCGGTCTCCCACAGGCGGGAGCACAATCGGCTGGTCCAGCGCGCACCACACAAGTTCACCCTCCCTGCACCAGCGTCGCACGCGGCGGCCCTTGCTGTGATATGCGGCATACACGTCGTTCACGCGCTCGGGAACGATAACCTCCTGCGGCCCGGGGAGTAGCTTGACCTTCTTGGCCTTTGGCCTCCGACGCACCGCCGTGTACAGTTCCGGAGACGGGAGCGGCCTCTGTGCCACCTCCCGTTTTGGGCGCCCCCCTTTGGACGAGAACTGGGATGCCGGGCGCGCGGAGGAGAGACCCATGCCCTGCGAGATCTCACGTTGCGGCTTGCGGGCGCAGTACTTGCACTGGCAGTTGGTCCGGTCTAGCGTCGGGTCTGTCATGAGCCAAAGGGCGTGCGGGACGAACTCGGCGATGGAGCGAAAGCGAGCAGCATGAACAGATCCTTGAAGAAGTCCCACGTCAGTCAGAGCATAGAAAACCGAGACTTAGATGATGTACCAATGAGGTAGGGGTCGTGTCGGGGTCGGTTTTCCGGACCCTTATTATGGTCGTACATCTGGTAGCCAGCCGGCCAACTCTTGAGCACGTACTCGTGACCCTCTGCGATCCGTCATCCCTATGCAGCAACACGTAAAGTACACGCACGACTCACCCGGTAGCTCAGGCAGCTTCATGAGCAAAGCAACACCCGCACCAATGCCGCAGCGCCAGCCAATGCATGCACTCTCGTCAAGTGGGATAGGTCGCATATAGTTCACATTGCCCTCGGCATCGACAGTCTTGGTCGTGTTCGTCGGCCAGTTGCGCTCGGAGCCATCGGTACGCTTGAACTCGAGGTAATGCGGATTCGTCGGCAGCTTGCGCCCTTTAGGCGTGTTCTTCATCTTTGCGACGGACATCTTGCGCGAGACGACCGAAAGACGCTCGTTATGAGCAAAACCGTAGATGAACGAAGAACTTCAGGTGGTGGCGGCGTCTGCTAAGAGGGGTTTGGGTGAAATGGGCGGAGGTGTGGATCAGTAACGTACGTTTACGCCGCGCGCTTGAATAGACCGGTTACCGACGACGGCCCGCCAATCACCGCTTAGCCACGTTCTGGAAAGTTGTAACGTTGAAAAGAAATATCTATGCTAGGTGCTGTAGCCCTGAACAATAGGTCTGGAGCATGCCAAAAAACTCGGTTGAAGTGGAGTTGAATGCGGCAAGGTGGCGGAAGGGGAACAAGGATTTACATGTACATAAGTGTTGCTATCATTCCCACACTTGCTGGACACTCGGACACTCGTACCGTGTGTTCAACCTTGATCAATAGATCTCGAGCGTATTCATGCTTAACATTAATATCCACATCATGGTGCTCTTGCTACAAACGACATCGCAAGGTTCAATATACAAGCTATAACAAGTTCAAAAGCCCCAAACAGCTCTGGACTCGTGGTGTATAAGTTTTGAATGAACCTCACGTCACTGAGCATCCTCGAAAGACCGGATCAGCGCCGCAGCCCGTGCTGAACGGGGCTTGATCGTGCACGGGAAAGGTGTAGGATGGGTGATAATCCCGCTCGTGCGATCCACCACGGGCTCGACGACATTACCCGAGTTGTCCAGGGGTTTACTGATATCGAAAACGGCGAGGGACATTGCGCATTGGAGGAAAACGGTCGAATCCGCCAGTTGACGACCTGTAAGAAATCAATCTCTCAGCGGAGCCAGGAGGGATGAAGGCAGTAGCCCGAACCTGGGCAGATTCTACGACCGAAACCGAAGCAGAAAAGGCGGGGATCGGTCTCCGCAAGCTTTCCCTCTACTTCAATGAACCGAGATGGATCGAAGGTTTCGGGGTCACGGTACGTAGCCGGATCGTGGAGGAAACCCCTACGTGGGGCAGCGTACTGAGCCCACAAATGTGCATCAACTGAAAGTACGTCGACTCGTACCAGACATTCGGGATACATATAGTACCCTTCGGGATGAAGAAACCGTTGTGAATGTCATCCTCTCTTAGCACGTGAGGGAGAGCTACACAATGTCGATCAGCCTCGGCATCGTACTTGAATCCCAGTGAACGTTGAAGGTACCTTGGGGAGCTACCACTTGCCACCTCAGCGTCTCCTTCATGAGCGCATCTGTGTAGGGCAGGCGCTCTCGGTCCGCCAACGTTGGCAGCCGATCTGGTCCGACGACGCGATCAAGCTCCTCCTGCGCTTTCTTCTGGATGTCGGGGTGCAGCATCATTGCAAGAAAGAACGAATGATTGGTCTGCCAGTACGCGTCAATGAGTTACGAGAACGTGATGCTGACAGCAGCGAGAGGCACTGACAGAAACGGTCTGCGAAGGTGGTGCATTCGTCCATAATCCACTTTGCCAATGAAAATGCGAAGCTTACCGTGTCCGCACCACCTATTTGTAGAGTGCGAGAGAGTCAGCAGAGCGCCGAGATCGACATTATATACACTCGCCTCCGTATAGATTGATTCCTGCCCATCCCACCATGTCCTCGTCGTACGGGGCCATTCCCTCGGCAATCTGTTCAAGACATCTCGAAGTAAAGCACGGTATCGCCGTTCCCTGAGCCTACGAGCATATGATAAGCGATAGGTTTTCCGAGAGATATTTCCTTCGCTCGTCATCTCCCTACCATTCGGTCCTTCACAAAGGCGACTGGCATGTTCTTCCCGTCGTACAGAGTCTTGCGCATCTCGACCGCGACCTTCTTAAATCCCATACCCGGCAGCCACCCGGGAAGATATGCGACTATATCACAAATAAGCCCGGCTAGCCTGATAGTCGATGTGCGTATCAACTTACGCCAGGGCATTATGTCCACCACATAATGCCCGGGGGTAGTCACGTCCCCGAACTCGGCCATAACGCGCTCCACCAGGTCGATCATGGGGTCGTCTCCCACTGGGACGAGCTCGTATCCATGGGATATCTTGACGATAATGGCACCGGCCAACCTGGACAGACATACTTATAGATGAGACCGCGAAAAGCACGGGCTGTAAACCCACTCACCTGCGTAGTTCCTCTCGCAAGTTGTCCGGACTACGTGAGAGGCGATACAGAAATCGGTGGGTCTCATGTTCCTCAATAGGTGCTTGAGAGTCCAGGTTCTCCTTCCCCGCAAGCGCACCTGCGTTTAGGGATGATTGATTGATCGCATTGGATGATGACCGGTAATGTCAGAACATGCAGGGAGAACACGGACCATGAAACATTTTCCGGAACAGCCTCAGTCGATCGTTGTACGGGCTGAATATGGAGTGTTCATTGTGTCCGATGAGGTCGCATGCCATTTTCATGGATGGGCGATCGCTATAAATGTTTGACTTTTTTTCTGCACGCGTGGGCTCAGTCGTGTCTGCATTACACGCCACCAGTCCACAGTCCACAAATCACCTAGCAGCTCGACCGCGATCTTGGATGAGTTGATGACCAACATATTCGTTCCAAGCGCTTTAACCATGGTCAAGTCGCCTTACCAATGCAAGGCACATTAGTTTGAGATCGTATATGGGGTATTTTTGGGTATTCACCGAACTCTTTCCCCCAGCGTGTAAACGTCTCCCATTCATGGTCCTTCGGCAAATCGAAGAGATTTCCTATGAAAGGCAGCCCCTTGGGTCCAGGAGGCAGAGGCGCTGAAGACGATCGCGCAAGAAGCCGTTTGAGCAGATACGTGACGAAGGCCAGCAAGACCACGACTCCGGTGCCGGACAACATTGCGGAGAAGGGAGGGAAACTGTAATCTCAATGGACGGTGGCTCTTATGCTTGATATTCCACGTTAAGCTCTCCGCCTCACTGTCCCGATCGAGTTGGAAGGACATTCGGTTTTCATGCTTTGACGTGACGTGGAAGACCGGAGGCCAATCAAGAGCTTAAGGGGTGTCCGCACCGTATGTTCTTGTACATAATACGTCCAAGTCCGGCACGCTATGTCAAAATAGCGTGATCAGGATCAGATAGGCGGCCCCGGCCAAGCGGCGGTTAGGAGAATCTGATGGCCTATACCCGAAGGAGTCAGAGGGGTTATATCCTCTACAGCGTTGATGTCTTGCGGTGGTCTTCGCAACATCCGAGCGTCGGCGAGCGCGAACCTCCGAGTGGGACACACAGCCCCGGGAATTTCTGCAGCCGATCCGTGCTGAGTGAATAGAAGAGCCATATGTGGGACTGGTCTTTTTATGCAATATAGTTTCGTAGACGGCCAAGACGCAAATAGAGTAACCGGCAGACAGCACGGAATCCAGGTGGCGCGACGGGCCCGGCATGAGCATCATATCATCTGTCCGTGTAGTACCCCTTGCGGAATAATCCCGCTACAGTTTGACAAACGCTACTTATTATTACATCGGATGATATCCAAGCTACCGACAGCCCGGTAGACCGCAAATAACCGATCGACGCGGACTGATTGCTTCAGCATCCATCGACCGTCACCACGCATTGGTGAGCTTTATAAGACTAGGACCTTCCCATATGCAAACCCATCTACTGCGGACGTATCGGTTGGATCAGCGGGTCCTTGTCCAAGACGGAGTTGGCGGACATTAAGAACGAGTGCTTGGTCCCGTCGCCCTATACCAACGCCAATGAGTTGAGATTCGGCGAACGTGATCTAAAGATGGAGTTGCTTACGATCAAGTTGGTCGGGAAGCCGGGGTCGAACGGTACGATGCTCTCCAAGTACTCGATTTGCTCGGGCTTGAGCGTGATGCTAAGCGCCTCGATGTTCTGATACAAGTGCTCGATCTTCCGTCCGCCGACGATGGGGAACACGTGCGGCGTCTTCTGCATCAAATACGCGATCGCGACTGCGAAAAACGTCAGCATATGTGAACCACAGTGGTGGATTGTGGGAACGCCCGTTACCTGCTGTGATGTGCTTCGCGCCCACCTCTGCCGCGACCTTCTCGAGCGCCTTGCTTACCTTCTTCTCGTCCTCCGTCCGCTCCCAATTTGGGTCGAACGTCGTCCGGCCCTTCTCGCCCGATTCCCGCCGGCGCTGCTCTTCCTCGTCTGTGCGGATTTTGCCACCGGCGACGACGTTCCACGGCGCGAGAGCGAGGCCTGTCGTGTCAAGAGGACGGTTCTCGGTTTCTGCGTCGACGGTGTGAAAGAACGGTAAGAAAACCGGCGCACCTTCAGAACGAGCCATGGGTATGATCTCGCGCTCAAAGGAGCGTTCCATAACGTTCCATGCGCCTTGGTAAATCACGAACGGCGTCTTGCCGTGATCACGCGCGTATTGGTTCGCTTTGGATACGACCCACGCCGGCGTGTCGGATACACCCTACGATTTGCCCAAGGCGTTTGAGCACTTCCCACTCGTGTTAAGCTCAAGGTGGCTCCGCTCACGAGGTAGAGGACCTTCCCTGCCAGGACGAGTGCATGGAGGCCATTCATGACCTCCTCCACGCTCGTGTCCCAGTCCCACCAGTGCACGTAGAGGATGTCTATGTACGACGTCCGGAGTTTCTTGAGAGAAGCCTCGACGGAGACGTGCATCGACTTGACGTTGTTGCCGACGTAGTTAACCTTCTGAGCAATCGATTGGTCGCGAAGCTTGAGTCCAGACGTGTACTGGAGGATGTACGGTCGGCATCGCTTCTGAGCGAAATCAAGCCGGCGACGCGGTATCTACCTTGGTGGCGATAACGAGCTGGTCGCGGATACCCCTCTTCTCCGCCCACTCTCCGATTATCTCTTCCGACCGTTCATCTTGGCTGTTAACAACGTTCAGTAACGCGCTCACCGGGCGTCGGGCAAACGCGACTGACTAGTGGTTTGCCGTATCGATGAAGTTTCCACCCGCGTCGAAGTACGCGTCCAACAGCGCGATCGACGACTTCTCGTCCATCACACCCCAGCCAATATCGTGCCATTTGTCGCCGATGTTCGCCGCGCCCAGCTGGATCGGGGAAACATGGACGCCCGCGATTGGAGAAAGGCGGCGGTAGCGGCCGAGGTTAGTCGGAGGAGGAGGGGCGGGCGCGAAGAGGGACATGGGGGATGCTGTTCAGTGCAGTTTTCCGATCCTCCTCGAACGAGCAGTAAGGACGACCGTTGGGACATTGCGCCTTTTATCGTCTTTGAGAATGAGCTGGCGTCATCCCTGAAAGGTCCTTAGTCAGAATACTGATTGTAGCGGTGATGGAGGATTAACCCACGCGGCAGTCTCGAGACGTGCGCGTACGTGGGGCAGCAGTCTCGATATATTTTCATGTGTTGGTCTGGGGCGGTCCACCGCAGCTTCTGATGAATAAGCTCGAGGCAAGATGAGTAACGGCTGACAGAGCAACATCAGAGCCGCGCACGAACCAGGCGCACAGGGACGAGTCGGAGTGGAGGAGAGGGGCACGATGCCAGAAAGCCAACGCGTACTGATGCTGCATGCTGGACAGCTCCGTGTCTCCTCGCATACTAGTCCTTGAACAGCATTGCGACGCGCACGGTGGTACGCCGGTACGCGGTAAATTCGGAGCGGAAGATGGTTAACCTTTGCGTGCAAAGCTCATGACGGCGGGAGGACGGACGCATGAAGCGCGGTGACCTCGCGCTGCTAAGTATGACTTTCTCGCCCAGTTCCCATCATCCGAGGCCAGTTAGCAGTGTGATGAAGTGATGACCGACAATCGCGACTTGCTGAGTGTCGAGCCCGCCGCATGCGACAGCGCGCTCAGCGAGGGTGAGGACGAGGAGGGGCCGTCACCGCTCACTGCACCCGCGCCTGTTCAGGAGGAAGAGGAGGAAGACCCGGATTCATTCCTGCACGATTGTAAGGACGAAGACGAGGAGTAAGAGGAAGAGAAGCCGTCGGCCTCGGCGACGTCCTTCCGGCCTAAACCCGAGATCGCCATCGACACGCCGTCGCCGCCGCTTCCGCCTGCAGCGACCCTCAGTTACCTCGTCTTCTTTGCAGCCGAACGTGGACGAGGACGTTTCCCCGCCTCCGCCTCCCAAATCGGCTGCACGGTTCGAAGATACCACCGACGACGAACGATAATTCAGAGGACGAAACGACGTCGCTGTACCTCGCCACGTACGCGGGAGGCAGCGTCGATGTATCCATGCATCAGGGGGGGGGGGGTTCACCGCAGTTTTTGATGGATTACCGCAATAGAAGCGAAGCACAACGAGTAACGGCTGGAAGAGCAAGATCGGAATCGCGCACGAATCAGTTAGACCCACATGAGCAAGTCGGAGTAAAGGGCGTACGTACGATGGACCCAACAAACGCGTACTGACCCTGTATGCTGCCGAAAGCCTACATGTTTCCACGCGTGAAGAGTATCCCCGAGACGTCTATGGCCGGATACAGTGACATGCCAGCAAGAGGCAGAATTCGAGGCTGAAGGTGGTTGACCTTGCGCGTAGACTCGCGTAGAGTGCTCACGACGGCGTAAGCGGGAGTACCCCGGGGTGGCTGATCACATTGAGTCACGGTGACCTCTTGCCATTCGCGTACGGACCTGCTCGCCAACTCTTTCACGTATTCAAGGCCCAGTGTGAATGGCCGACCGTCACGACTTGCTGGGTATCGAGCCCGTCGCATCCGACCCGAGCTCGGCGCGCTCTCCCGCACCGTCATCCTACCAGAGCGCGCTCAGCGACGGCGCATCCAGTTTAGCAGCGTCGGACGGCACGCGCGACGACGGGGAGAGACCGTCACCGCTCGCCGCGCCCGCACCTCCTCAGAAGGAAGAAGAGGAAGACCCGGATCCATTCCTGCACGATTCCGAGGACGAAGACGAGGAAGAAGAGGAAGAGAAGCCGTCGGCCTCGGCGTCGCCTCTCCCGCCAAACCAAGAGATCGCCATCGACACGCCGTCGCCGCCGCTTCCACCTGCGGCGTCCTCGTCCTCCTCTTTGCGACCGAACGCGGAGAAGGATGTCCCTCCGCCCCCACCCCCGAAGTCGAATGTACAACCAGAAGATACCCTCGACTCCTCCTCCTCCTCCTCAGAGGACGAAACGCCGTCGTTGTATCTCCCCGCTCTCGTCCTACCAACGATGTTCCTTCCCATACCTAACGTATGTACCTTTCTCGCAAGCATTTTGCCTCTATTCGACACACGACGTTCAATCCTAAACCACCACACGCAGACCGATCCACTGAGCAACCTCCTCGCAAAGTACATCCCGCCCGAGCACCGGCCGCAACGAGACCTCACCGGTGACTGGCAACGATCCGACTTCAACGCGCTTGTTGTGAGTCCACCATTCCCAACTTGCGTTTTATTTTTATTTGGCATGGATGACATTTGATATGAACCTGCATAAGCCTCTCTAGATGACCCACAGCTGGCGTGCCCTCGCGCGCATGGCCCGGGACCGAATCGTGAGCACCAACCCGGAAGAGATCGTCCTCATCCTCAGCGTACGCCCTATACCCCTCCCTCTCCCCGACCTGACCACTCTTTCCTCGCATTCCATAGCTCTGGTACCTCCGGCTCTCGTCGCTCGCGCGTCTGCGGCTGTTCAACCAAACATCGGCCGAGCTCGCGAACCTCTTCGCCGTGCTGCACTCTCCGGGCGTCGACCGCGCCGAGCTCGCGCGCGTGCTCCCGTTCGAGCTCGAGGTCCTCCACGCGCGCGCGGCGTACTGGGCAGGGGACCACATGGGCTACCTCGACGCGCTGCACGCGCTCCTGAGGAAGTGCAAGGTGCAGGGGAGGGCGGGGGAGCTGGGGGGGAGGAAGAGGAGGGTGGACGAGGCGACGAGGGAGATGTGGAGGGAGCGCGGGGCGAGGGTGTGTCTGATCATCGCGAGTCAGCTGGCGGAGATGAAGGTGGTTACGCGTCCTATTTACCTTCCCGAATTCGCTAAACGTTGTTGGCTCGAGGCTGATGGAATGGAAACGCGTAAATAGGACTTTGTCGCCGCGACGCGCGTGCTGGAGCCGCTCTGCGCGCAGGCGGGGGGCAGCGCGGCGCTCCGGTCCGCGGTCGGGCGCGTGTACCTCCAGGCGGGCCACCTCGCGCGGGCGGGTGCGCAGTTCGCGGCCGTCGCGGCCGATCCTCGCGCGGACGCGGCGACGGTGAGGATAAACGAGGCGCTGTTCGCGTGCGCCGAGGGCGACTGGGGGCGGGCGGCGGCGGTGTTGAGGGATGCCGTCAAGGAGGATCCGGATAACTACGTCGTAAGCGGGGCTTTGGTCTATCCGTCGGCCCGTTGCGCACGATATTCACGAGCACTTTTTTTTTAAAAAAAATCCGGTTTTATGTAGGCCGTGAATGATCTGGCGGTGGCGTTGCTTGGACAAGGGCGCGTGGCGGAGGGCGTGGAGGTGCTCGAGAGCGCGTTGAGGGCGTCGCCGTCGGCTGTGACGGTGGCCGAACCGTTCCTGTTCAACCTTTGTGAGTCCGCAGCTCACACTCGAATTCCTTTGGCTTTTGATGTCGTGTCTGATCTCCGGGCACGTTCTCGCTGTAGCAACGCTGTATGAGCTGCGGTCCGCCACGGCCGCGGCGAAGAAGCGTCAACTGCTGGTTGAGGTCGCGAAGTGGAGCGGGGACGGGCTGAGGACGGCGTGCTTGAAGATGCCTGCGAACTAGGCGCGGCGTTCATTATGGATCTGCCGATGATCCTCGGTCAGTGGGTGGTTCTGCTTCCGTTTCGCTAGGGCAGAACCCGTCGGTCGTTTCTCATCGTCGCAGCCTGCTCGTCACGACGTGGCCAGAGCGTGCATGAATAGTCGCGTGCCGTAGCTTGTAGCGAAGGAGCTTGTGCATATACCGCTTGTATAATATGGCAAGTACGTGCACCGGTGGGAACGCGACGAGGACGATATTGAGCTCTCGTGACCACGATGCACTGCAGTCCTGAGTTACGCGCCGTTCATGTCATGGGCTGGATCGGGACGCCAGCCCGGGCAGACGGAAGATGGAAGAGCCTACAGGGGCCGCGGCGTGCGTGCGTGTCGGCCAGAGCGTCGTGTCTCGTGCCATCGCTCGTCTCAGTCCCAGTCCTCCGCCGCCCTGAGCGTGTCTGTGTGTCGGCGACTCAGCAATTCGCGCGCGGCGAGCACGAGTATGCCTACGTGCGCGGGCCGGATGCGGCCGATGGGACGGGGCGTGCGTGCGTTCTCCCGAGATTAGAGTGGGCGAAGGCGGGCGAGAAAGGAAGGCGGGCGATGGGCGGTGGGCAGGGGGGCGTGCTATGATCTATCTGTGTCTCGCCTTATTTCCCCGCATCCGGAAGGTGACGGGCGTTTCACAGCGCGCCGACAACCCGTCTCGGAGATGCTGCGGTTGCCACCCGAGCTTTGCGTGGTTATAGCCTACGTGTGAGTGCGGATCGATGTAGGCCAAGTATTATCATCGGCACACTCTCGTCGTGCACCAGCGAGGAGGACAAGGCGGACCCTGACGCGGCATAAAGGACGCGTGGAAGGCGAGGCAGATCGGAGATCTAAGGTTCGGCATACGTAATACGAAGAATCTCGATTACCATCATCCCGAAGAAAGGGTGCCTCGACAGAGTGCGGGTGATCGACTCACGCCTCTCCCGCTTTTCCTCTTTCACCTTCTCCTTTCCCCCTCCCCCGGCGACGAGCCGCTGACGCCCCCTCCGCCATGAACGTCGCCGCCCTCCTCCAGGACAGCCCCTCGGGCGACGCCGACACACGCCGTCGCGCCCTCTCCGTCTCCTCTGGCCAGGGCCCGACCCTCCCGCCCCTCGCCGCCCCCGCCGACCGCGACAGAGACCCGCGCGAGCGAGACCGAGACCGTGACCCGCGCGACCGCGACCGCGACCGCGACGGCCAGCGCGAGCGGGACAGAGAACGAGAGCGGGAGAGAGACAGAGACAGGGACAGAGACAGAGACAGGACGCCGTCCCAGCAACCGAGGGCGTATGGCCACCCGCACCTCCCGCCGCCGTCGGCGCTCCTCGCATCCGCGCCCAACGACGCTGGCCCGGGGCTCGCGCCGCTGGGGGGACCCGGCCAGTTCGCAGCCCACTCCCACTCGCCGCCTGGCGGCGCCGCGTTCCGTGGCCCGCCCATGTACGGCATGCTCCCCCCGCCGATGACGCAGCATCCGCACCCCCACGCGCACCCACACCCCCACCCGCACCAGCAGCACCCCCACCCTCACCCGCATCAAGTTCAGCACCAGCACCCGCACGCGCACGCGCACCAGCACCAGCATCCCCACGCGCACGCGCACCCGCCGTCGTTCGACCCCTCCCGGATCCCTCTGCACAAGGTCGCGGGGGCACCCCCGCCCTCGATGTACCACGCACCACCACCCCCGCCTGGGCCGGGTATCCCCCCGCCGCCGCCGCCCCCGCCGACCGCGCAGGCGCAGGCGCAGGCCGGGCTGTACACGCGCCCGGTGCCGGAGGCGCCGCCCCCGTTCCACGCCGCGCACGGCGCGCCGCGCCACACGCCGATGCCGCCCAGCGCGCCGATGCCGTCGGGACAGCAGGGCGGCGGCGTCGTCGACCGCAGCCCGGCGATGGGCTCGCTCCAGCGCCCGCCGTCCGAGTCCGGGCGCGCGCGCCAGGGGTACGCCGACGGGCCGCCTCCGCACTCGCACCCGCTCTCGCACTCGCATCCGCCTCACTCGCACCCGCACTCGCATCCGTTGCCACCGCAGCACCAGCACCAGCACCAGCACCAGCACCAGCACGCTCACCCGCCACCACAAGGGCAGCAGATGGGCGGCGGACCCCGGGGAGGCCACGTGTCCGACGTCACCGCCGGCAGGGACCACCGCCCGGGGTCCTCGCACGCCGCATCGGGCGCGTCGACGTCGTCGCTGTCGTCGCACCACCACCCCCATCCGCCGCCGCCGCACGGCATGCCGCCGCACGCGCTCGCGGGCGGGGTGAACGTGTACGCGCCCGGCGCGGGCGGCGCGATGAGCGAGCGCGAGCGGGAGTTTGTGGAGATGGAGAGGGAGCGTGAGCGGGCGAGGTGGGAGAGGGAGCAGCATCAGTATCAGCAGCAGCAGCATCATCATCAACAGCAGCAGCAGGCGCAGAGTCAGCAGCAGCAGCAGATGGAGCGAGAGCACGCGGGGAGGGAGAGGGAACGCGAGCGACGCGAGGTGGCGGAGATGGACCGGCGGGAGAAAGATCGGAGGCGGAAGGAGAAGCGCGAGCGCGAGCGCATCGCGCAGCAGCAGCAGCAGCAGCAACAACAACAACAACACAGTGCGGAAGCGGGGATGGGCGGTGTGCAGCCGCACCCGCGCGAGCGCGCGAAGGAGAGGGAGCGCGAGATGAGGGAGAGCATGGGGATCGGGATGGACGCGGGGTTGCCGCCGATGTTCCCCGGCCACCCGTCGTCGTCTGCCGCGGCGGTCAGGGAGAAGGAGCGCGAGCAGAGGGAGAGGGAGCGCGAACAGAGGGAGAGGCATATGCATGCGGTGTCCGGACACGCGCATCGGAACAGCATGGAGGTGCGCGTCTCTTTCTTTCTTCCCCCCTGCTGTTCGTTTCGGCGTCGGCGTCGCTCGATGGTGGGCTGATGGTGGCGCGTCTGTTTTTTAGTATAACAATAAACCGCCGTATGGGCCCGAGGCGAAGCAGGCGCCCAACGGCGTCGAGCCTTCACCGCCCGGCGCGCACGCGCACGCGCGTCCGCACCCGCACCCGCACCCGCATCCGTACCCCCACCCGCACCCGGTCCACTCGCGCCCGCCGTCGCACCGGACGCGCGCGCGATCGCCGGAGGGCGGCGGCGCGTACCCGCCCCCCGCGCACGGGCACGCGCACCACCCCCAACAGATCCAGCTCGGCCTCGGCGGCGGCGGCTTGTTCCCGCCGAACGGGTACGCGCCGGGTCCGCCGCCGGTGCCGGTGCCGTTGCCGCCGCCGATCGTGGTGCACCTGGGTACGTACGTGTGGCCGCGGACGCCGTTCCCGTATTTCTTCCCTGTGCCGCCGAAGGAGAAGGAGGCGGAGAAGGAGAAGGAGAAGGAGAAGGAGAAGGAGAAGGAGAAGGAGAAGGGACGGGCGAATGGGAAGGAGAACAAGGGCGAGAGGGAGAGGGAGAGGAGGGAGAGGGAGAGAGAAGTGAAGGAGAATCAGAGGGAGAGGGAGAGGGAGGTGCAGAGGGAGGTGCAGAGGACGGAGACGCGGGCGACGGTCGTGATTCCGTCCGGGCTGTTGCCGCCGCCTGGGACGAAGCGGGGACTGGCGGCGGAGCGCGTTGTTGGGCCGAAGGGGCACGGGTTGGGTAGGATATGGGGCGGTGGGCTCGCGAGCGGGGATGGAGACCCGGTCGTGGGCAGCGGTCCGAGGCGCGAGGACGCGCAGATGCAGGGGGAGAGGAGGGTGTATACGGACGACAGCGATCTGCTGCTGTGCGCGGTCCATTGCGGGCTCGCGAGTTGGGGGGAGGTGGCGAAGGCGAAGGCGAGGGGGGAGGACGTGAGGGTGGAGGTGAAGATCGTGAGGGGGTGGGGGAGGTACGTGGGTGGGTGGGGGGCGGCGTTCGTGGGGAGGAAGAAGAGGAGAGCGAGGAGGGGGGAGGAGGAAGCGGCTGCGGAGGAGGATGGGAGGAGGATGCTGAGCTCTGGGTGGGGGAGCGGGCACGATGGCAGTGGGATCGAGGTTATCAAGGTGGAGTACGTCAAGGTGAGCATGGGTGGATGCCCGTTGCGATGAAAAGGAGTGCTGACTATAAGAGGCGAGCAGGGTGCGGTGAAGTCGCTTGGGTTGAAGACCCGGCCGCAGCGGATGCTTGAGTACGCGCAGAGGCGGGCGCAGATGTTCGGAGGCGCGGTGTTGGACGAGGATGAAGGACATCTGGGGAAGCGCAAGCGGAGTACTGGGCGGGAGAGGAGTCCGACGCCGCCGCCCACCTCGGAAAAACTGGCGGAGAGGGCGCGGAAGAGGCAGAGGAGATTGCCTAACGCCGCGGTGCTTGAGCCATTAGGCGAGGAAGACGAACGCATGGAGGAAGGGGAGGGCTGGGAAGAGAGCTGTAACCGGAGAGGCATCGTCTGGGGCGGTGCGAAGGTTGGGTCGGCGCCTAGGTAAATCAGTCCGCATTCTTTCTTCTTCGGTCGCAGGTAGCTGACTTCATTTCGTCTTGGACAGGTTCGTCTATAATCCCGACGCGCTCAAAAACGCCATGTTCCCGCCTGTGCGACTGCAGGCGAATGGCGAAGAGGTCGCAGTGGACGAGAGCAGGGCGCCGCCGCCGCCTTCGCCTTCACCGATTGTGCTCGAGACGGAGTCCGAGCGGTTCGTGGTGCGGCCGAGCGGGCCGCGCAGGTGGACGATCGAGGTCGAGGAAGACGCGCTTGCCGTTCAGGACGCGCCAAAGCCGACGACGCCTCCTGATTCTGAGGCGAAGGCGAAGGCGACCGAGGAGTCGGCGCCTGCGACAGCGGAGGAGACGCCCGCCGAACCCGGCGCAGCGGGACGATCGGAGGCGGACGCTCCCCATGCCGGTCCGTCGTCTGAGTCGGGTCTGGGCCCTGGCGTCCGTGTGGGGAAGATACCGGGCGACGACGTCATGGCGGTCGACGACGATAAGGCCGGTGCGATGACGCAAGCTGAGTCAGAGGCAGAGAAGAAGGACGAGAAGCCGGGAGCGAAACAGGAGGTCGTGGACGATAGCGGGAGGCGCGTGCTCGTCGAGGAGGTCGGGGAGGACCGCGTGAGGTTTTTGTCTGAGGGCGTCGCGATTGCGTTGGCCGATGGGACCGGGCGGGGGTGTTTGATCGAGGTGCGGACGTGGACGTTTGCTTGAACGGTATCTATCCGCTATAGGGTCTTAAGAGAATGAGGTTCATGCATGCAGATTTATGTATTTTCTATTCCATGGCTACGTTGCGCTGTGATTCATGGACGACCTGATTTACTGTAATCGCATCCCTGCCGTACGATTTCCGAACGGCCGCCGAAGTGGTATTGCCAGAGGGTGTCTGCTCAGTGCTATAGTGTCGACTTTTTCGTCGGCGAGAACGCACTCCATGCCCGAGCGTTTCTTTTTTTTTTCCGCTCGAGAAGTCGAGCAGGTGGTGCCATGTGGGCTGACGGATGCATTCGGTGCGCCATCATCCGTCCGCTGGCCACACGTTCGGAGGTATATCGATCAGTGGCGGGGGGTCCCTTCCCATTTCCCCAGCCCGTTTGTGCAGATTTGGGCGAGTCGGCGTCGATGCGGGCCCCTCCCTGTCTCACCGGCGACGGAGGCTAGTTCTCAAGCGCGGTTTAACTTTGGATGGCTTTTTTTTGCGACGCGGTGAGGAGACGTTGCGAGCCCCGCCGCCTCTCGCCTCCGGGGCCACACTCGAGCGCATCTGTGTAATCGCGGTGTGGAGCGCCAGGTCGTGCGTGTGCGGCGTGCCTGAGCGATCGCAAAGCCTGGGTGTGGGTCTGTATGTACCCGGATTCGGCGTGGGAACGGACGCTCGGGTCGGAGGTTTCACCGCGACGTGCACCGCACGGGGGTCCGCTTGCCATCGTCTGGAGGGGATCGCCAACAAGCTGGGGCCGACTGGGTGGCTTCAAGGGGGCGAGGCCGTGGGTGTGGCAGCCGACGACCAAGGAAATCCTCCTGCCTCCTCTCTCTCCTCGCTGCACACACCACGGCACACTCGAGTCCGAGCTGATATCCTGCTGCGGCCATGTCCTGGCTCCCACCTGTGGCGCCACCGACCCTCACCTCGTCCGCTGCCGGCGAACAGGAGACGGAGACGGAGACGGAGTGCGCCCAGCCCGAACGGACGGAGGTGCGACACAAGCAGCGGGAGGGAACGATCGCCGCACCGTCGCCAGCACGGCCGGGCATCGCCGCCGCCCCCGCCGCCGCCAACATCCATGCTCGTACGACTACCGCGCTGCCGCCCTCGCCGCCGCCGACGGTATCGACGCCCGACATCGACGCCCTCCTCCCGCCGCCCGTGACCGCCTTCCGCGCGGGTCGCGGCGCCTCGTCGAGCACGCTCGCGCCCGAGACCGGGGGGCCGACGAGGACGAGGAAGTCGCTCCGGGTGACGCTCGAGGAGGAGACGCGCGGACGGGGGGGCGGGACGCTGCGCGTGCACTGGGCGCGGTTCAAGCGGCGCTGGGGCGAGGGCACGCTGCCGAGCGAGAGCAGCGTGCACGATCAGAGCACGGGCGCCGGATCGAGCAACGTCGCGCCGCGGCGGAGCGGGGTCGGCGAGCGCGAGAAGAACGCGGAGGGCACGGAGGAGGAGGGGGAGGGGGAGGGGGAGGACGAGGAGACGGTGGACGATGTCGTGGTGGACCGGGTGTGGGCGGAGGAGATGCGGAGCAGCGTGACGAGCGAGCATGGGCAGAGCCAGAGCAGCCCGCAGAAGACGCCGACTCAGCCGCCCGCGGTGTTGAGCGTGACGGCGACGGCTACGGACCACGAGAGCGACGCGTACGGGTTCTGGGGGAGCTGTCGGGCGCTTGCCGTCTTACGATGGTGGGTCTCTCTCTCTCTCTCTCTCTCTCTCTCTCTCTCTCTCTCTCTCTCTCTTTTCGTTTCAGCGTGACCTACCACTAACTCACGGCGTCCGACTAGGCGACTCTGGCCTGCGGTCGCCCACTTTTTCTACAACCGGTTCCTCGACTCCAAGGCAGAGGAGCACTACCGGCGCGAGGCCTGGTTTCACTCCAGGGGCCTCGCGATCTGGTCCGCCGTCTTTTTCCTCGTCAACTGGATCCTCGGCGCCGCCCTCGTCCCGCATCCGCTCGTCCTCGCCGATAAGATATTCTACTACGGTACATCTCGCTTTCGATACTCCTCAGCCTTGCGGAGATATCTCACCACTCGTTCGTATACACCCCAGGTGCGGCGCCGGCGCTGACGGTCCCCCTGCTGCCCATGGTCGTGTACGACTTTCCCCGTTCGCATCCAAAGGTGTATCAATCGCTCCTATGCGTCTCTGCTTGGTCTTGGTGAGCAGCTTCCCCTCCCCAAATCCCACCCCTGCCGCCCACGAGTATAGAACGGATCGCTGACACGGATTGATGCGCGCGCGCTCGATTTATCACGGTCCCTGTATCAGATCATGTTCATGTGAGTCATTCTCGCTTTATCCGTAATGTGGCCCGGTGGGGCACACGTGCGCATGCGGTGAAGGTCGGTTGCTGATTCGACGAGCGCCTTCCACGTTTATGCCATATAGACGGTGGTGTGGGAAATACAAGTGAGTCTTTTTTTTGGTCTTTACGATTTCCTCTTTGTCGCCGTCTTCGGACTATTCGGGGATGAGTGTTTCCGCGGGCGAATCGCCTCCTCGGATCGCCGCAGGAGGGTGCGCGCGGAAACCCTAAACCTTCGTCTCTCTTTGTCCGCCGAGGAGGGAAGGGAGTTCTGATGTTCTTTTCTTTTGACAGTCCAAAGCATATGCACTTCGATTGTGGGACGAAGGACTTCTTGGCGACGTTTTAGTAAGTTCAACCCCGTTCGCACAGCGGCCGCTGTTTCCGAACGCCATGGAGCTGACGATATGGTGGACCGGCGCAGTTATACGTCGGCGTTGCAGACGATTGCGCTGTTCGGGCTGAAGATGAACAGGTTGCCGGCGCTGTGTGGTGCGCTGTTCGTCTGCGTTTCGTAAGTGCTCTCGATTTTCTTTCAAGGTATTTTCCCGCCCGAGATTGAGTCGATGACGCAGGATGTGCGCGTTGATCGTTCCCGATCGAATTGGATGGATACGGAGTACGTCCACCCCCCTCCCCCCTCGTTTTCCCTTCGTTTTCGCTGCTGTCTTGGCCTTGGGATATGTGCGTGCGACTCTGACCTCTTTTTTCGGATAGATGTTATCAACTTTGTGGTATTCCAAGGCACGTCCCGTCACCGCTCCAGTTTCGGTAAACTGTTCCTCATCTCCGCTGTTCCAGGCTTCCTGTTATATGTGCATTATATGCGAGAAGTGGTGAGCACGGGGACCCCTCCCTCCCTCTCCTGCTGCGTCGCACGCCGTAGCTAACAATACCACCCCCCTTTTCTCTTTTCTTTCTTCTTCTCTGCTCGCTCCATCCGGTCCGCGTGCCAAGTCGGAGCGCCGGATGTACAACCTCCGCGACCAGTTGAAGATTCAGTTCCGCGCGACGCAGAAGGCGCAGGTGAACGAGCGCAAGGCGGCGGACTCGAAGCGGCGACTGACGTCGTACGTATTCCACGAGGTGCGCGTGCCGCTCAACACGGCGCTGCTCGCCGTCCAGAACATAGACGCGGGCGGGGTCGTGCCGAAGGAGCACGAGATCGAGTTCAGGGCGTTGGAGGGGAGCCTGAGCATGATGTCAAAAGGTGGGGGGGCGGGATTTTTCTTTTCTTTTTCTTTTCTTTCTGTGTTCTCAGCAAGGGCTCATCGGTGTCGACGTCGGGCGTGGGCGTTTTTTCCAGTGTTGAACGACGTGCTCGATTTCAATCGGATGGACGCGGGCCGATTCGAGAGCGTGCATAAGCCGTACGCGTTCCATCAGGTCATGGAGGGCATGATGGTCCCGCTCAAGATCGCCACCGATGCGCGGGGGCTGGAGCTGGTCACCGAGTTTGACCGGAGCATCGACTGGGTGGCGAAGCGGGCGGCGTACCAGGCGATGGGCCACGACGACGCGACGGTGTCGCGCATGCTCGCGGAGCGGGCGGAGGAGGGCGGGGTCGTCGTCGGCGACGAGACGCGCCTCCGGCAGGTGATCACGAACCTCGCGAGCAACGCGACGAAATTCACGCATACCGGCGGGCGGCTCACGATCCGGACGACGCTCGTGTACCCGGAGGTGCACACGCCGTACGGCGTGCAGACGCAGGTGGGTACGCCGTACGCGCGCCCGGAGCCGGACGAAGGTGACTACTTTGGGGCGCGCGCGGGGTCGGGGAAGGCGGAGAGCCCGGGAGAGGACGACGAGGGGGAGGTGCCGATGCGGGGCGCGCTCCCGCTGTCGCATAGCCACCTGAGCCAACATAATCTGCACCACGATCGGACGGCGTTGCAGTGGATAGTGGTGAGGATCGAGGTGAGCGATACGGGGTGCGGGATACGCCGGCGGGATATGCAGCAGAGCAAGCTGTTCTGTAAGTCGCGGTGCTGTGGTTTTGGGATTGGGTGTGCGCGGCTGACGGATTCTCGTTCTTCTCAGCGGCGTTCAATCAGACCGAGATGGGAAGGCAACAAGGTGTGTTTTGACTGCCAGGACATGGACCAATCCGGATGCTTAACGTGAACATAGGCGGCAAAGGCACCGGTCTTGGACTGGCGCTTGTCAGGCAGATCGTCAAACTCTCGGGAGGCCGATTGGGCGTAAAGTCCAAGGTGAACGAGGGATCGACGTTCTGGGTTGAGCTGCGTGAGTGGGAACCTGGTTAGTTTCCAGGCCAGCAGAACTGAACTCGCATGCCAGCGCTGGGCGTTGGAAGCAAAGCTCTCCAGTCGATGGATCCGTTGTTCATGGAGAACGATGCCGCTGCGACCTTGGAGCAGCAACTACTCGATCCGAACGAACAATGGGCAACGAAGACGGACCCGAGGCAGAAAATCACGCAACCGCCGCCAGGAGCTGTACCGTCGGCCCTCACCAGTGTCATGGAGCAAGGTTCGGCATGTATCAAAATGATGATTGGTAGCCGATTGATCTACCTTCACAGGAGGGCTATTCGAGCTTGGGACGAATCGTCGTCAATCCGGTATCGTCACCCGTACGATCGGCGACCCATCCACGGGCACCGACGTGTCCCTTCTCGTGGACAACTCCGATGATGCCCTCGATCCCAGTTCTCCGCCAGGCTTCTCACATAGGTCATCCTCCTCGTCGAGTATGAGCGCTATAGTTCGCCCGGCCCAGCCGCGTCCGAATTTTGTCGAGTTGCCGCGCCCCCCGAACTTTTCTGCGGACAGTGACGCGACAGCCGTCGATCCGTCCCCGGCCGGTTCGGATCGATCCAAGCTGACGGACCCTCCGCCTTCCGCCACGACGAGCGTGTCCGCAACGCCGTCGTTCGAAAAGGGCATGCACGTGCTCGTCGTAGACGACGATACCCTGACGCGGATGCTCATGAAGCGCATGCTAATGCGGTTAGGGTGCCACGTGTCGACGGCGGAGAATGGCGAGATCGCGGTGGAGATGATCACGGGCGGCTTGCGGCCTACGCCGTCGTCGGAGGGCTCGTCGAAGCGCATCGGCAACGAGCCCGGCAGCGGCGGGGAGGACAGTGGCGGCCAGGAGGGCCGCTTCGCGGCGGTGTTCCTCGATAACCAGATGCCGGTGTTGAGCGGGATACACACGATCGCGCGCCTGCGTGAGGCGGGGCGGAAGGATTTCGTCATCGGGGTAACGGGAAACGCCCTCCTCGGGGATCAAGAAGAGTTCCTTGAGGCCGGTCAGTTGTTTGCTCCCGATGTCATGAGCGAGGGCTCATTCATTGGCCCGTTCGTCGGCGCTCCCCTTATAGGTGTCGATCACGTCCTGACCAAGCCGGTTCTGGAGCGAAGTACGTGTCTCACCAGTCGGATATGGTTATTGGCGCGCCGCTGACTGTGGCGTCAGGTCTTCGCAATATGCTCGTCCTCGCGGACGAACGTCGAAAACGCGCGGTTGCGCCTTCATGAGGTTTTCATCTTGTTTTTGGGGCTCTTGAGCGACATGGTCAGGTTCTAGGGTTACGTTCATACGCGTTGTGGTATATATTGCTTTCATTCTCTCTTTTAGGGACATGGACGCTCCATTTAGTATGCTATCATCTAGTTGCAGTCGCACCATACAATCATGTACACTTCCATCATCGCATGCACATACAAGTTTTTACTCGTTTCTCGCAATACAAGGCAGAGATAGTGCCTGCATCTGTTCGATTGGTGGTCCTCGAGGCCAGCCGCACTTCAATGGAACGTGGAAACGAAGGTTCGGCGCTTGCACCGCTCTACCAGGGCCCTTTAGTCCTGTTTAGTCTCTTGACCTCGGACTCTCACTACCTCTCCACCCACCACAAGGGCTCGCGGCTCGCCATGGAGACCCCTCAAAACACTGCTAAAGCCCACGAAAGCGAGGCGGAGCCGTTCCCTCTCACCAACTTATCGCGAACCGGAAGCGGGGAAGACCTCAGCTCTGGTGCGTATCTGGCTGTACACGGCGTTTAGCTCTCATCGCTTATGTCGGTGCGCTCTATGCTCGCATATGCACTTCTACTTCAGAACTGCAAGTGCCGCGTAAACGGGAGCGGGAAATATCGCTGGAGCCCGCCACGCCACAGTCTACTACCCTCGTACGTCCAACCTCATGTTCGTGGCCATATCATGCGATCGGCGCGCGTTATGCACTGCACCCTGGCGGCGATGAGTCTTATCTGGTTTGATATAGGATATGGAATCACCCGGAAAGGAGCGACGCGTGCCCGTGAAGAAGAACAAGCTGGACGCAACCGAGGAGGAGGATCCTCAGGATAACGGCGTCGTGACCCCACCACGTTCCCGCTCTCGCTCATCGTCAGGGCCGGACGTGGCTGCCGAGCTCGGCAAATCTCCGCCCATCGAGTCGAAGGTACGGCATATCAGCCGCAGGGTGGAAGATATCACTTGGAAAGATGGTGTTCCGCAGGAAACGTGTGTCCAGGTGGATGTACAGGCCAACGCGGGCGTCGACACTCCTGCCGTACTCGAGGCGGCTGCGGACATTGCTTCTGTGCCCGGTTATGTCCAGCCAGAGACCAAAGATATCGATATCCCGGACGAATCGCAGCAGAGTATCGTACACGAGCCACCTCAACAAGAACAACCTCAAAACCAAGGAAGTAGCACGGACGAAGATGAGAAGATGGAAAGACGGAGGAGCTCTGAGTCCATCACTGGTACCAAGAGGCAACGCGAGGAGCCCGATCAGGACGCCAATCCACGCGAGACCAAACGACCCTCTCCTCCGCCTGATGAGAACCCTGCGACACCAGCGCCTGCACCGATCCCTCCTTCAACGCCCAAACTGGTACGCCGATCCTCATTATTCTCAATGAACGCGCTGATAGCAGCCCCAATAGAGCGGTTTCATGGCTTACGCCTCCTCCAGCTCCCCATTCTCGTCTGTCAAGGGCGCACCCGTGTTTGGCAGCACCAGCAAACCGAAGTCTACTCCGACATTCGGTGCTCCGTCCCCTTTCAGACCCGCTGCTTCTGGAACCTCGTCGCCTTTCGCATCGGGAAACGCGGTCTCGTCACCTTTCGCCTCGGGAAACGCGACTCCTTCGACGTCGCAGACGGAGAGCCTGAGGCCCGCGTCGCCAAAGCCCTCCACCGCCTCCAGCCTGTTCCAGAAATCCGCTTTCGCCGCTTTCGCGTCGCCTTCCTCCCCGTTCGCATCCGTCACGCCCTCACGATCTCCGTCTTCGGGCCCCGCGCGACCGAAGTCCCCCGTGAACAGAAGCAAGTCCCCGTACGGCGACAGAGCGAAATCGCCGTCTGCACGAATCAACGCCAAGGCGTCAGGCGCTTTCGCGTCATATGCGACGGGCGGATATATACAAAGCCTTGCTGCGGCCAGTCCTCTGGCCGCAACTCCGAAGAAATCGAGAGCAGGTACACCGGCGGAGAAGGATCCCTCTGTCAAAGCTAGCGTGCTGTCAGCTGGTGAGGACGAAGGCGCACAAACTGAGAACGAGGAAGGCGAGGAGAGCCCGAAGGAGACCGCCTCGTTCGGCGAAAAGCTAAGAGCTGGGAAAGATCAGGAAGACGAGAGCGAGAGTGAGCGGTCCAAGGTGGAGCTGAGCGAACAAGACGGTATGTCTCACATTCCTGTATTCCTAAAATGGGGATTTTTGTTGATTCTTCGGCCAGTGCCCACCGGCGAAGAGGAAGAAGAAACCGTATACCAAGTTCGAGGCAAGTTGTACACACTCAGCCCAGAGACGCAATGGCAAGAGCGGGGTACCGGCATGCTCAAGCTCAATGTATTGCGGGTCGATGGCTCAAGCCCTCGTCTTGGTACGTTGTTTCTGATTCCGAAGGTGCACTAGGCGGCGCGCTGATAGGTGCGGTAGTGATGAGGAAGGAGGCGGTATATTCACTGCTGCTAAACATCTCCCTTTTCAAGGGCATGCATTTCGCCTTAGCACAGGACCCGCGGTACTTGCGCTTCAGTGCGCTCGAAAACGGGAAAACTGTGCATTACAATCTTCGAGTGGGTTGCATGACGATATATGTGTGGTTGACCTACTCTAACGCCGTGGACATCGCAGGTGTCGAACCAGAAGATCGCCGAAGAGCTGCTGGAGGAGATCAACGCGAATATCCCTGGCTCATAGTTCCTAGAACTCGCGCTTTCGCTTCAGGATTCTCCGTACATGTACGATCTCTAATATGCCAATCAACGCGTTTCTGCTTCCGCCTCTGCAATTGGGCCTATGACGGTTATCCGAGGCGTGGGAATATATGATTTGAGGAGCCGCTGCGGTTCCGCTATGCGTGCCTCCTAGGCCTATACCTTACCTTCCCTCCACTTTACCAACTGCATCCTTCTGTCTATGCTTCTACGATAATTTCTACGAACTATGACCCCAGTTACATCCACCCCTGCTGTCCCGACCACCAGGAAGATGCGTTCCAGCGCGCACTCCCTGACACAGCGAAAGCTCTCGGACTCCTTCACGGCGACCAAGCGTTCAGCGTCTAATGCTTCCTCAAAGCAGAAGCAGAAGGCTGAAAATATCTCCGGTTCCGTCATCAACCTCACCTCGGACAGCAGCGATGAAGAGCAGGAGGTTGAAGATAAGCCGGCCAAGCGCTCAGAGGAAGAAGTTGCTGCTGCTCCTGCCCCCGCTCCCAAGCGCCGCAAAATCGCAAGGGATACTTCCGCAGCGAATGTTGCGGAGAAGCTGCAAGCTGCACAAGGGAAGAAGGCGAGGAAGAACGGGGATGCGGCGCCTCCCGCATTGAATGAGAACGCCAAGCAACCAGCTGAGGGCAAGCTTTTGGAGCTCAAGCACAGCGATAAGAAATGGAATAAAGCGTTCAATGCCGCGAAGGCAAAGAATGGACACCTAGCAACCAGTGAGTCCTTTTCTCCTTGCGGTCGTTCATGCATCATCATATGCCTGTTATATGCGCATATATGATAGGGTTGCAGCTCATTGCGCCTTCTACATAATACTGACATACTTTCGGTAGTCCACACCGAAGGCCAGAGCAAGGTTGCTCATATCCTCCGCTCATTTGACCTGTGAGTGCATCATCAACCATGTCCTTGAAAAGGCTCTGACCGTTCTTCTACCAAACAGGTCCTATGAGTATGGCCCATGTGTAGGTGTTTCCCGTCTCGAGCGTTGGGAACGCGCAGAGGCACTAGGCCTCAACCCACCTCCGGAGGTATGTCTCTCGATATCGCCGGTAATTCGACTGAAGACTGACGCGCTCTGTCCACAGGTCCGCGACATCCTTACCACCAGGCAAGGTGTCGAAGCGGATGAACTCTCGCAATGTGTATTCTATGGCGAGGTTTGAGGCTGCATGCCCTTCGTACTTCACCGGCTTCTCACGACGGACCACCATCTCTCGGTATTCTCGCGACACATTATTTCACCCGTACCTGTATTATATACCTACATATTTGCGGCTGCTATGAGAAGTATCCTGTCGTCTCCTGTCATGTATTGTAGAGTAGGTTTGAATGCATCATGCATATACTCACCCTCGTTGCTGCTTGCTCAAAGTTCCTCGCTGACCCCTTGTTTCACAAGAGACCGCTGCTTGCCAGCATAACGCACGGAATATAACCATACCTCATCCGTGATTCCGTCGCCGAACGCAACCTGGAGGACCGCCACGTCGCACAGCGCGCTCAGGTGACTGCTCTCACCCTCCGGCCGCGATGGACATAAACTAAGTTACACCTCTGCCAAAGCCTGCCAACACACCTTCTACCTTCCGTCAGCCTTATTGCATAGGGCGGTGACGAAGGAAGGCTTTTTTTGCCTGGGCTCCGTATTCCAATCATTGGTCGGCCATGGCACCCGCGACCCTCTTCTCGGTTCTTGTGGCATTGCTGGCTACAGTGAGTATCACACTCCACACATTCGTTGCAAGATGAACGACCAGATCATCCTTGTTCTAAGAGCTGCGAGCCGCCTGATCCAGGCGCGCGTCGTGGCGACGACGAAACATTTGGGTCAGGACTTAGTCCTTGAACTGAACCCCGTCCTTCGCAACTCGGTCTTCAGACGTCGAGCGCTAACATTGTTCACAGTTATATGGCGTCCTTGTTTTCCTCACCCCGCCTCCGATAAAATCTACGCCTTCCGAGCTAACGTACCGCACTCGGCTCTCGTCCGAGCCTCTCCCACTCCCTTCCATTCACGATGCACCATCAGTCGACCTCACCGTGGTTGTCCCTGCGTACAATGAGGTCAATAGACTCCCCGCCATGCTCTCCACGGCAGTGCGCCACCTCTCTGCACTACAATCCGTTGTAGGCCGGACCTACGAGATCCTCATCGTCGACGACGGCTCCACGGACGGTACCGCTGAGTTCGCGCTGAAGCTCGCGGAAGAGGAGTACCCTGCCTCTGATATCAGGGTGGTGAATCTGAAGAAGAACTTGGGAAAGGGTGGAGCGGTGCGGCATGGCATGCTGCACGGGCGTGGAAGGAAGTTGTTGATGGTGGACGCCGATGGAGCAAGCCGGTTCCAGGACCTGGAGGATCTCTGGCTAGCGCTAGATAAGCTCGCGCCGAAGAATCATGCTGCGGCTGCCATCGGTAGCCGTGCTCATCTCGTGAAAACGGAGGCGGTCGTGAAGGTTAGTCCTCGCCGGTCTTCCGCCGACGGTACTGGGAGCTGACTATTCGTCGGTCGTAGCGTTCGCCCCTTCGGAATGTCCTCATGTACGGGCTGCACACCATCCTACGCATCGTCGGGGTTGGCCACATTCGCGATACTCAATGCGGCTTCAAGCTCTTCACCCGTGCCGCCGCGCAACAAATCTTCCCCCAGCAGCACCTCACGACGTGGATCTTCGACGTCGAGATTTTGCTCATCGCGAAACAAATGGGAATCCCCGTAGCGGAGGTGCCAATCGAATGGCACGAGATACCTGGGAGCAAGCTGAACGTGGTGGTAGACAGCTTGCAGATGTTGAGAGATCTTCTTGTGATGAGGATCAACCAAATGCTAGGCAGATGGAGGGTTGCAGTGTAAAAGAGTGATCTGCTATGGATGTAGACGGTATCGGCATAACTTATTCGCAATAATGGACGGTTATGGAAAGCATGAGGACCAAGAGGGAATTCATAGGAATCGCTCAATCAGACTCATCGTCCCCCAAGAACGCCGTAATGCTTTTACGCGCAGCATTCGGACCCTGAAGTCGCTGTAGGCAGTGCAGGAGTTAGCAGTGCCGTATCGAACATGGCTACGAGGACTGGCAAATACCTTCGCCCTCTTCTTCTTCGGCTCATCATCGTCCCCTTCGCTGTCCTCCTCGTCGCTGAAGATTTCCCCGTCACTTTTCTTGTCCGTCTGCTTCTGGCTCTGCGTCGCAGATCTCCGACTCCGCCCAACGATGGCCTTCTCAAAGTTTACTACGTCTTCAATCTCCTGCGCCAGCTCTCGTTTTGCGCGGATCGCTTTCGCCTGTTCCATCGACATGCGGCCAGACATTCCGAGCGATGTCAAGATTTCTTTGATTTTCTGACACGCAGTTATGGATACGACAGCGCTCGCACAACAAGCGGTGGTCATACCTTGATTTGCTGGGAAGGTCTGTCAAGACCTGCGAGCTCTTTTGACCAGACTTTGCGCACACCACAAGCAACGACCAGGCTCTGGATACATTCTAAGTTCACGGATCGCAGTCCAGCACATTTCGGAGGGGCATACCTTCAGGCGCTTAATTGTCTCCTCGTCCTTATCAACCTCCTTCTTGGCCCGTTTGGCTTTCGGTTTCGCCGCCTCAGAATTAGCTCTCGGCTTTGCCTTGGATTTCGCCGCCGGTTTAGACTTCGATTGCGAACTATTCTCCGAGGCAACCTCCGCTTCGTCGTCGCTTGCGGTTGCTTGCTTCGCAGACTTGGGCTTCAATTGGCGTTTTGGCGCCGACTTTGCTTTGACCGAAGAGCTGCTCGTGGCGCGCTTAGTCGAGACGTCTTCCTCGTCACTGGTGTCCACCCTGGAAGGCTTGAGTTTTGCAGCGGCTGTACTGGGAGCACCAGTACCGTCGTCCTCATCATGTTCGATGTCCGAGGTTGCTATGAATTCCTGTAGACGTGGCAGTCAATACCCGCGTACAGGAGTGCATTTGCGAGTGTGGTGAACGCAAGGAACGTACAGCAGACTTGTATACCGCCTTTGACTTCGACTGTCTCTTGCGTTTCTTGCTTGCCGACGTCGAGTCTGCAGACGCGTCTTCGCTCGACGCGCGAGACTTCACTGGTTTTGCGGGCTTTGATGTTGATTTGCCCTTGACCTCCTTCTTGAGTTTCGGGGTCGATGGCTCCGGCTCGGACGCGTCGTCCTCGGAGCGGGGTTCTTGCTGGATACACACGTCAGCATGCCACAGGCCGCAGAGCATGAAAGCATATCTGGGCAACGTACCGCAGCTTCGTGTGCTGTTTGTTTGATGGCTGTGCGGAACTCTCTGAGGTCGTCCTCGTCAACCTCTAGCAGCTTCGCTACTTCATCGCGAACTATGCGCGGCGTGAGAGTACTATTTCGCGCCAACTATCAACGCCTCGTCTGCTGCTTTGGCACGGACCCGTTCACCTCATCGAGACCCCGTTCCGCTTGGCCTTGCGTACGACAGAGCGCGTCGCGTCCGTCACTTGCGCGAGGTTCAACGCCATACTTCAGTCGAAGGCCAGCGATACTAATCAGGAGGAAAGGCTCGGTAGTGCTGCGCTATGCAGGGCTGAGCAGCCTGAGCAGAAGAAGACCGGTCCGAGTCTGGCGCCCCGCGCGCTCAATCTCTGCTCAACTCAAAATGTGACGCGCTCACGCGTTACACGCGTCCCACGTGATGACCATTTGAGTCCTATTGGGACCGCGCCAAAAAATATACGTATCTACCTACAAACATGTGCCTATGTACACTGGCGTTGTTCATACAGTACGTGTATTATGATCTGGGATGCAAGGAATCTCGTTCTCTAAGCTTAAGAAGTCATATGAAATCGCATTCAGAACAGGATGAGGCACCATCGTCTTCGTAAATGACGCCGATGGCAGCAGCCCCTCACAAATCCGACCTTGCGATTCCCACCTGCACGCCCTGCTGCTCATCGCTCTCTTTCCGGTCGACGTCGTCGTCGTTGGTCCCGTTGGTTTCATCCAAACGGCTCTCCTCGAGCTCCGCCTCGTCCGGGACCGAGATCCCCGCCTGCGCCGCCTCCTCCGCGAAGCGGGCGACGTCGATCTCGCGCTTGTCGAAGACGCCGAAATGGGCGCCGGTGCGGCGGGCGTAGAGGTAGGTCGCACCGGCGCGGAGCGCAAAGGCGCCGAAGGTCCAGAGGATGCTGCCCACCGGGGCGGCGACGAAGGCACCGAAGGTCGACCAGTCGTCTGCATATATGCCCTGAGATGCGATCGGTGCATGAGTAACGGCCAAGTAATATCAATGGAGGGGTAGAGTGGGACTGACAGCTTGGAGAATCAACACGCCTGCGCCCTTCTTAGCGTCGTTATCTGATGGGAGTGTAAATTAAGTCTCTGGGATGTGATATGGCAATCAGGCTAACAGTAGATGGCGCCCCAGATGAAGACGGTGAAGAAACCTCCCACGCCACCAATGATGATGTCGAACGAGTTCAGGAAGTAGAGACGCGGAATCAAGCCCTAAACGTCCTTCGTGTTAATCGAATGTGGCGGGGATGCACATCGAAGTAAACTGACCAAGAAAATAGGAGGCATGATGGCCGCGGATACCAAGTCCGAAATGAGGTACAATACAAGGATATTCAAGTTCTTCGTCGCCCTACAACGTTTCATGAGCACCCTGTTGCGGACTGAATAGGATAGCAGATGACGTACACAACGACGGCGGGCACATTAACGATGAGGACGAGCCGAACCCACCAGATGTTGAGCTTGTTGCGGAACACGTCGTTGCTGATCGTGGCCACGATCGCGTTCTGGAGCGTGTCGTAGGCCGCGCAAGAAAGGCTGATGGCGAAGACGAGGACGAAGCCGACGACCCAGGCCGGGAGGGTGGCGAGAATCTCGAAGAACGTGAACGATCCGTCGTCGCCTTCATAACCCGGGTAGAGACGGGACCACACGGCAATCAGACCAGCTGGTGAGGCACGAGACACGTTAGCGGTGAGGAATAGTAGTAGGACGATGCTGATGAACGTACTGAAGCCGACAATGGTGAGCATGACGAAGACGATGATGGCTGCCCCGGAGCATCCGATCCAAAGGTCTCTATTTGTCTTGGAGGCGAAAGCTCGTTGCCAATACCCCGACTGTAAGGCAAGTTCAGCGAAATCCGTAGGTTTTTCGGAGACAGTTAAACGCACGAGGAAGAAGTTGTTCCATACGATCGCAACAGGTAAGACTGCACGGACGGCATCAGACCTGGGTTGGTCGAACAAAAACCAGGAGTGACGTACTGTACAGCAATTGCCATCCAAGCAGGTTGGCCTTGAGCAAGCCGGATTCCTCGATCAATGCGCGATCAATGCGGATGTTGGCTCCCATCGCCGCAGAGCAGACCACAAGCAATACGAGGATGAGCACGCCCTGGACGTAGTCGGTAACAAGGGACGTGCGGAAGCCACCCCATGCTATAGATCAACGGATACCACATGAGCAACCGACAGTGACTTGCGGACGAGGTGGATAACAAACCGGTGTACAACATGGTAATAACGACCTCTACGATGGTGGCGGGGATGGCGTTCAGTCCGGTGAGCGAATTGATGACACCCGTAATGGCGGTTAATTCGGACACCTGCGTATAGACAGGGTCAGAACGAGGGATACATCTCTTATAAGCGAACGCTAGATATAATCGGGAATGTGTACACATACCATGTATATGAACATCGTGACCACGGAGAAGAAACTCAGAAAAAGCGCAGTGGTGATGCCGAAGCGTTCGCGAGTGTACCTGGGAGGACGACGATGAGATTCGGACCGTGCGATAGCAGAGACGTGTCACAGACTCGGTCAGGACGAAGCCATGAGGGCATAGCTTCCTAATCTTCCCGCCGAGGTACGGGAAGGTGAGAAGCGGCAAGGACGAGGCAAAGGCGTACACGAGCACGCCCTGTAAGCCAGCGACGACGCCAATCTAGTAGGCGGACAAGTATCAGCGCATCTAGATACACGCGCGAGCGAAATGTCGCCCGACCTGTGGATATGTAAACAGGATTCCTGTTTTTGCGGCATCAACGTAAAGGAATCAAACGGGCATCCAATCCCCGGCAGTCAAACGTACCCGAACCCATAGCTGATTAGGTCCAGGAAATTCAGACATCAGTTCCCGCGCCATAGAGAGACAAAAAGGAAAGAACTCGGCGAGCATGCGTTCCGTCCGCTGGTATTATCCGGATCACGTCGTTAACGGTTTCCGCTTTCGCGGATCTCAGCCGGGCACTTTCCGACGGGATCCATGCCCTCCACCACCTTCAACCCTGCCAGGGAATCACCCCATGATAGCGAAGGGCCGAAGATGGAATTGGGAATGAGCCGAACGTCGGGGTTGTGACACCAGCACCCGCAGCAGTGCTCTTGGGTCCAGACATACCTCGAACCGGCGCTCAACTACATCGAGTCCGGCATTAACGCACCCGAAGCAGCGAAGTTCAGAGCGAGAGAGGGCCCTGGGGTTATGATGTTGTTAGTGCGCTTGATGGGCCAGAGGCAACGACGGACGGACATGTTTGTGTGCGGAGCGAGGACAGGAAGTCGCCCTTGGTCTTGGAGTAGCGGTAGGATACCGCTGTATGGAGTCTTTTAGTATGGCTCGGTGAAGAAACCGAGGTGTTTGAACTGACCAAGTCCGAAAAGCAAGAACGCAATGTATGTTACATAGATAACGGCGTTCGAAGCGGCTGCATAGGTCCCAACTCGTCATCCACCTTCAACGAACCGCGCATTGAAAGGCGCATACGATGAGATGGTGTTCCCATTCTGTGAGCGTCTCTTGACTGTTAGCTTCTTGGATGCCTGGCTTTGTGTTATCGAGGTCGGAGGGAAAAGGTAGGCGCAGAACAGATTCCGACTAAACCCGCCCGACGCTCTTCCGCGCTGGGTCACGTGCATAGATTAGGACTTCGTGGATCGCGCCGTCCACGAAAGCTGCCCCGAAACACTGCAGAGTGGCAGGCTTAAACGCGCATCTAGCGGTGGTGTGACTGGGTTATCTGTGCTCCTTTCTCTCGTGGTGAGGGTTCCGGTCATGGACGACACCTCCGAATCGATCTTCAACTCTACCAAGGCTTTGCTTCTCTCATCCGATATGAAGCTATTCCACCGCTCTCCATACGGGCTACCAAACCTCGAAGCTGTGAGTGTTAAACCGGTTTAAGCTTGCTTTGCATCCTTATCCGCGCAGTCCTTGAAAGCCGCTGACGTGACTTCTGCAGTCCTCGCCCCTTCCATCGTTCAGGCACATACGGCCTTACTTCCTGCTTTCCGCCATCATCTGGATTACCTCTGCCAGCATACCCATGCTCTCCAGGATGGGCAATGACCAACTCCCTCATGGCTCTTGTGCATAAACCATCTATCATGCCCGCTTTCTCGCCCATATGTCGTCAGGCACTTAGCACGAGGGAACTGTTTCAGCCGAAATTTCCGGTTTTTCATCATCGTCGATTGTCCACCCGCTACTATCATTGTGTTTTAGGCTTCCAGTCTTCCTCGGCCTATTGCCTCGGCCAGCATTTTCTTGAAGTTCGCCTTTCACGGACCCGGACTCGGACCAACTCACCGACTTCTCAGCTTCGAGTTCAACCTTGCTACCCCGACGGTGACACTGTATTCACCAGATCCCTCGGGCTATCTGGTGGGCCTTGCTCTCAAGAAACGCGCTCCGATCCAGGCGATGTGGACACACGCAAGAACCCACCACATGCTCCGAATCCGCCATGGTGACGACGACGCCGGGTAGTATAGAGTTGGTACGCAGTCCACCATGATGCTCGACCGTGGCTAACGTTCAGCGCGGGCCAGCGTGACCAAAGCCCTTCGAACACCGCAATTGGCGCTTCCCGGGAGGAGCTTCTATCAACGATACGAAGGGAAGCCCACAACACCATAAAGGCTTCCAGTCCGTATCCTGGGATATGCTAGCTGCGATCATCTCAAAATACCAGAAAGAAGCAATCGTGCACGAATCATCGCTTCTCACTCCAATAACCCAGCCTTGACGGTGGCTCGGGCTCTCACCAGATGCTAATCGCAGCTTATCGCTCAGGTTCGTGGTGTGAACGGGCTCGCCGAAATTATCGCCAGCGACGCCACGGATGCTGTGTAGACTTGACTATGGTTACTGGAACGGGGGTCAGCGGTCTTTCTTCCGGGGAGCTGCGCATTTCGAGTGAATATAACGCCGAATCGCATCGAAAGCGTCTTATAGCGCACTCACTTTGTGACGTGCATTACACGTCCTAGATTTCTATCATGAATCCCGCCCTTTACCTCGCCGTTCTCTGCTTATATGCAATGTGCGCTTGTTGCGCACCGGCGTCCGACGGTGCGCAGCGAGAAGCTGAGGCAGCGTTATGCTCACTAGACCATAGGGTGCGTCGCAAGCAATCGGCGAGACTCTATACCTGGCCTTGGAATCAAAGAGGATTGTATCCCACCTTGAGAGTGAGTTCCGAAGATTCGTCACTCGTGAACTAAGGCAAGGCTCATGTGCGATCGTATACCGCAGAAGTCAGGAACTGCCTCACAATTTAAATCAAACGCACGCTGCGCGTCCATGACATGCATTTTTATTGATGGTCTTTGTGCTGGACTCTGGTGCACCCATCCTCTATACTTGATTCTCCGCTATATATATGAGCAGCTGTGCACTCCAAAAGTCAGAGAGCACCAGCCTCGTTACATGGGACTAGTACGTCGTCACATGAACCGTCTCTGCTGTATGTCATATACCAACATGTTTGAACGTGGCACCCTTGCCATCGGAAGCTTCAAGCGACAAGCACTCAAGCGACAAGATCGTCACAATGAGAAAAGCAAATGACAGGATCATTTCATTGCAGATTACGTTGAAAAGTCATAGCGTATATCTAAGGTCGTCGCCACCCGATTTCACAGAGAAAGGCTTATGGGAACGCAGCCAAGAGCGACGAGGCCGTTCTGTTTGCATTAGATCAGCGTTGATCAATGTCTCGAACGTGCGCGCGACGTACGAAGTTGTTGTTCTCGCAGCAGACGGGTGAAGCGTTGCAGCTGTCCCCCCCGACGCCTACGGCGGAAATGGGGCTGCAGGTAACGCCCACCTGACCGGTCACATCGCCGGCGTTGATACCGAGCAGATTAAAGAGTCCAGAGAGAGCGCTGGACTTCGACTGATCCCATAGACATTGTAAGCAATGTGAAAATCACTCGATTCGATCCACAACTCACGTCATGGACCGAGTTGCAGCATTGAATGGACCCGGTGTTGCACTGGTCAGCGGAAGCGACAGCGAAGAGCGCGGCGACGGCGACGAAGAGGGTCGAACGAGCGAACATCGTTGAACTACGGCTGAAGTTCTGAAGGATGGTTGGGTTGGGCTGCTTAGGGTGCGTTGAACTCGACTGTTCGACTGCAGAACGGGGTGGCCCAACGCCCCTCTTTATACAGATGCCAGAGCTCCCATGAAACACTGCGTGACAACGCAGGCTCGCATGTTGCTGCGCGGCTCCTCGAGTGCGTTGTGGGGTTGGGCAAGCGAAGACGCCGATCATACCGTTTTCATTCCCGGTGGCCATAAGAAGCATCCATGGTCCACGTCGATTGGATGGTAGGAGATAAACAGGACATCGAGGCGCGGAGGCGCCATCAAGATGCCCGCGTACGCGAAGCATCCCTTCGACACTTCTTCACTCATGACCCGTGCCGCTCAGATCCTTCTCTATTTTCACGCACTTTGCGGTGCCGGCCTCGCCCGGGCTGGCTTTTCAAGGCGAGGTTCGGTGACAATTGGACACATGATATATCGACATGTCATTGTTTTTACAGCATTGTATGTCCACCCCAACACAAGAAATACAAGTTGTGCACGTCTACATACTAGCAAGAGAAACCGGACGGTTTGACGAGGCATGTGCTGTTATGTCCTCCAGTTACCGCGAGATTCGAGAACTTCCAGCTTGAGGCACTCGTGTCGCTGGCCGTAAGCAGGTAGTAGTTCTCGCCGGCGGATTGAACGGTGCCGGTGATGTCGCTCATAAAGATATCTGTGATTGTCACGCCGTTCGTCGGAACGCCCGTCGGACCGCCGTTCACTATGCAAAGAACAGATAATCGGATTGAAAACACAGAACGTTAGGCGCTGAGAAAGTAGCGTACGGTAGTCCTGTTGGATGTCGATGCCGTAAATCGATATGTTGGAGATCTGGATGTTGGAGTAGGTGACGTTATTGATGGTTCCAGTGGTCCCCGAGTTGGTTTTGATGCGTGCGCCGTTTTGGCTGTTCAGAATCTTGCTGTTGCTGAAGATCACGCCGTTTACTGATGGAAATCATGATTAGCATCTCAGGTTGCTCCGTACATCGCAAACGCATACCCGTGTTGTTGGACTTGCCACCAATGGAGCCAATCGATAAGCCGTGCCCGCCGTTGCAGAACATGTTCGTCGTCACGATGCCACCGCCTGAGGTAACCGCGACACAGTCATCCTGTTCAGTAGTCCGTGAGCCTCGGGAATCGTGTTTCCATATATTCCGCTGATTACCTGATTAAACACGACATTGTTCGTGACAAGCATCTGGAAAGTTGCTCAGCAAATGTACAACATGATGGCAGCGATGGCTCACATCGGTCGAGCTGGAGATATCGAACCCATCCGTATTGTGACCTGCCTGGAGTCCGTTGGATAGGACGCTGTATCCGTCCTTCATATCGATGACAACACCTTTCACCCATAGACCAAAGGCGCCAGTGATGTCGAAGACGTGCGTCGGAGCGTTCAGGACTAGAAGCCATTGGTTTGTGTGTTATTAATCTCGGCGAGTGACCGGGCACGCACCATATAGATTCTTGATGACGGAGTTCCCGAGCAACTTGCTAGCCACTATCATATGGTCTGGTCTACGAGATTATGAGCATCGACCTCATTTTGTTGGGGCGCTAGGAACGTACTTATCGACGCCGCCATTGCTTCCTTGACCATCCCACCAGGCAGCGCCATTGCCATCGATCACGGAGCACGGTGCACCTTGAACGGTGATATTTGTTCCGCCAAGCTTCAGCATATCCCAGTCTGAGGCAGCATAGCCCCAAGTCTATGCGAGACAAGACATCATTTCGTGAACCGGGATGAAACACCGGAATACGTACGGTACGACCCTCGAAAGTGATGACAGAGTTTGCTTTGGCTTTGGAAAGATCGAGTGTGCTTTTAGCGGGGACGGTGATGTCGCGCAGGTGGATGTCGGTGCACGTCTTGATGGCGGTCGCTACGTCGGCGTACGCCGTGACGGTGCATGATGCACTGGATGAAGTGGAGGTTCTGCATATGCACGACACGTTAGAATCCGTTTCGCAGTAAGTTTAACGAAGTAGACTTACGGCGTAGGTGGCTGTGGGACAAAGTCATCGATGGTCAGCGCCAGCGTATCCTGGACAGTGTTCAAGTCGGACTGAGGCCAATTGGCCGCTTTCCCGTAGGTTTGGATGCCGCACACAATACCCTGTATATCTGTTGAGGATACAGGGGAGCCGGCTGCCGCAAAAGCAGTCGGAAGGACAGTCAATGATGCTAGGAGGAATGGGAGCATGACAACAGCTAGATGTGATGTCTAGGGATACATCCCCTAACACCTTTATACCGAGTGAAGCAACAGACTTTGAAGCGTTTGCTCTACAGATGGATACCGGGATTAGTACAAGGTCAGCTGAAGACCCGGTGGCGGCCCGGTCGGACACAGGGAAGTCGGGCGCAGACGACGACCTCGAACTGCAGGTTTTCGAGCACGCGCATCAGCTTCGAGGGGGGGCCATAAAGTGTTTCCGTGGAAGAAGGTGGCAAGCACCCTTGGCCGTGACTGGATGTTACGAGACTGAAAGACAAACGTGGAAATCTTCCCTCGCCGCTACCGTGTTGGACTTCCTCAGAAGTCTGCAATCCGCCCGTACGAAGTCCTAGCTGCGGGTTCTGCTCCTGATCATAGCGCGTAGTGGTAGCTGAAGTTCGTTGCAGGCTCCGCACCGAGATGGAGACTCTTCGAAAACGGGTCGCGGGCGGCCCGGCAGGCCAAATTTCGGTCTTTCGAGTGCCGTGACTACTTTCAAACGGCTTCTCGAGATGTGCCCGCGAGGATGTTGAGCATCTATTGTTCCGCGTCCACAAAAATGTAAGCCCGACCAGGATGATCCGAAAAGCAGTGTCCATCATGTGCAGGAGGGCCTGCCAACTAACCGACGCGGCGGTAACACCACCGTACTATTTGGTCGTGGTGCAGTCCAAGGTCGCTGCATAACAAAGCCAAACATGGCTCACTCCCTGACCGGCGTCACAGGGCTACGAGTGTACTTCTCTGGCCGACCTATCGACCGCAATAATTGGTATATATGAGCAATGTTGGGCAGCAACTGCTGTCAGGTCAGTCCTGATAAGATTTCTTGCGGTCGACGAATGTTGAAGTTGTTTCTCCAGGCGCGCTCTCAGGATTTGCTTCAACAGTCGCTCTTCAACCATGTGAGCGGCGTCGATACTCTCTGAGTCATGCACTCACCTACGAGATCATCTCTAGTTGACTTCTTGAAGACACGAGTGCAACAGACCGATGGAACCCTGAAATCCAAGTACGTGCCCTCGCGCTCAATGTGCGGACCGCCGTGTTCTGATCTTCATACAGAGCAGTGAAGAGCCCGCTCAAGATCGCAAGACAGGTGATTGCGGAAAACGGGATATTGGGACTATGGAGAGGGACGAATGCTACACTCATGAGGTACGTATACGCTTGTGCGGTGTTTTCCCTTCCCCAACCCCCTCTCCCGAACGTTATGTGCTGACCCGATTCCCATCCCCCTTGTAGAAATGTCCCCGGAGTAGCAATGTACATGACTGGCCTCACTCAAATACGGACATTCATGGCGTCGTCGCCCTACTTTGCCTCTGTGCAGAAACTTCGCCCAGGTTCTTCGTCGCCTGCTCATTCCCATGCCTCCGTGCTACCCTCCCTGACTAGCGGCGGTAACCTCGTTGCCGGAGCCGTGACTCGTGTCAGCGTCGGATTCGTACTTAACCCCTTCTCGGTGCTCAAAGCTCGTTACGAGGTACGCCATCGTCCTCGTTCTCAGCCGTCTAGGCCAGGCCTGACATGGAGGCTGCTTTGACAGAGTAACATGTACGCGTACAAGTCTCTGTCCGGTGCCCTGATCTTGATGGCGCGCGGCGGTCCCCGAGAACTCTTTCGGGGCTTCCTTGCGTCCGCGTTACGCGACGCGCCGTATGCGGGCCTTTTCGTAGTGTTCTACGAAGGCATTAAGCGGGAGACATGTGAGTCTAAATTCGACGCCAGTGATTGCTACTGGTCTCGCCCTCGTGGTATCGAGCTGACCGCATCCCCAGCCTACCTTTTGCCACCAACGTCCTCCGTACTGTCGACCAGCGTGCACAGCATCTCCGCTGCGTCCGCGGGCGCGATTGCTACCATCCTCACGCATCCCTTTGACGTGATTAAAGTGAGAACTCCGCCTTGCTTCATCGCATTCACATTAGTGCTCACATCGGCGTCGCAGACCAAGATTCAAGTACGGCAGGAAGACCGATACCGAAGTCTATGGACGACGACCAAGACGATATGGACGGTATGCCCTATCTTGCATCTTAACATACGATCAGTGGCTCATGGGCGCATGATTTTAGCAACGGGGTGTATCCGGCTTCCTCGACGGGGCCGCTCTCCGACTTTCGCGCAAGGTCCTCAGCTCTGCCATTGGCTGGGCGGTGTACGAGGGCGTCCTGCTGTTCCAGGTCCGCATGGTCCACGCCAAAGAAGCCTACGGCAAATCCGCAGGCTAGATCACACATGTTTTGACTAGAACGCTACTAGTTATGCTTGTATGGTAATACTAATCAAACATCCACAAGTCGTATAATGGTCCCATGGATCTCCTGAGTGATGTTATTTGATTCATCACATTGGGAATGCCAGACTTGCGGCGTCCCGAGCCAGATCGTCATTTCTGATATCTCAGTCAGTCCCGATGTCATTTCTGTTCCTGTCAGGTTTGAAAGTGAAACGAAAAGAAAAGACTGGTCGCGGTCAAGTAGCAAGAGATCAATACACTTAATAAGTACTACTCTAACGGCACGGCTCGGCGCGGCTCAGCGCGTCGGCATCCTGTCGGCTTCCCGCCGCCCACGTGGCCATCCGACGCGCTCCAGTCGTACGAGCGGAATTTCTCGTTCACCATCCAGCACACCCCTTGGCACCATGGCGAGCGGCTCCGGCGTGGAGCTCCTTCCCCTGAACGGACATGAACTGCGCCAGCGGAACGTGAACGGCGATGCCCCAAGGTCCTTCCATATCACGGAAGAGGGCAGGAAAAGGGACCAGGAGCTGGACAAGCACACAACGTACGCGCCGTATAAATATGATCGGACGCGTTTGTTGACGCTGCTTGTAGATGGGAGTTTGGAGGCCCTGCAGGCGTGACGGCTATGATGATTGGCTTTCCGCTGCTGATGTATTACCTCTGGATATGCCTTTGGTTTTACGACGGCCAGCTTGTCTATCCCCATTCCACGGCAGATATCAAGCCCTTCCTCGCGAGAATGTGGGGACACGTACGAGACGTAAGAAACCCTGTCCCTGCCCCCGCATCATATCATACTCATGTTGGCGAAGGACGCAAGCCCCAACCTGTACGCCTGGAAGGTCTACAGCGGCCTCATCGTTTACGAGCTCTTCCTGGCGTACGTTATGCCAGGCTTCATGCAAGAAGGCCTGCCCGTCCCCTCGCTCGGCTACAAGACGCTCATGTACAAGTGTGACGCGTACCTCTCCGTCTACACCTCGATCGCGACCGCCGCGGCGCTCCACTACTTCAACATCTTCCGCCTCACGGCGATCATCGACAACTACGGCCACCTCATGTCCGTCGCCATGATCTGGGGCTTCGCGGTCTCGTTCGGAATGTACTTTATCACCGTCGCGCGCGGCGAGCAGATGCGCATGTCGGGCAACTTCATCTACGACGTGTTCATGGGCGCGTGCTTGAACCCGCGTATCGGCCCGGTCGACCTTAAGATGTGGGCCGAGGTCCGCATCCCTTGGGTGATCGTGTTCTTCCTGTCGGTATCCGGCGCGTGCAAGCAATACGAGACGTACGGCTACGTCACCCCCAACATGGCGTTCATGGTGCTTGCAACCTGGTTGTACCTCAACGCATGGTTCGTGGCTGTGGCGCAAGAAGTATCACGGGTCATAGCTAATATGTTTCCTGCAGCTGCAAGGGCGAGGAGTGCATCCCCCAGACCTGGGACATGTATCACGAGAAATGGGGCTTCATGGTCATTTTTTGGAACTTTGCTGGTGTTCCTTTCGTAGGCTTTCCATCGAGCTCAGTTGTTTCAGTCTAATAACATCACCATCATCAGACCTACGTCTACTCCGTCGTCTACATGGCCTCGCACGACCCCGAGAACTATCGGTGGTCCACCCCGGCCTACGTCGCCATTTACACCACCCTCCTGACGGCCTACTACATGTGCGCTCTTTTTCTCCGTTACCCACCCACCAGGAAATCCGAGACGCTGACCGCATTCTGCAGCTTCGACACGGCGATGGCGCAGAAGTCGCACTTCAAGATGCAGCAGCAGGGCATCACCGAGTTCCGCAAACTCTTCCCCAACCTGCCGGGAAACACGGTCGAGAACCCGACCTACATCCAGACCGCGCACGGGAACAAGCTCCTCACCAGCGGCTGGTGGGCGTGGGCGCGCAAACCCGTACGTTCTTTCCTTTGCCCCCGATACAGGAGTCGACGACGGTTCTGATATCAACTTGCGTACGGTATCTAGAACTATACCGCGGATTGGACGATGAGCTTCACGTGGGGTCTCATCGTCGGCAGGTGCTCGCCCATCCCATACTTCTATTCCGTATTCTTCATCACCGTGCTCGTTCACCGGTGCGGTCGCGACTTCGAACGGTACGTGCTTAACCACGCCCTCATTATACACCCTCGCTATCTTGTTGTTTTGCCATCGTTACTGACTGTCTTCAACCGGACAGGTGCGCTCGCAAGTACGGCAAGGACTGGGAGCGGTACTGCGAGACCGTGCCATACAGGTTCATCCCTTACGTCTACTAGTCTAAAAGGATACCATATGTCCAGTATAATAGCGGAATGAACACCGAAGGAAGCTGCTTGAATGCTCCAACAGGTTATTCCTGCATTGCTCGAAACATCATGTTAGCCCCTCATTTTGAGTTGTCTACGTAAGACTATACCGCGACTGCAGGACGGCGTAACAATGTTATCACCGACGGCATACTGACGCCGACAACGAATTTAAGGGCCCCCGTAGCTCCGAACCTTGCTAAACCAGAAGGGCCGTTCCTGCTTGAGGGGGAACGGCGTCGCTTCCCCGTCCTCGACCCGCACGCTCTCGTATTCAACCCACTCGAGCTTGTTCCACCGCCCGAGCGGACGGGAGCGGAGCGAGAACGTCATCCGGAACACGTACTTGCATTGCTCTTCTATGGCAGGCGCATCGCGTGCGTTCGAGCCGGAGTGAGCAGTGGTGACGGAGAGTGAAGTGGAGGTGGATGAAGAGAGCGGCGCGAGGCCGTCGATGGTGACGGTCGTGCCGTCCAGCGACCAGGTGCCGAGGAAGAGCCCCTTCATGCGCAGAGAGTGCTTGAAATGCGGGATAACGTTATGCGGGTCGAGCTGCTCGTTCGCGAGCAGGGAGAGCACGGTCCCGTCAGGGAAGAATCGGCTGGAGGGAGAACGAGAAAGAGGGTCGGTTCATTGAGGCAAAGATGTTTGAGAGAAAAGGGGCTTACAGGTAGCGGTGGTAGGTGATGAGGTGGTGGATGTTGACCCAGACGTTCTCGCTCAGGCCTGGTCGGCTGTAAAACGTCAGACCCGAGTTAGCGCGACGGTCAGATTTATGAGAGAAATACTGACATGTAGTGGCACACAGCGATATATACCCCGTCGAGGCGCAAGCGAGGGTGCTCGACATATAGGCGGCGGTAGTCCGAGTCGTAGTTGTCGGCAAGCCCCTCCAACGTGAGTTCGGGCGGTATTTGAGGTGGCCTGTACACGCGCTTTGCGAAGTTCCTGATAGGCAAATGTGTAAGTCCGAAGAGAGCATGCCAAAACGAATGCGGGAAATATACCCGCCTCCATATCGTCGAATCCAAGCTCAAGATCCTTGCCCTCCTGCTCACCGCTGCAAACCGCTCGATAGCCGTAGGATCCAAAATTGTAAGAATATCCACAATGAGCTCGTCGGGCAAGCGGACGAAGTGGAACCCTTCGCGCTCGTCTTCGGGTTCAAATTTCACGTCTGGCGGAAAGCCGGAGACGATACGAGCCAGAAGGCCGGTGATCTTCGAGTTGCTGGTGGCGTTCGTCCCGGAGGAGGTGTGGCGATGCGTTACTACGGTGCTTTGAGCGGAACGGGCACTGGTCGCAGCGGTGCCGTCGGCGGAGGGCGGGAGCTTCGCAGACTTGACCTGAGACTGGACGAGGAGCTCAGCGGCTTCGAACGCGCGGTCGACATTGGTGTCCAGACGGAATGCCTGGCTGGGATGGTGCTGCTATGAGTCAACCCGTTCCCTCATTCAACCCTTGGCAAGGAGGAGACGCTACGGACCGGTACAGACGGAGGGCCTCGTCGAGCTCGCTGTTTTGCTCGGCCTGCATCGCGCGACGGTAGACATCGATGGCACGCTTCTGTATGGGGCTGAACGTGAAGTTAGGTACTGTGCGTGGAGTTGCATTGCGGTCCCTTGTGGGCGATTGGGAAGTGTCCCTAGCGTGCCGGGAGGCAGCGGGGACAGGGGCCTGCTTGCCCTTCGAAGTTGGTCCGTCGATAGCGGCGGGACGGCTTGCCTCCTGGAAGGCCCACGCCTTCACGAAGGCCTCGTCGGACGAAGCGGAGGGCTGAGCATCGTGTAACTTGTCCGCCGGAGAACTGCCAGTGTTCGTGCTGGTGCGGGGAACGGCGTCGGTTGAGAGTTCGCCTCGGCGCCTGCGTACTTCGGCCTTCCATGCCTCACGGAAAGATTTGAGCTCGTCAGTCTCGGGGACATCGCCTGCGCCTTGCGGGCTGGCGACGGTCATTGAGTGGTGAGAAGAGATGAACAGGTATGAGTCTGTGACCCCCTTACTAAGATAATCATTCGAAGCCCGGCAGTGCGCGAGTCCAGTGAGCATGCATGATGCATGATTGCTCGCGCGAGCGCGAATTCGAATTGGTTTGTTATAGCTCAGAGTACGTATTGACTACACTGCTACCACAAACGAATTCGAATTCGGTATACTCAATAGATGCGGTCTTCAGGTTTTCTGAAGATTTGCGAGACGATTTCTGCGAGTGGAAGAGGGCCGCCGTACGTCGAGATGTGCAAGACAACGGGAAAAATACGCAGGTTGTAATGTGGAACAGCAAATGGTAGATCGCTGAGGAGCGGCACATTAGCATCTTCAGCGCCGCCGAACAGTCCTTTCGCCCACTGGCACGTTCAGGGACGAGGCTTGCCGACACGCACGCCGCCACCTGCAGGCTTTTCCATCTTCCGTCTGCTCGGGCTTGAGGTCCCAATGCATGCACTGTGACGTTCAGAACGCGACGATGAGAAACGGCCAACAGTCCTTCCCTCGTAAGGAAGCCGAACGATCCACTAACCGAGGGTCATCGGGATCACCATATGGATACGGTGGTGAACATCGTTCCTAGTTCGCAGGCACCTTCGACCAGAAGTTGACGCTTCGCCGCGGTCGTGGCGGATCGCAACTCATACACCGTCGCTGTAAAGAATATACATCGCAATATAAGAGCGACCGAACGGAGCGAAGATCCAGCCCGCACTCACAAAGGTTGAACAAAAATGGCTCGGCCACTGTCACGTCCGACGGCCATGCCCGCAACGCGCTCTCTAGCACCTCTAGTACACACTCCGCAACACCCTTCACTTCCACCAGCTGACTTGCGATGATTAGACATACCCTCGCCCCGCGCTCCTTCTCCCTCGTCACCTCGTCTACCCTCCTCTTCCTCCCCCTCAGCTCCATCGCCCTCTCCTGCATCTTGCACTTCTACAGTAGCGCGTAAAACGCATCGAGGTAGCCCATATCTCCGGCCCAGTACGCCGCGCACGCATGAAGGGCCTCGAGCTCTAACGGGAGCACGCGCGCGAACTCGGCGCGGTCGAAGCCTCGGGGAGTGCAATACTGAGAAGAGATTCGCGAGTTCTGCGGAGGTTTGGTTGAATAGCCGTAGACGCGCGAGCGACGAGAAGCGGAGGCACAAGAGCTGCGTAGGGGTCAAATGAGGGACTGGGAGGACGGGAGGCCGGGAGCGTACGCACGCTGAGGATGTACTACATAGAAAGCGTGCCAAGCTCGATAAATACCGCGGGTTGGCCAGACAAGCGCTCATCAAGCGCCCATAATACTTTCTTCTTCACCCTCTGGCTTGCTTTCCCTCTCATCGACTTAGCTACACGAATGGCCGACCCTGCTGGTTCAAACCAAGCCAACGCGCCCAACTCGTCAACGGGCGCGGGCCCGTCGTCCAAGGCTATCCCTAGCCTGGCCAAAAAGCAGGGCGATGTCACCAGGCTCGGTACCCAGAAGATGAAGTTCGTGCCGACCCTACCTGCGCGTCGCAAGAAGGAGTGAGTACGTCGTCGTGCCCCTTTCTTTCCTCGATCCATACTCATATACACCCGTCTATTCGTCCAGAGGCGATGTAAAACAGGTGAGCCTTGCACGCGAAAACACATACGCACGAGGGCGCGGCTCATGCACGATAATACAGGAGTCAGAAGCGCCCAAAACAACCTCGGCCCACTCCGAGCGAGGCCGAGGACGGGGTCGAGGGCGCGACGGCGACGCAGGGCGCGGACGCGGCGCGGCCCCGCGCCCCGCCGTCGAGATGACCGCCTCCGGGCCGTTCGCGATGGGCCCTGCGATGTCGGGCTCCTCCGCGCGACGCTCCGCCCCACGCTCCAACTTTGCCCCCATCGTCCCCCTTCCCGGCGGACCCAGTGCTGGCGCGGCCACAGGCGCGGGACTGACGGGCAGCGCAGGCCCGTCGCTCGTGAAGCAGGAGTCGGCGGGCGATGCGCCGAAGGTAGAGAGCGGGAGAGAGAAGCCGAGCTCGCAGGACGAGGAGGTGGAGGTATATTCGGATCCGGATGAGGGAGTGGAGATCGTGGATATGAACGATGTGCGGAGGATGGATTGGATGGCGCCGGAGAGTTTAGCGAAAGAGAAGGCCAGGAGCAAGAAAAAGAAGAAGTCGAACGTTGTTAAGAAGGAGGAGCATGACGCTGGTAGGCTGCAATTCGTCCTCATGTCTACATGGGAGAAGCTCATGTACGCCGTAGTGAAGATTCCAGGTGTTCCGCGTTCACCGTCTGCATCGGCAGAGCCCGAAGCAGAGCCCGAAGGCGTCAACCTTGCGAACGCCGTTGACCTCTCAGAATCAGAAGACGAAGAAGAGCTTGAGGACCTTATCGACGACTTTGCGCTTCACGCGGAGATAATGGACGTAGGTGTCCGTCCATCTGTGCATTCATGAGGTCGCCGACCATGTTATCAGGACGATACCGGAATCCGCCAAGAACGACTCTACTTCTTCCAATTTCCCGCGCCCTTCCCCACTTTCCTCCCGAAGCCCTCAAAACCGGCAGCTAAACCCGAAGACGCCATGGACGTCGATGCGGAACCTTCACCTCCTCCCGCAAAAGACAAAGGAAAGGGGAAAGCGGTTTCCTTCGCGGAAGACACCAAACCACCGGCGTCGACTCCCAGCACCTCGACCAAGTCCACGCCAGAGCCCTCGCAGGACAAAAAACCCGAACAGCAAAGGGTCATCACCGACGGCGTCATCGGCCAGCTTGAGGTGCACCGAAGCGGTGCGGTGAAGATGCGTCTCGGCTCGGGCGTCGTGCTTGACGTGATCGCGGCGACGCAGCCGTCCTTCCTGCAGCACGCGGTGCATCTCGACGTTGCGAAGAAACGAGTGTGCGTGCTCGGCGAGGTGAACAAGCGATACGTCGTCTCGCCGGACGTCGATTTGCTGTTGCAAGACATGGAGAAGAAGGAGCAAGGGCTGGATGAGGAATTGGAGCCAGGACTAGAAGGGCTGATCAAGATGGACGCGAGTTAACGCAATGTATGTTGGCCGGGGAACAGGAAATTCGTTACAGCGCGGCCTGTTCCGCACCCGTCCGCAGGTCAACCTGGCCAGCGACGCGACAATCAAGTATCCTGCGTCGCTGATCTTCGACCATACCCTGTTAACTCACAGGGCCTACGCTCGCTTGACTCCCATGCGTTAAACGACATCATAGTGTCAATCATTTGTTTGCATCAGCATCGACACAACCAATGACTTGGCGCACACACCTCTTAGCCACCTAACTATATCTACAAAACTCGGTGATGAGGGCGTCCACACGCGATAGATATGATGATAGACGAGATATTTGATCTCATTGCCAGGAACGCACATAGATAACTTGATGCTACGCACCACCGCCAGGATAAGCGCGCAATAAATACAGGAATGCAAGTGTACATAGCGATATCAATGTAAGGTCGTCGTACGAGATGATGCGATGAAAACACCTAATGGAGGACACGTCGCAGCATGATGGGCGGAGTGAATCATCGCGTTCTGCAGTGAGGTGATGTTGCGGGAAGGTAGGATAAGCCGGATGGGGTCCCATGATGAAGGAACCGCGACATCGTGGGATGGGTATGCTGTATTGAAGAGAATACGATCACTTGCGGGCTGATACGACGTATGAACAGCGATGCAGTGTAACGGCGTCGCGGAAAAAGTAGTACGGGAGTGCTGCGTGGGCAAATGGCAAAGTGACTGCAGCGCTGTGGGATGGCGTCGCGAGGGTGGAGAGGGCAGGTCGTGATTGTGGTTGGCTAACTGATACGAAGGTTGAATGGCGGCGCTACGAGACGATGGTGTAGGTATGGACAGGTAGACTGGGGTGCCTAAGAAGGAGGATTCTTGACAAGCATCGAGCAAGATGGCTGATGGGTCGTTCCCCTCAGGCCTCGGCAAAGTGATAATCCAAGAGAAGTGCTGAGAGGGGTGATGACGAGCACCTCAGTCATCAGCTGAGCCCACGTCGAGGCGATATCTGCGTCTGCTTGGCCAAACGCCGGCTCGGCCCGGTTTGCACGAGATCACAGCGGTAATGAAGACGATCCGCTGAAAACGTCATCATATCAATTGGAGAACATTTGAGACGGGTAGCAAAGGGGGACAAGAAGGCGGGAATTAGGAGGTGAAGGTGGTCACGAGCTCAATCGAGGCGCGTTGCCGTCAACGTCCGTGGTCTCATGAGTCCATGACCGCAACGTTTATCACGGCCATCCTCCCGAGTTCAGACGATCGAACGTCCCCTCAATTCCTCATAAATGCAGCTGGAAAACAAGATGTGGACCAATAAACAGGATGCCCTCCACGCTGTGTCTTCGGCTTACTGTGTTCCTCGCGGCCTCTCTCGCTACGTTCGCCATACCCTATGACGAGTATATCTTGGCTCCTCCCAGTCGCACGTTGCACCCAGTATCTGTACGGAAGGTTAACGGTACCGTCATCCACGCGGAAAGCATCACCGGCCCCCGCCACGGTAAAGCGACGTTCAAGGGGTCATCGGCAGTGACCTTCGACTATGGCAAGAACGTCGCCGGGGTTGTCTCACTCAACATCGGCGATATATCCGACAAACACCAATTCATCGGTATCACGTTCTCCGAGAGCTCCCTCTGGATATCGGGCAAAGGCAGCGATGCCACGGCCGACGCCGGGATCGACGAGACGCTGTGGATCCAGCCCAAGAAACCGGGAACGTATACTGTTCCGAGGCAGAACGAGAGGGGGGCGTTTAGGTACCTCAGCTTGGTGCACAACACCACCGGAAGCTTGGAGGTGACGCAGGTGACGACTCACTTCACCGCTATGCCGCACTACGCGGAGGACAAGCTGAGGGATTACACCGGTTACTTTCACTCCAACGGTACGAGCTCTCGTAGTAGATCTCGGAGATCCTTACTAATCAAGATCTAGACGAACTTTTGAATCGGATTTGGTATGCTGGTAAGCCTGCCTCTGTTGTTCCCACCCGCATTCCTCTCTGATTTTCGCCGGCAGGGGCCTACACAAACCAACTGTGCACGATCGATCCGAAGCATGGCGATGCCCTCATATATCTCGGGATCGTTAACAGCACGCAGCCAGGAGACTCAATCGGCGCTCTCCCATGGTATTTTAACTATACTATCACCAATGGCACGTCGGCGCTCGTGGATGGCGCTAAGCGCGACAGACTCGTGTGGGCAGGCGACATGTCCATCGCCGTTCCTGGCATCGTCACTTCCACCAACGACCTGATATCCGTCCAGAATTCCATCAACTCCCTCTTCGCCATACAAAACAAGACCAGTGGACAGCTACCATACGCAGGCCGGCCGTTTTTTGATGAACTCTCGCATACGTACCACTTGTACACGTTGATCGGTGTGGCCGACTACTACCTCTACTCGGTGAGTTGAGAACCGTTATTCGCTCTTGGAAGCCGTATCGAACACTCATTCGTTTTGTAGGATGACATCGATTACCTTCAGAGCATGTGGGACGACATCAAGCTCGCCATGAACTTCGCTCTGGGTTTCATCGACGACAGCGGCTTGATGAACGTGACTTCGCCCAATGACTGGCTTCGGTTTGGCATGGGCGGGCACAATATCGAGGTACCCTTTCAGATGATGCCAAGGTTTAACGCGTGAAATCTGATGTATTTCGTAGGCCAACGCAATCCTCTACCAGACCCTGAATCAAGTTTCAGTCCTGGCCGGTGCCCTTAACGAAACCGACCTCCTCGCCTCGTGGGCCCAGACTGCAGCCACCATCAAATCGTCCGCCAACGAGCTCCTCTGGGATGCCTCCGCCGGCATGTATCGCGACAACGAGACGACGACGCTACACCCTCAAGACGGGAACGCATGGGCGGTCGTCTCGAACCTGACCCTGAACGATACCCAAACCGCCTCCATCAGCCAGAACCTCGTGGAGCGATGGACGCCATACGGCGCTCCCGCTCCCGAGGCCGCCGACGCTATCTCGCCCTTCATCTCCGGCTTCGAGCTGCAAGCCCATATCCTATCCGGGAACGCCAGTGCCGCGCTCGACCTCATGCGCCTCGAGTGGGGCTTCATGCTCGACGATCCGCGCATGACGAACAGCACGTTCATCGAGGGGTACTCGAGCACCGGCGCGTTGCATTATGCGCCTTATACGAACGATCCGCGCGTCAGCCACGCGCACGGGTGGTCTACCGGGCCGACGTCGACGTTGACCTTCATGGTGGCCGGTATCCAGTTGACGAGCGCCGGAGGACGGACGTGGTTGATCAAGCCTACCCTTGGCGACCTGACGAGGGCGGAGGCGGGGTTCAAGACCAGCCTGGGCAGTTTCAGCGTCAACAACGCGAAGGATGCCAAGACCGGCTCCTTCCAGGTCGCGTTCGAGACGCCGAAGGGTACGAATGGGGCGTTGAGCGTTGAGTACCCGGATTGCGATGGGACGTTGGTACTGTCTCGGGCGGGCAAGAAACACGCGGTGCTGCATGTGAAGCAGGATGACGCTCCGCAAGGACGGATCGAGGTCGATGGTTTGGAGGGAGGTCAATGGACGGCCAGATTCACGTGCTCTTCGTAGTTTTCGTGTTCATTCTGGGCCAGCCTCGCCGAATAATGTGTAGAGTACAAGTGCATGCGAAAGGTGAAAGCTTGAGTATGTACATTCTAGTGTACGGTCAAAAAGTCAGATGTTATTAACTCGTGTTTAGTTACTTGGTTATTTACATGTAACTTACATGCGAGGCATGCCATAGGTCAATCCTCATGTTATAAAAGTAAATAATTCATCGCCACTCGCGTACCCTTGAAGCTTGTGTATGGCCGTTGATGTAAATGTGATGAGCGGTAATGTTGTATTCCCACGAATACAACCTCTTGATACGTCGACATCGTGGCACCCACTCTTGATATGGCTTCTACTCCCACTGGAGATTACGATACATTGCCGGCGAGAGGAGTCCGGGTTTTCGGAGATGGCCAATACTCACACAGAAGTCATGCATTACCTGAGCTTGCTCTGGTATCTCCCTGCCCGTAATTAGTAAGCATCGCTAACCGTGGCTGTGTTACGCATTTAAGCCCCGACTTGATACTCCGATTCAAAACGGAGCGTATACGGGTATACGGCAAACATACATGACACATCGTCAATTCTACGAGACTTTACACAGTATACACGTGGCTTGTTGTAATGCTACTAAACATAACAGTGATTTGCAGAACGATTTAGCGTACGTCACATCCTTCCTAAGTTGGCATTAGATGGGTCAAGACTAGGAATGGCTGGCATCCTAAGGTGCATTAATAGTTATCTAGTTGTCATGTATACACGTAGAGTATACCATTGCGTCTTAAATCACACAAGGGAGGTGCAAGCGAAGGTGGATTGGCGGGAGACCGCCCTTTCCTCTAGTCTGTCTTGATCACACCAATTATATATATGGTACGGCTATACCTAACAGTAATTTACAGGTGCCGGACGTCATATGCCAAGCACGAGGTCGTAGCTGCAAGCTGAACCACTTGCGCGCCATGAGATGTCGTACGGGCGTACATAGTATTAGAGGGTGGTAGTGCTAGGGGATGGCAGATGCAAATCGAGCCGGGCCGTCCCCACTGGCAGCCGCCGCCCTGCCAGTGCCAGGCCCTGCCCTCAAGTAGCCTCAATCACGTGAGCTTTAATTGCCGGTGAAGGTTGGTAGTGGCGGCGATGAGTTGGACGTTCTTTGTTTCCGTCCTGCTCTTTTCATTGCCATGCTTGCTTGGTGCATACGTGTTTCTGCAGCTATACTGTGAATCCATAGGACGAGCCGTAACTTCTGCTATAAACGTAAGGGGCAACAACAGCAATGCGCACATCACGGATAACAAAGTTACTTCTATTGGCAACCCTCGTTCTGTTCTTCTGGCGGCGCTCTTCATCAAAGGGGTCTGAAGAGGGATGTTGCGATGATCGAAGGAGAAATAACAGCGGGGAGTATGAGGAAAGGCCCTCGAATACGGACGTAACTCGTGGCGATCCTGGAATACCCTCTGGAGACTCAGTGACGATCCTACTTCCTGTAACCTCAGGCTCAATACAAGACCTCTCGAACATTCTCATGCTGCTCATCGTAGAAGCCAATCCACTCTCTCATGTGATTGTGATTCCTCCCGAAACCATTGGCAAGGAGGCACGTCGTGTTACACTGGACGTCGTCAGCCAGCTTTCATTCAAGCATGCAGACGTTTCGGTCGCGATATCTCCCGAGTATCTGGACCCGGACCGCGCCACTCTTGATGCTGCTTGCAGGGCCGCGACGAATTGGACTGTCATCTTAGACGAACGAGGGCTCGAACGTTTGCCGCCCGCTCTCAGGGCCACACTTTTGTCCCCGCACCGCTCCAAGACTTTCGGTCACGAAGTCGTTTCGTTGGATATGGACTGCGATCAGCCTCCACTTTGCCTTCTTGCACATCATTCGGTCCCCGCCAGATATCCTTTGCCTCCTTTTGCGCTTTCGAGCCATCACTCAGGCTTGCTCGCGAGTGTTTTGATGACTGGTCACCACCACAACGTATGGCAAGCAGTAGGGGCTCTCATTATCCAGCAAGACCAGTTATATCGTGATGGTTTCCTGGTCTGGAACGAATCCCGGGCGCTAACATATCTCTACGATGGTGCTGCGAAAGCCCATCAGGCACCACCCGAGGCCGAATCTACCCGACGCGATGATGCTGCTACTTTCTTGCTCGTGGTTACCTCCGTCGATGATCTTCGTGCATTCTCACCTGCGGCATGTGGTCTACAGCGTGCTGGTCACTCTCTTCACGTCCTAGTCTATGGTGGCCACGAGAACTCCCATCACCACGGACTGGATGGCCTGCGGGGACGAGTCTTGCCTATATCGCTCAACTGCTCTATCGTCTACCACGAGGGTTATCTCTCCCAAGGAGAACGACTCGCCTGGACCCTGGGGGAAGTTGTGGACGTTGTCATACACGATGCTGGCCTTGACACCTACTCCGCTTCATTCGAGCAGTTCATTCGAAGGGTCGTTAATGACAACACGACGCACGTGCACATACCCCAGGCCGACCTGCCATTTACTGACTGGATGGGATCGCTCCGGAAACAGGAATGGAGAAGTCGGTCCTCCGTCGTCCCTTCCGTTCCGAGCCCCGCTGATGATGTTACGATGCTATGTAGATTGGCACGCAGCTCGAATCGACCTCAGCGTCGTCACCTACAACCGGCCGCGCTCGTTGCACCGCCTTTTGATATCCTTGCAGAACGCCCGTTATTTCGGAGACTCGGTCAGCCTGCGCATCAATGTCGAAGAGGGCGCGGATCTGGAAGTCCATAACGTCATCAAAGAGTTCGCTTGGACGTCTGGCCCACTGATGATAAATCATCGAGTGCAGCATGGTGGATTACTCGCGGCGGTCGTGGAGTCGTGGTATCCTGACTCCGACCACTCTTATGGTCTTTTACTCGAGGACGATATCGAACTTTCCCCGCTCTTCTATGCTTGGGTAAAGATGACCGTTCTGCGTTATCGGTTAGTCTTATCCACAAAGGAAGGTAGATATCGTCGCTGACGATGAGCGTCCGACCTCAGCTACGGAGGGCACCCTGCACCCGAAGAACTCTATGGGATCAGTCTCTACCAGCAGACGAACTTGGAACTCCCATTGGAAGGACGCCGAAAGTTCAACGCACAGCACCTGTTCGAATCAGAGGGACTGCCGCGCAATGCCCCATATCTCTCGCAGATCCCATGCAGCTGGGGCGCGGTCTACTTTCCGGAGCACTGGCGCGAATTTCATGCTTACCTTTCTGCCCGCCTCTCCACTGGCCCCGATTGGATTACGGCCGACGCAGACATCGTCCCTGACGTACGTTCCACTCGATGGACGAGATCATGGAAAAAGTACTTCATAGAGCTGGTTTACATGCGCGGATATGTGATGCTCTACCCGAACTACAATGACTTCGTCTCCCTCTCGACTAACCATCTGGAACCCGGCTCGCACGTTAAAGTTGGAATGACTGCCGAATATCTGAAGAAGAAGGCGCTTTTCGAAGTCCCTCTCATGGCTCCAGCAGTGCCATCGCCCGATGGTTTGCGACCCGTGGGCCTTTTGGATATGCCAGGAACGTCTTTGCCCGATTTTGATTCCCTGCCTGTCCTAGACCTTTTGGGACGCCTCACCTCCATCCAATCTGTCCACCTGGTTGGCGCGTCACGCAGAGAAGAAGTCTTCTGCGCGTCGCCGTACTCCGTCCCTCATGCCCTTCATAGCTTGTTCTGCGTTTAGCATCTCATTCATCTCATGCGCTCCGACAATCCGTTGCGTGGTACTGTATAGGTACCGGTGTAATGATACAATTTTCAGATCGATCAACACGATAAATAATCAGACAGCAGTAATTTGAGAGCTATCTAAGCCTAAGGCGTGAAGTAACAGGTTGACGTTCGCAAGTTTGAGCTGCCGGGCTTCCTCGTCCGCTATAAGGCCCTTCGTCGCGGCGGTCACCGCCTCGAGCACCTTCTCGCGAACAGCTCTGACGAGCGCTGCTTGCTGTTCGTTGGAGCAATGCACGGCGAGAGAGGCGAGGAAGGTCCACACGGGATAGTCGAGGGTGTCGGCCGTAGCTGCGGGCACATTGGGAATGCGGGAAGAAGGGAAGAACGAGAGGACTTCCGGCATTAATCGATGGAACAAAACGTCGAACGTGTGTTGCCTATTGGCAACGTATGAGAAACTCGAGTACATATGTCAATGATCGATACATACCATTTTTGGACCTCCTCGGCGGTGGGCTGTTCCTCCGCCAAGGTGCTGGCGCTTTGCTTGATATTTTCCAGGCGACTCATGAACAAAGTAAGGAGCGAGATCCCCGGCTATCAGGCTGATCAGCATCCGTCGGCCTTTATCCAACAGCAGACGAACCTTTGAGCGAGCGATAGCGATAATGTCGTTGCGCTCAAGCATAGTGCTCAACAGCATATGCAATAGCTTGAGGGGCGCGGCGTTCAAGGGCGGGATGACAATGCGCATTCCGTATTCCATGAACGCTTGCGTTTGACGTTCGACATCCTTGCGCTCCTCCGTATCTTCTAGGGAATCTAACAGTGGTGCATTCGCGACAACGTCGAGCTGGCCAAAGCACGCGTGGATTAGGGTGAGCACGATATGAAGCTGGGGGGTGTCCAAGAAGCGCGCTATACGGGTCAACAGCTTCTTGCCCTTCGCAGGGTGAAGTAACGAGATGAACGGATGGGGAACACTGCATGATCTCGTCAGCGTGATTTTGAGGAACTCTACAGGGGACGATATACCTGGTCCCCAAAGGTACCGTAACCCGAAGACCAAGCCAGAGCTCCTGACGGAGGTCCGTGATTTGTTTTTCCCTAGCAAACCACACTGAGACGACGCAGACAGGGTAAGAACATATTCGCGAAACTCACCATTCGAGGTATGCTTCTTCTTCCTCCTGCGGAGGTTGCTCCCTCGCGAGTTTTTCGAGTTGGAGCATGATATCATAGAGCTCCTCAAGGATGGCCAACGCCTCACGACGAGTAAGAGGATCTTTTTGAACGAAACCCTCTGCCTGTGGATTCAAGGCTGTGAGTCTCCTAAAGCGGCGATAGAGCCGATTGTCCTACCGTCACTCCCAGGGACTCCGCACCGAGGCGAGCAGCTTCCTTGACCGAGCGATGACGCTCCTCATGCGCGGCGTCCTCGTCAACCTGCAGAAGCTGGCGAGGTGCCGCCTTGTAGCTACGTCCGGCCGTCTTGCCCAGGGCGCCTTGCAGGTTATGCAGAGCTGCGGATTGTTCAGTTAACGATCGTCGGCGCGCGATGCAAGGAAAACATATCTACTTACCGTTTGAACCCTTCTCCTTCTCGCGAAGCCTCGCAGCCTGTACGATCTTCTCCACCTGAGCCTCCATCTTCTGGATCGCGCTCGCCTTACGGCCCGATGGACGTTGAGAAAAGCCAAGACCAACACCACCTATTCCCGAGCCGAAATTGAGGATGCGCTCCTCGCCTTGCAGACCCATATTGTTCCGCATGACGGCTGTGTACGTCTGGGCGTAGAAATCCTCCGCCCACGGATCCTGCGTCACGAGCTGGGAGACCTGAATACGTGTGATGAAGTCCTTGTCGGATTGCGTCATGAGGTCGTTGTACCGTGACTAACGGGAATGTTGGTGGTATTAGAATCCATGGTGACCAAGAGGAGAGTGTAATTAGAACGCACCATATGGGTGATCTTATTGAGCTTTCTGCGTCGCCGCTCTTCAAGCTGCTCCGCCTGAACGATGCGACGCAGCGCGTCTTGCCTGATGTCGTCCTGTGCACCTTGATCGAAACCCTGCTGCCGCATAAAGTCCGCCTGGGCAGCCTCTGACAATAATCGCTGTTGACGTTGGATGGACTGTTGTAAGGATCTGAGATTTGCGGGTCCGTTGAGCAGAACGCGCTCGTCGTCAAGCGCGCCCAGCATTGCGGCGTTGCCTATCGAACCGTTACTCCTTGACGCCCTGAGACCCTGGGCTTCGTCCGAAATTCGCATCTGTTGGAGTCGTCGGGCGGCCTGAAGCTCATCGGCGTAAGGATCCTGGGCCGTGCGCGTATACCCTGGTGAAAGCCGTCGGAGCTGTTCCTGTTGCATCATCTGCTGCAGCTGCTGTGCCCGAGCTTGACGTTGAAGCTCCTCCGCCTGGAGGCGCTCCTGCAGCGCTAACAGGTGCCGCTCTTCTTCAATCTGGAGCTGTTGCTGCTCTATCAGCATCTCCTGCTGGAGGTGATGATGGAACCGAGGAGACTGAGCGTGCGGGTGCATTCGAGGGGGAGGAGTACCGCGTTGCTGGATTTGTTGAACCTGCGAGACTTGGTGAGCGACGCGCTGCGCCAGTCGCGGAGAGTGGTCGTAGAGTTGCGGCGACGCCTCCCGGAGCTGAGGGGTCAGTCGAGCTGCTAGTGCTTGGGGCTGGCGTGCATTTAGACGCATCTCCTCTTCGATCTCGGCGAGGGTGCGGACGGCCTGCTGCGAGCCACCTCGCGGAACAGGAGGTTGCGGTGCCAACGGCGGCTGATTTCCGAACGGCGCGAACCTCGCAGATTGAGAGGACGAGGAGTGCAAGCTCTGTTCGCCCAGTGACCGACTGGAGCTTAGACCCGTGTTGGATCGCGACAAGACCGAAAACGGTGACTTTTCGCCCCATAATGATTCAATCCCGCCAGCTGCTCGTCGTTCTATGAGCCAGCAGCGTATTCAAACAGGAACCACGTACCCGCACGAGGTGGTTCAGGTTGCTTCTGAATTTCCTGATGCGATTGGGAGGCTTGCGATGATATGCCGTTCAAGGACTGAGTCGAACCAGCGAAGTCGAAGTCCTTCCCTGATCATACCAATTGGTCCGTCATTGAAGAAATCTTGATAAACAAGCGCCCTCACCGACTGGTTCCATGGCCCCGAATGTCTCATCATTGAGCTCATCTCCGCCCTCTTGCAACGCATCCCCAAGACCGTCGTAGCCATCCGTGCCCCATGTGTACTCCTCGATCTTCCCCCCGCCACCATTCAAACCTCCGCCGTTAAGGAACTTGGCCTTGTCGTCTTCAAGAGAGCTTGTTTCGAAACCAAAGAAAGCCATAAAAGCATGAGCGCCTGCTCAGCGATCGTCACAAGATCGTAAAGTCGTCAGCAAAGGAGGTTGGTTGTCGAAACGATGAAGCAGTGTACTGCGCGCTCGTACTCCACGTGCCATGACCGTCCCTCCACGAAGAGTCGCTTGACCATCAGCTACATCCACATCATTACGTGGCCGTCAACCGTAGTAACATGTGTAAACCATCCATGCGCTGCGTTACATGTTTAATGACCACAACAGCTATCGAGTTACACGCAAGCCCTCGGTCTCCTAGAGCGTCAACGGAGATCATCGCGGAAGCATGGCATTTGACGCCACGACACAGAGATTTTGCCACAAGTGTCCGAAGATGGTATGATACAATCTCCCTCGATCCGAGTGACGAGAAGGAAAGGAAAATCGAGATTTAGGTGAGTGCTTTGACCTCCTGCAGGAAATCGAGTATGCAGCTCGAACTCCAGGCCTGGGTGGTACAGGAATCGGGGCAGAACGCTCCGTCCTTGTTGGTGAGCTCAGGAAGGCCCCTCCAAGGGTCCTTCTGGACGTGTTCGCGCGCAGGGAGGAGGGCGGTGTGCAGGTGATGCAACGTCCGCGTCTTGTCATCCTTGCCAGCGCCGGCACGAGTGTCGAAGTGGAGGTACGCCCTCAAGAAGTACCCAATGGGCCACATCCAAGGCGGACCTACACTGGGAATCAGCCAAAGCATCCAACGTAACAAACTAAACAAGCTGACCTTGGTGGTAGTTCCGCCCCTTCGCGACGGCTGGGTCGTCACTGTCGTTCGCATTGTCGTAATACGGCCGGTACTGCAGATCTGCAGGATCGAGCGTGCTCATGCCCAGAGGCGATCGGAGGTGCTTGTCGGCAAGCTGAAGAGCACCCAAAGCATGCACAGGGTCAAACAGTTCCGGCGCGACGGTCATGACGATGGGGAAGTTGGGCCGGAACTGGTAGTCCGACCACTCGCGTCCCGGGCCGGATCGGTATACGTCCTTGTAGATACCGCGTCGGTTCACTAAACTCGTGTTCACGTCATAGAGGAGATCGTCCGCAGGATCTAAGCACACCATGAGTATGGTTCGAAAGGAGATCGAGGTAACGGGTGGTACCTAACGGTATGTAATAGGACTTCTCGAATGAGCTCTGTAGCAGATCGCTCCATTCCTGGTACGTAACGAGGCGGCGCGTTCCATCGACTAGCAGAAGTCAGTAAGGGAAGGGCCCGCACGCGAGGAAAGACTAACTTTCGGCCTCCACACCCTTGAACGGGAACTTGCCCTTCTCGGACAGCTGAGCCAGCCACCTCAAAGTGCTCTTCAGCAAACCCGTGATCTCGACTGGCGCGCCGTCTCGAGGGGTGCCCGGAACACCCTTCGTCCCCGCCTTAACCGACTCGCCCATCTTGTCCATCCACGTCCCGCAGTTGTGCGCGTTACCGCCGAAGATGATGCCCGTCTTCCAGTCGACATCGATATCGATGTTAAAGCCCGGATCCGACATCTGCATGTCTAGGTTTGGCCCCGCGTTATATTCGCGGAAGTGAATGCCATCTGCATGTCGCTGGAGTATCTCTTGGATGATCTCGGCGATCGTGCTCGAGTACGCGTACGCCCTGGGGTCGTTCCAAGGCACCCAGGTATCATCCTTCGGGAACCTCCGAGGAACCGATTCGCTCAGGAAAGCGACGCCCTCCGGAGCGAAGGCGCAGTAATCCTGTATGTTCTGGACCATCCACCACGGCGAGTCGCGCGAGTTGTAGCGAGGAGCCCGGAGCGAGTCCAATAAGTTCGGGATCAAACCGTGCTTGAGCGTGGACGCAAAAGCCTTGATGTGCTTCTTCGCGCCGTCGAAGTTGCCCGTGGTCAAGAACAGTCCACGGAGTGAGATGAACACGTCCCGACCCCAGCACCGGGCCCAACCCGCGGCAAAGTGTGGAAGTCCGGCTGCCAGCGACGGCGTCGGCTTACCCGGGTCAAGGGAAGCAGATTGCACCATGCCGTGCATCTGCACGGAGCACAAAGCAAGGTCCTGTGTAAAGGAGTGACCGGTCGAGACGAATTCAGACATTTGCTCGACGGCGCTCGTCCGCGCAGCCTTGTATGCCTCGGAGATAACGATGGCGAAGTACTTGGGGCGAAGGAAAGGCGGTGCCTCCGACTTGATGCGCATAAAACGCTCCTTGAACCACTGAGCGGGCTTCGCGAGATTTGGGAAGACGTCAACCTGTCTAAGGAAGAGCGTGTCAGGGTTGATATCACCCAATATGAGGTAACCACCTACTTCGACAAACGGGTGTGGACATAATCGAACGCCCAAGGTCCCGCTCGCAGGTTGTTGCACACAGGGTGACCAAGGTCATTGTACCGCATGATATGGCGGAGAGGATGCATCCAACCTTCCAACCCGCAGTACACGAGTTTGCCGATGCCCGGAACATCGTACGCCCCAATCTCTCCCTTGGTTGCGTCGCGCTCTTCGCCTTCAGAGCGGTGAAGGACGACATTCAGGTCGATGAGGTCCAAATCTGCGAAGGCCTCCTGCGCGCCAGCGGCACAAAACGCGTCCAGTGTTGAGTCTAGACCCGCCATCTGGGTCTCGAAGACCATGATGGAACCGGGAGGGAAGTACTCAGGCACGACGAGCTCGGTGTAGGGGCCTTCATCGCCGATGCTCTGAGGAACAACGACCGGGGGCAACTCGTTTAGCTTTCCAGGCAGGCCACGGATGGTGGTACTGTCGCTGATATCCTCGTACGAAGGAATGTCAAGAGTGGCACCGTAGACGAAGTTGACCTTCGTTCCAGCAAGTCTGAAGGGGTTGACTATACAAAGGCTATCAGACACCGTTTTCCTTATGGCAAGAGACCAATGACGTACTGTAGCCTCGGTCCTTCGAGCCTCGAGCATAGGCGGTATGGGCCACAAGTATATATCCCTTCTGTGTGCCCGGTTGCACGCGATGCAAGACAATATACTGCAGCAAGGTCTATCAGTTTCGAGAGATCCGATCGTTCGGATGACATACGTCATTCTCTTGGTGAACATGGCCCTCTTGGTATCCTCCGAGGACCATCTCCGTATGCAACGCGTTCAACACCCTCTTGGCCCTGGCAATGCCGCTGTTTTCGGCCAAGCTCGTCACCTCGTACTTCCTCTTCTCTCCGACGAGGTTGAGCAGCTTGGGGTACAGGTCGTCCAAACCCTTCACCGAACCTGTTGCGCAGAACCCGAACGTCACGAGAGCGGCAGCGGACAGCGCGTGCTCCGCCGAAATCTTGTCCAGATACGATTCATTATCGTGGGTGAGATCATAGAATAACGCGTGCGGTACGCTGCCGTTCAACGGTGTGACGATGCATTGCCTGACCGGTCCCTTTCCGGTTGGGGGAGGTAGTTCTTCCTTGGAGGTCAAACAGGCGCCGTCCATGGAGCCTACATGCATCGATAAATAACGCACACGATGATCTGATGATGCACGTACCTATCGGTTTGCCGAGACCATAGTTGTAGAGTATCCGCGAGAACTCTTTCGGCGAGTCGGCATTGCCCGCCTCGCGGATCAAACTGTTGATGCCCAAGCGGCTCACAAATACCAGGTCCATCTCCTGGCTCCCGGTGAAAAGTTCCGCGCAGATATACAGGTCCGGGTTGACCACACGCGCGGCGTCGAGCATCGCTGTACCGACGTGCAGCGGCGTCGAGTGGCAGTTGTCGATACGGAACCCGTCAAACGACGACGCGAGAGAGGTCACGTACGACGTCATGTACTCCCAGAGCCAGGGATTGGACTCCGGGCCGTCGCCATAACGGAGCTTGACACAGTCACTCCAAGCAATGACCTCGCGACGGAGATAGGCCTTGGAGGGGAGAAGGGCGAAGTTGGCCAGCGGATCTGCACCCCATATCCACCCGTTATTTGCCACGGAGTACTTGAGCGGGTCTTCCTCGTACTTGGGGTACAGACGAGTGAAGTAGGTCTCCACCAAGGGGGACCTAAGCAAAAGGGTCAGAAGAACTCCACCAGCACGAGTAGACCCTGACTCACTCCTTTGAGATCTCTCCAAGGCGAGGACCATGCGCATCTAGGCGCGTATACTTGATCCGACCCTTGGTCTGTTCGAGAGCAGATGCGGTGTCTCCTTCCCATTCCTTGTACAGGTCGACGTTCAAAACGTCCACCACGCGGCCCCACGCCTCCGCGAGCTGATCCGGGTTCTCCCCAAGCTCGACAAACGCCGCCTTCACGAGACCCGCAGCGACACCCCCCTCGACGCGAACACCGAAGCGCTTCGCCAGCTTTCCCAAGCCATCGATCTTGGCCGCCGAGCGAACGATCTCCGCGAGCTCGGTGACGGGTTTCCCGGCGACGGCGGGGCCGTCCCAGGGCTTGACAGAGCCCGCTGACAGCGCAGCCTTGACGTCCTGCTTCTCCCGCTCCGTGTTCAGGACGTAATACTGCCACAGATTGAGACCCTTGATCTCTTCGTGGAACGCGGCGACGAGCGTATCAACGTCGGCCTCGGAGTTGACTCGCGTAGGTAGGCCCTTCGCTGCCAGGTTGCCAGAGAGCGTGAGCATCGCGGTGTCCAACTCGAAGGCCGGGGTTAGGTGGGGAGTGTTGGCAGGGCTGAAGCCTACATGGCGTCAACATAACGTTTTCAACAGTGTGAACGACTAACATACCAGCTTCAGGGTGCTCGAGCAGCCAAGGACTATCGTTTGAGGTGTGATTGAGGACGACATCCGTCAGGCTCAGAAGCCCATACTTCTCCTTGGCGATGGCGAGCACCCTCTCGATCTTCTCCTTGCCTCCGCCCTTGAGATCATCCTTCGACTCGAACAGAGAAGGATCGTAAGTGCTCTGATCCTTGATCGAGTACGGGCTATCGCTGGTCCCGCGCTTCTGCAATGGGGTGTAATGAAGCATCGTGTATCCTCGCTCCTGGGCCTCCTGGAAGTGCTTCTCCCACTGCGACACCGGGCCCATCCACTTAGAGACCACGGTGAGGATGGACAGCCCGTCCAATGGCAAACGAATATCATCAGGCAGGACTTTGAGACCATCGCCGCTGATCTTCCCGTCCTTGACGATGGGAGCGCGCGCCTTCGTCTTGAGGACAGGATCGATGTTGAAGTACCCTTCGCGGCCCTTCACCCGAGAGCCATCGACGTCATTGTCGTACTCGACCCAGTAGCAGAACGCGCCAGCGTGCGAGATGGGCAGGTCGATCTGGATCGGCTTGGAGAAATCGGTAGGTAGCCTGTTTTTTTGTGCGAGGTCAGCGAACGCGTGTTGACAAACCGAGTCGGATCAGTTTCGAATCATAACGCACTTGCGCTCGGAAAAGCGTGCACGATCAAATTGGCCACCGTCCAGAGGAAAGTTCGTCTTGAACACGCCGTTTCTCGACGCGGGGGTACCGGCGTCCAGCGACACACGCAAGATATACGGCACGTACGCCGGAGGCAGTCGGATATACTATCGAACGCAAGGCGTCGCGTCAGATCTCAACGCATACACGAAGAGCATATAATCGCGTACCGATCGCTCCTTGCTGGGCCCGCCATCGGGGTCAAGTCTCAGCTCATACACCTGTATCTCGCCCTCTCCCTCCTTCACCGCGCCCTCGAAAAACTCGAGCCCCTCGTCAGCGGGCGTCTTCGGCGTCTTCGGCCCCGCGCTCGCCGGCGACGCGTCCGGTTTCGGGATCTGCACGCTCGGCTTGACGATCTCTTTCGCTTTGCTCAGCGCCGCCTTGGCCTTGTTCGCTTTTTTCCCGGGCATTCCTTGCGGTGGTTCAACGGACGAGAGGCAACAAGCAGGAGGAGGGGTGGTGTTATGGTAGGAAGAAGTCTGGCTTCCAACCTGCGGCGGTCTTTTAGAGCGTTGCCCGCCAGGGCCTGGAGGTGAAGTTGACGGTTGGATGACTGTGATGTCATGTCGCTGGCACAGAACAAACCGTGGGGAAAAGGTCGATTGCGTTGGCCTTCCCCGTGGGCCAGAGCTGTATCGATATGGTTTATCCAGGTGGAGAATCGGGATGTTGGGGTGAATGGAACGCAAACCGACTCAACGTGTATCACATATATCAGCCCGCAGAGTTCATAGATGCATTGGATCGATTCTTCAGTGATAGTCCGAGAGATAAGTACAGTACAGCGGATCCAGAGTTTAGGGAACTTTACAGCCCGTAGCAGATATGGCACAGTCCAAGAATTGTCTCGTCAACAGATCCCAAGTGAAAGCCCAAGACAAGACACACACGACAGCAGTCCTTCCCAATCATCGATAGACCGGGGTACCGGAAAAACCTTCCTCTTTTCGACTGTCCTTTTGTTCGCTCTTCACGGCGCGGCGGGCGCGTCGGCGATCTCGACCTGGACGCTCAGGTCGTCGCACGCCGCCCTCGCCCGGCTGGCCTCCATGATCGCGCCCCAACTGACGTACCAGTCGTCGCTCGCGTCGAACGCGTTATACGCGAACACCTCCGCGATCTCGTCCCACTGCTTCTTCAGCTTGCTCTCGTCCCAGTGGTCGTGCCCGGACTGCATCGCCTTGCGCATCTCCTCGTCGCGGTTATGCCGCATCGGCCCCGGCGGGATCTGCACCAGCTCCTTGTTCGCCACCTCGCGTTGATTCACCGCCGTGCACCGCAACTGGCGCAGGTCCTGGTACGCCTCCAGCAGCTGCGGTACCTGGTCCCAGTTCTTCAGGCGTGAGAAGAGCGTGCCAAACACGGCGGCGTCTTCCAGCGCGAGACTGCATCCGTGGGTGGAACCCGGCTGTGTGAGGGAAGCACGCGCTCGCGTCAGCGTCGAGAGAAAAGATAGAAGACGATGGCAGGAACCCGTGAGGGTATAAGTAGGCTCACCAGAGTCGGATGGGCGGCGTCGCCGATCAGCACGATCCTCCCCGACTCGTCTACCCACTCCTCGATCATCTCCCGATTGACGACTTTGGTCCGTATGGCGCTCGGCACGAGTTTCATCAATTTTTGTATCCTGAAGACGAATACTTGAGCTTCCCAGTCGAGACATCTGCGCAGACGAAAATATTCACCTTAGGTCGTAAGCTCCAAAGTCCATATCCATCGGGACCTCCTGATCCCAGCCTTCCTCTGCGTCGCTGCCGCTATCCGGCCAAAAGAGATGCACGTTATAGACCTGTCCAGGCCGCTGTTCCGATATCCTTGTCAGGTCCTGTTACCGCTATGAATCTCGGGATTCGGAACCCCCCGGGAATGCACCACACTCACGATCGGATACGCTGCACAGATAAGCCAGTCAGCTCACCGTAGTCGAAATGGGCCCTCTCGGCCTGAGAAAGGAAACGCACCAAGGATACTCCGTCCGTCGCCCATCCACATTGGCCACTGAATCGTCCGTCAACCTCGGACTCCTGCATAACAGGGTTCCAGCACGGGGAGACTGACCTCTGGCGCCTCTGCGAAATGCCTGAGATCGGGATCCTCCATCATCGCTGACATGGGTATCGTCGCGCTGATCCAGCCATCGGTAAGTGGGAGAATTCACTTGACGTATAGGATGCGACCGACGTGTATACGCTCATCCCAACGTCCTCGCCCTGGTCTTCCTCGCCCAGCACCACCGGTCGCACGATGCTCCGGTACCCGTCCGCGCCGATGATGATGTCCGCGCTCACCGCCTCTCCGGACTCGAGCTCGACGGACGGCTGCTGCCCTTGGCCTTCCGGTGGCGCATGCACCGCCCGCACGCCCTTCCCGAACTCGACCTGGGCCCCGGCGGCGGTGGCAAGCCTGTGAAGCATCCGATGCAGATCCTCGTGCTGCAGATAACCACGAGAAAAGAAAAGAAGGGGAAAAAAAACACGGGGGGGCAGCCATACCACTCTCAGCGTCCGGCCTTCTCTTCCCATGCCGAGCGAGGGTATATTTTACTCACATGCATAAGCAAGAAGCTCCCGCCCGTCTCCTTCATAACGTCCTCGTTCCACTCCAGATACCCGATCGTCTCCCCCGTCTCGAGGCTGTTGAACGTCGAGCCCTTGCACCGGATCGTCGACTGCGACAGCTCGTCCTCCAGCCCCCACTCCACCAGGATCTTGCTCAAGTTCGGCGGCACGCGCACGCCCCCCGCCTTCCTCCCCAACCCCGTCTCCGACTTTTCGAGCACCCTCACTCTGTGCCCCGCGCGGGCGAGGGCGAAGGCGGCGGCGAGACCCGATATGCCTGGATATAGCACGTGCGTCAGCGCCGCAAAAAAGACCCAAATTTGGGGAAACCCGCCACACTGAAATGGGGCCGAGGCGGAAAAGGCGGGCCAAAAGAAAAAAAGGAAAAAAAGCAGAAACTCACCCCCGCCGATGACCAAAAAGTCGAGCCGGAGCGAGGCGGTCCTGCTCGTCGACATGGCTCTCGCGCGCGCGTTCGTCTGGGACGCAGAATGCTGGTGATGATGGCGGTGATCCTCGTGTCCGTTCGCGGCGGCCACACTGGCAGTCGTCGTCGTCGTCGTGGCAGAATGAGGATAATGGGAAGAAGTCGGGGAAGAGGCGTGAGACGGCGGCGAGGCGTCGGTTCCATCAGGAGCATGAGCAGCATATGGACGGTGGGTGGTTCCGACCCCGTTTCCGTTCGCGCGGGCGGCGAGGATCTCGACCTCTGCCCGCTCGGATACGCTGCTGATTCGGCTCTCGCCGTTGATCGCGCCCGGTGTCGCGCCCTGGGCTCGCGGGTGCGGAACTGATTCCGGCGTCTCGCGGAGGAGGCCCGGCATTGTTGACGAATCGCTCTCCCGAATTCCGCGATTGCGCTGGGCTGGGCTCCACCGATTTCGCGGCGATCTGTTGTTGTTTTCTTTTCGAGAGGAGGGTTCGATACCGGTTGATGTGAGCGAAAAAGGGCGCGCCCGAGTCGTGTGCGTTAAGGACCGTCGGCCCCTGTCGATCAGCGATGCAGTCTCAGACGACCTGCAACGGGTTTCGGCGTCGATACAGCGAGCTGAGCAAAGGCGGGCGCTATGGTGCTGTTGCTAGAGCCCAAGGATAAAAACGGATGATCCGACCCCGGGTGAACCGTTGCGCGTTCGGCGTAGAATTTCCAGGGCGAAGTCGGCGACGGTGGCACAGAACTGGGTTGGACAAGTCGGAGACGCAAGACATGACCACGTTTTGAGTATAACCCATCGCGTTAACAGCGAAGAGAAGGGATCTTTCGCACCTCGCTCGCAATCAATCAATCAAGGGGTTCCAGCATCCATCAACCCCGCCAGAAGGGGACGAAGAACTTATCAGCGAACGCCTGGGAGGAATGCCCAAGCCCGCCGCTAGCGCTATTTATCGCACCGCGTTCCGCCCCAACTGACCGGCGACTTGCGATATCCGCGGCGCCTTGGCCGGAATCGGGAACGCTTGGGATCCCATCTCGGATGTATATGTTGGATTTACCATGTCAAATCCGCTCCCGCAGCTCACAATAATATATCCCGGTCTGTCCATCCCTCCGCCCGGCGGGAATCAAAAGCGTGCAACCGTCCGTGCCTGCCTCCCACGCCGTCCTGCTGAGCCTGGATTGCCATTACGTAACCCAGATTCGCCTTGCCTCTTACAGCCACCACGCGCTAAGCCAAGTCCCCTCGTCGGCGCAGAGGCGCATCGCAGCACATGCCTGCTCTCAAGTTGCGCGGCTCGCCCGGTCCCTCCTCGCCCTTCTCATGGGACAACGTACCGTCTCCGCCTCCTCTCAGCGAGGCCGAAGCGAGCAAGCTGCCCTCGCCGCCCACATCATGGCTCGCCGCGCAGGACATGAAGACGTTCGGCGCCCAGCCACTGCGATCGGAGTTTGGCCTGGTCAGGTGCAAGGAGTGCGGTAAACCGGTCCTGCGGAGCGCCGTCACCGAGCACGCCAGTAAGTCACGTCCGCACGAACAACCCACCAACCCGTTCAACGCTTCACAAATCCCGCCCCCCCTTTCACGATCCTCCCCCCCCTTTTTGATCGCGCCCAACGCTCACGTTCGCCTATCTCCGACAGGCAACTGCAAGACGATCCGGAATGGGGGCGCGAAGAAGGCGGGGATCGGGGGTGAAGTCGACGGTACGCGTCCGGGGTTTGCAGATCTCCCGGAGGCAAATCTCATTGGCTAACCTACGCCGGGATTACATACGACAGATAAGAAGGGGAAGAAGCGCAAGGCGTCCGACGAGCCGCCGGACGATCCGTCCCAGCCGAAGAAAAAGAAGCTGGTGACGCCCAAGGTGACAAAGGGCCGTTTCAAAGGGCCCGTCGACCTCGATAAGCAGTGCGGCGTCATCAACGACAAGAACCTGCCCTGCTCGCGATCCCTGACATGCAAATCGCATTCCATGGGCGCCAAGCGCGCCGTGCAAGGCCGCTCGAAGGACTACGACGTCCTCCTCCTCGAGTGGAACCGGGCGAACAACCCCAACTGGGTCGAGCCCGTGAAGAAGCCGACGAAGGAGGAGCGGAAGAAGGAGAAGGAGCGCGAAAGGGCGGAGAAGAAGCGCCTCGCCCTCGAGGCCGCCGCCGCCAACGCGGCCGCGAACGATGCCGCAGCGGCGGGGGAGAAGGCGAAGAAGGCGGGCGCGGGCGGCGGCGGAAGCAAGAAGAAGGCGAAGGCCGCCCCGGTCGCTGTGACCGCCGTCAATGTCGACGAGGAGGAGGAAAACCTGGACGATCTCGACTCCGAAGAGGAACTCGACTCGCTCGTCAAGTCGGTGCGCGCCGCGCAGCAACGCGGGCTCGTCGCGTCGCCGCTGGCGCTGCCTGGCGACGCCAGCGCTTGGTTCGTTGCCAGACGCGAGCGGCTGCGCACCTGCCGGGAACTTATCGCCCAGGCGCTGATGCCGAATCTGGCTGGCGTCCGACCTGGGATACCCAGGTTGGGTTAGACCAGCGCGTTCCCGGAAGAACCTCAGCTCCCGACTACTCTCGCCTCAGTTCAAGTGAACCCGATACCAATCTGAGGGGGGCCATATACCTCCGTGACATTCTGCCTCCACGCCCCCCCACTTGATCCCGACCATAGACGTTCGGCGTTTCAACGCGAATGTACACTTCATCTTCTCCATCATGGGGACCCACCATCACGAACCTAATCTGTCTATACTCTCGCGCTCGCATCGCTCGCATCTGTATAATAGCGCATCACAAAGGAATCCCGGTCACCAGCTTTGATCTGTTCTCGTACCTCCGATGATGACCTGGGCAGACATAGGAGCGCTGATATTGAACGTACTGACGTCGTACTGCCCGGAACCGCTGCGGCACCCGGGCACAGCGCACCGCCACATGCCGCCTTGACGCGTCGCCCACGCCGGCACCTGCCGCAGCGCGTACTCTTCGTCCCGGCATGCGGCATCCCCAGCCTCGTATGCACGGGCGCTTGCGAAAGCTCGCCGGCAATCCCATCCTCACAAGGGCATATAAGCCATGTACAGCGCCCCATGAACGACATCACCCATCCAACTAAATCACTGCGATTAGCAGCATAACCCAACCCAACCCAACCCCGGATCTTCGCTCATCTATAACCACACCACCACCGACATTCATGAGGCCCTACTACTTCAACCCTTCCTGGGGCATGCACCACTGGCACCGCGGGGGCGGACGCGGCGGGTCGCGTCTGCTCTGGTTCATCATCGGCGGCGTCGCCACCGCCTGGTGGATGAAGGGCAGCAGGGAGCACCACGGCTTCCACGCGCACTGCGAATGGCGCAAGCGGCAGCAGGCCATCGCCGAGCAGAGCCAGAGCCAGAGCCACAACCAGGCGCCGCCTCCGACCTACCCCACCAGCGCCCCGCCCGCACCGTCGATCGCGAGCGTAGCGTCCCTTCAGGCCGCTGCTGCGCCGGCCGGCTCGTGGAGCTGGACGAGCACATGGGGAGACGGTCAGCGGCAGATGGGCAGCAGCTGGGACGAGAACCGCGCGAGGATCGAAGAGGAGAAGGAGCGGTTGCGCGACTGGGGCGCGAACGCGGACGAGAAGGTTTGCCGTCGACCGCAAATTTCAAGCGCGACACCCGCCACGGCCCGCTGACGTTGATCCACTTTTCTATAATAGATGATCGAGATGTCCGAGAACGCGTTGAACACGGTCGTGTCGTACGCCGAGGCGCTCAAGACGGTCAGTCATCGTTTGTATCCCGCTTAATCTGACGTCCTACTCACTTCCGGTGCTTACAGAAGATCGCCGAGCATCGCGCGGAGCGTGAGGCCGAGAAGAAGCGCGCAGCAGAATTGGAGGCGCAGGCGAGGGCGAACCCACCTCGTTGGGTTTGATCTCGTCGATCCCCTGTCTGATTTATTCTTATGGCCACTCTCTACACTGTACCCACACTCATTCTCCGTCTCGCTGCTCAATGTAATACTATCACATTAATCTTATCCTTCGACATTATTATTCCTCGGTCCGCTATCCCGATCATGAGGGACACTTTCGCAACGCGTCACCGCGTTTATCGGTGCTACCATTCTATCCGTTTTCCCTTGACGAGGTCTAGGAACTGTCCACCAGAGTTCTCTCGGGTTGCCTCGTCGACGCGAGCGAGCAGCTCAGGTGCGACTTCATCCACGCTTCTGTACGGCACCTGACGCAGCATCTCCTCTTGCGACAGGATGAACTCCGCTGTCATCGCTCTGAGAGATGATACGAAATACGGACGAAGGGCGAGCGCATACCGGCGTCGGTCATCACTGGACCAGGGCAAATAGGGAAGACAACTTTGGTCAGAGCGAAGCGATCAGCATCGTATGCACACCCTGATAAACGGACCGCGGTCGACACACCAAGCCCATCCTTCTCGTGTTCGAAATGGAGCTTCCGCGCAAGATAGTTTTCCGCTGCTTTCGACGTGCCGTACGGAAGCATGCGCAGCGGGATAGGCGCCCCGGTCGCGATGCTACCCCCCGAAGACGAAATCATCACAAACTTCGGCGACGAGGTGCTTGCGGCCAGCAGCTCGTAGCACGCTCGGAACAATATGAAAGTTCCGACGACGTTGACCTCGAAATGATTGCGAAGCTCCTCCGCGGGGGTTTCCAGAGCTGACGCGACCGAGCTGTTGATCCCTGGCAGATCGTCGCTGATATTGGAGACACGACGTCGTGGTGCAGACACAAGGGCCCGCTCGTACCTGCGTTAGCTATCACGACGTCCAGACGGCCAGCCACGCTCTTGATGCGCGCCACTGCAGCTTTGTTGCCAGCTTCATCCGAGGAGACGAGCTGCACAATGTGAACCTTGTCCGGCTTCGCCGCGGCCAACCTCTGCAGCTCTGCAGCAGCAGATGGGTTCCGTGCGCCTGCAAAGACAACGGTGTCTTCGCGATCGGCCAAAGCTTTGACTAGACCCAACCCTGAGACAGACACATGCGCGACAACGAACCTCGACGCTGTCAAGGAGAGGGAAGCACGACGAACCTATTCCTCGACTAGCACCGGACACAAGGTAGACGTATGGAGGCATAGCCAGAGCGATAACCCGGACAATCTGGCCGCTACACCACGGTGACCATGTACTTATAATTCACCACCCGACTTGCGTGGGAGACGAACAAGAGACCGTGTATTCGAACGATAGACTGCGGCAACGCGCTCACACCTTAGACTCGGCCATGGCGAGCTTCGGGAAGTGACGATAGAGACCGTTCGACTCTCGCCGTTCCCCATAAGTAGCCGCTTCAGGGCCACTGGATATTCCAGATGATCATACATTCCCAAGCAATGGAGCTTACCACTCGAGCTTCTTGCCGGTATGATTCAGAAACTGGCCGCCCGCGTTCTCGCGCGTCGCTTCCTCGACCAAATTAGCGATCCTTCGACCCCCCTCCCCCCTCGTCAGGAGAGAATACATTGGGCGGGGAAAAATTGCCACCATTCATGCTCGTAGTCTCGGTGATCGCATAACATAACAACTCATCAGCGTTGATTCAGCTTGACATGTTGCGTAGAACCACTTACGCATGCCTGTATCGACCGGCCCAGGCTCAATGGGGAACGAGCCTGATACGAAGTGGCGATGTCAAATAAACAAAGGGCGAAGATGCGGCGGTCTCAGAACTCACTTAGGCCGTCGTTAGCGTACTCAACGTGCAGTCTTCTTGCGAGATAGTTGACCGCCGCCTTCGACATGCCCGTACGGAAGGAGGTGCACCGGAACCTCCGTCCCCACCGCGATGCTTTCAACCAAAGAGGATATAATGGCGAACTTCGGATTGGCGGTACTGGCCTTCAGCAGCGGAAAGGCTGCCTGGAATGGAATCAATGGGCCTATGAAATTGACCTGTACGATGTGGGAAGCTTAGGTAGCTTTATGGGATTTTGACCCACAACAATTCCACCTCGAAATGGCGCGAAACTTCGTTTGGATGCGCTTCGTGGCCCGGACACACCCAACTTAGGATACCTGCATGCCTATCGTAAACGATTCTTTCTGTAGTTTGTCCGCGCCGCCTACCAGTGTTGGCAATGACCGCATCGAGATGGCCGACCTTGATATCAGCAATGGCACGTTCATTGTCTGCCTGGTCGGCAGACGTAAGTTGCACGATGTGCAGCTTCCCGGGATGCATCTCTCCCGGGTCCTTCAAAGCGTCTGAGGATGACGGATTTAGTACGCGAAAACTACGACGTTGTCACGAGACTGACGATGCCCAAGCCTAAAACGACTTCAGCACCGGCCTGCGCAAGTACGAGGCGCGCGGGCGGCCTGACCGATGCCACGGTTTGCTCCGGAGACTAGATGGACGGCCGGTGCTATGCTGTGAGGATGCGCGGGGATGGGGATCCGGTAACAGGCCAGTAGGGCATATATAGTCAATGGAACGAACTTGGCTGGCCGTGACGTGTCATTACGAGCAATCCATTGGATGATATACTGCTAAGCAACACAGTGAGAGAAACTTACTGTGTCAGCATCGTGGATGAATGCATGAGCAGTGATGACGGCGAAGTCTAGTCATCTCGAGCTCGATAGTTACTTATAGGCATGAGAAGCCAAGTAAGATTCTACAATATCGTGCTTCTCGCTGCCCGCACGGAACGTAAGAGGAAAGCTTTGAGATTATGTTGAGAAAGGTCTCATGAAGTTGACTCCAGTGTTAGGTGTTGTGTCGTAGACCACTGGCAACTTGAGGCTGAAGCAGCATAGCGCTCGGGTTGATGTCGTAGCGGAATAACCGCAGGTGCAAAGCTTCGCGAGCGAGTCATAACGAAGCTCTCGGGCGTTTGTTCGGTGAAACGGGTGTCTGTCAACCACGCGTCGTGGAGGAAGGAAGGACGGCCCCTGTTCACTCCTTTCCCATTTGTAGCCTAGTCATATGACGCTACCTCGCGGGCTGTAGTCTGTCAGTCAGTCAGTCCACCATCACGATCGTGTCTCCAGGCAAGCGTCCAAGTCTTCGTCGACGACGACGCACCGCGCACGCACATCTTGGCACAACGTCGATCGTGCAGACGCTGGATCAAAGCATAACGATCCGCTTTACTCTTAGATGATGTTGAACCTACCTGGAATCTAGATGAAAGCTTGCAGAGAGTCAATCCGCTCGAATAGCTCGTACAGTTTCGCCACATTGCTCAATAACTCTACACAATATTCACCACTCGATCTTCTTACCGGTATGCTCTATGAACTGCCCACTCGCGTTCTCACGCGTCGCTTCCTCGACAAGCTTGGCGATCCTTCGTCCCACTTCATCGGGAGGCAGAATATCAGGCGGAACGAATGAACCGCCATCGAGGGCTGTTACTGCACAATGTCGATTAGCATTTGCTTAGCTCGATACATCACGTAGCACGACTCACGCATGTCCGTCATCGTCGGACCGGGTTCGATAGAGAACGAGACTGTGAGATCGCGTTGCCCGTATCAACGCTGTGGACGAAGATGCGTCGCGCTTGATGAACTTACCTAGACCGTCGTTGGCGTATTCGACGTGCAGCTTCTTGGCGACATAGTTCACCGCGGCTTTCGACATTCCATATGGTAGGAAGCCGAACGGGATCTCCGTTCCTACGGTTATGCTTCCGCCCAGGGAGGATATGATGGCGAACTTCGGACTGGCGGTGCTGGCTTTCAAGAGCGGGAACGTTGCCTGGAACAGCACCAGAGGGCCTATGGCGTTGACCTACAGAATGAGGTTGATCATAGAACAGGCGGCATCGCTTCAAATGGCTTACCTCAAAATGACGCGCAACTTCGTTCACGGGCGCTTCAACGCTCGGTCCGACCCAGCTCAAGATGCCTGTATGCCTGATATTAACAACAGTGGCCCCACCTCGCCGTGCATGTTTATCTACCGGCGTTGGCGATGACCGCGTCGAGGCGTCCGACCTTGGCCGTGATCTCAGCAACAGCGCGTTCGTTGTCCGCCTTGTCAGCGGATGTAAGCTGCACGATGTGCAGCTTCCCCGGATGTTTTGCTCCTAGGTTCGTGAGCGCGTCCGCAGACGATGGATTGCGCACGCCGGCAAAAACCACGACGTTATCCCGAGCCACCAAGGCAGCGACGATGCCAAAACCTACTCGACGTCAGCATCCCTTGAACGAACGAAGTCTGTATGCTATGCTGACCGAGGCCGCGGTTGGCTCCGGAGACAAGATATACGACTGGTGCCATATTATGATGAGGTACAGCGTGATTATGAGAGTCAGTAAATTTGGCAGGTCGTGCATAAATAGCCAACTGCGCGAACTTGCCGGTGGAGCGGCATGGTGGAGCGATACGTTGGATATCGGCTTGCTAAGCTACTGCTTAGCAAGATCACTGGGGCCCTGTTGTTGTGTCAGCACATCAGCATCGATGGCGAAAGCCGGGTTGTCTTGCTAAGTATCGAACGAACATGGGAAGGGCGTTTGATTCGAGTCTCCGCCATTACTAAGCAGAGTACGCGTCGCGAAGGCGCAGCACCTTGCACACCTTGGGCTGTGTCGACGAGACCGCTTGATACAACGGCTTATTCGCTGGCTTTCCATGTCGGCCCGTAGTAAATCTTGTCCGGCATGAATAGAATGAATCAGGTGGCATAGTATGCGCTGGTTCGACATTTTCGGCCCAGAACGCGAAGATTTCCAGACAATCAGAAGACACAAGCCAGAAAGCCGCTAGCACTGCTGGTTTAGTTATACAAGCTCGGGTGTGCAGAGATGCTCTGACGTGACTGCCTCAGTGCAGGTGCATGGCAACTTGGAGGATGGCTCCTCTGCTCCCTTCAAGTTCCTATTCCACACTCCGATCATGTGATCTTCTCGCGCGCGTGACTTCGCCGACATCGCGGACACGCATGCACCACCCTGAAAGCAATTCATTGTTCTGCCCCTGCTTCTGTACTACCCAACGAATTACTAAACAGACATCATTCCTCAGGAATTGATTTGAGTCCCGGAGCACTCATACCATGGTGGCACATGTACAAAACGACAAGTTCTCTCAGACGGCTGGCTCAATGACGAGGCTCTTCTGCTAATGATCAGGTCATTCTGAGTGTGCTTCTGCAATGCATGAGTATGTATGATCATTGCATGACTGCGTGAGAACCAGGTGAGTAGCAGGGAGCTGCGCGTATAGGGTATGCCACTTACACGCCGATAGGAGGACTCATTCCTGTTCTGTGGACTATAGCGTCTGTCCCTGACAAATATAATCATCACCATGCTATACGGGCTGCGCGGCGAGCCTGCCGCAGAACTTGACAAGTTTCGGCATGTTGCTTCTTCTCCGATGCTTCCTGCAGGAACTCTCGTCCAATGTCTTTCGGAAACTGTAGCAAAGGTCGCTGATGCAAGTCAAGACACAGGGGTGATATCTACTGTTGACCACCCATAGCAGCTTGGATTTTGTGGGGCACCAGGTCGTGCCAACCTCATGCCTTCCGGGTAATCCCAGTATGTCTTGTGGCCATCCCCACCCAGGCGAGTCCTCGACTTGTCTACCATTCCGAAGATGACCCCGCATACATGATTCTGTGGTTTGACTACTCATCTTTCGAAGTCAAAATTATCTGCGCAAACTGTTGCAGCACCAGATCATGTCGCAAAATACAATAATACCAACATGTGACCATGATGCTCTCAGACATGAACCTACACAAACATCATTTTGCTCGGTGCCTGCTCTCATTCACACTGTCAGAATGGAAGGATATGGAGGAAGGATCTCACCTAAGTGGTCTTGATATGGCTAGATGTGGAGAGCATCCAGATCTCTCCATGCCGAACTGCAGCACACTGTCGGAATGTTAAGATGTCAGCGACACCCTCCGCTTGCCCCTTGCAAACTGAGGGGCAACCTATGGCCGAAATCACCACTATTGCTGGTGTTGCAATCACTATCCATGGCCTGCTGAGCGCCGTGTGGTCTATGCTCAAGGTTGCATATGACCTTTATGGAGAAGTAGACTCCCGAAGCACGCAACTGAAGTGCTCTTGGATTGATGTAGCAATCTATTGTTCAGTTGGCAACGTGTCTCTTATGGACAAAACCCGTTTGTAGGCATTCAGCGAAGAAAACCCGTATATAGGCATTAATCCTGCCGGTTTGGTATTTGCTGTTGTGGTAGATAATCGCCGGCATGAGCGACCTGCATGTCTAACTAACTATGGTGTTTGGGACATAGTCCAGAAGTGCTAGGCAATTGACCCGGTGCAGCGACCGAGCATTGGCCACATCCAAAGCATACTCTCAGGACACTCAATGGCTCAGTCCCTCAGTACACCATTTGTCTCTCCTTCACATCCTTTCTTATTGCTGTTCATCAAATGTGGATCGTGCACCCCAATCATCAGAATCAACGTCACCCTTTCCCTCCCACCAGAGAGAGATCAGGACCTTGGGGTTTCATTACGGAGATCTGGGATGATTGCAAATTGATGTTCTCTAAGCCAACTTCACACATTGCAGATACGATTCTCAATGGAATTGACCCATGAAATCAGACCATAACTCCCCAAAGTTCTCAGTATTTGTTGTTGAATCTTCGATATTGCCCCTGAATTGAAAGTCGCCCATTAGGTTGGTATAGTTCTGTGTATCAGCCGCGACCAGGATGGGCGTTTGTTGCGTGCTATCCAGCACTCCTAAGGCGACGTCTGCCTGACGCCAGAGGTCATGATCCGCAGTCGGGTGCTGGCCCAGTGCCCAATCCGATACCGGAGGTGTTTGTCAGAGACAAAACTGCAGGGCAAAAATACTGGAAATGCGGAGGTCCGATGTGCGGGAAAAGCAGAGATGAACAATACAGAAGCTGAACGGGTCTGGGACAAGTGGACCTAAGTCCAATGAGCAAGGGTGTACTGCCCAGACCATGACACAGAGTTGGATGGATGCGATTCAGAGGCAATATCGAGAAGAGTGGTATGCTGACGTCGGAGCAAAGTCGGAGCAACGTCGGAGCAAAGTCGGAGCAACGTCGGAGCAAAGTCGGAGCAACGTCGGAGCAAAGTGGGGCAGAGGCGGACTTGACCCGAAGGGTTGCTACACACTTGAGGTCTGCTTAGGAGCAAAGGGGAAAGCCTAGTCGATATCGGAACTGAGCAATATCGTACAGACAAGCTGGTATAAGTACTAAGCAGAACAATAGAAAAGTCGGAGATGAATCTATCATCAGTAAGACAAAGGGAACATGGAAGAAGATCTAAAGTACATGTGGAACACAAAGGGAATCAGTGCCAAGGAAACCGATCACAAGGAAGAAGAATACAGTGTGAGAATAAGCAAGGACGAACAAAGGGAACATATGGGGAGTCAAAGATACGAAAAGTCCACCGGAGATCCGTTGGAGGACCACAGGAAAATGAGCAGCGAAGAGCGGAGGAGGGCGTCGGAGGACAGTCGGTGATAGTAGGTAATGGTCGGCGATGATTGACCCATGACAGTGTTGAGGCAATGCTAACATCTATAACATGTTGATGCTCCACTGTTGCCCACAGGTCCGGACGCGATACCGTGCCTTGAGCAGGTGCAGGGCTCGAGGCCGGCATATGTCTGACCAGTCGGGTCTTCCCGGACAATGTGCTGAGAGTTTCATCGGACTGTCCGGTCTCAGTGGAATCAGCCCGAGCCGGCTCATCGTGCATGGATGCAAGTGCCCTTTTACGTAGCTAGTGCAAAACAGGCTACGTGAGGCGTCAACGTTCCTGATAGGACCGAACAGACATATGGTGTTGCTCACGAGTATCCGAGTGGTACGCAGGTCATCAGCGACCAGTTCGAATACCTCACAAGCTGATTCAAAGCTGGCGAAGGCTGATTCCAATAACGACAGTCGAGGGCATTTGACTGGAAGATATCCAAGCAACACCTGAAGGGCATGTCAATGACTGTCACGGGTCAATCATCGCCGACCATTGCCTACTATCACCGACTGTCCTCTGATGTCTCCTCCGCTCTTTACCGCTCATTTTCCCACGGTCCTCCGACGGATCTCCGGCGGACTTATCGTATCTTTGACTCCCCATGTTCCCTTTGTTCGTCCTTGCTCATTCTCACACCATATTCTTCTTCCTTGTGCTCGTTTTCCTCGGCACTGATTCCCTTTGTGTTCCACATGTACTTTAGATCTTCTTCCCTGTTCCCTTTGTCTTACTGATGATAGATTCATCTCCGACTTTTCTATTGTTCTGCTTAGTACTTATACCAGCTTGTCTGTACGATATTGCTCAGTTCCAATATCGACTAGGCTTTCCCCTTTGCTCCTAAGCAGACCTCAAGTGTGTAGTGACCCTTCGGGTCAAGTCCGCCTCTGCCCCGCTTTGCTTCAACGTTGCTCCGACTTTGCTCCGACGTCAGCATACCACTCTTCTCAATATTGTCTCTGAATCACATCCACCCGACTGTGTTGTGGTCTGGGCAGTACGCCCCTGCTCGTTGGACTTAGGTCCACTCGTCCCAGACCCATTCAGCTTCGGTATCGTTCATCTCTGCTTTTCCCATGCATCGGACCTCCGCATTTCCGATATTTTTGCCCGCAGTTTCATCCCTGACAATGACGGAGTAGCTTCTTCACAAAATTCGGCATACTGCACAAGAGAATAAATGGGTCAACCAGAAGAAGGAACATGCTGACATGCATTTGAATTGAGCGTACATGCTGCGGGCCAGGGTAACAAAAAACCTCGTGCAGTTGTAACCGGCAATCACAGAGTGAGTGTGACGAGCGACGTGCAGGGGAACGCCCGTTGGGGTTACCAATCACTTAGACAGTCGGAATGTCCAAGCAACTGGGTAGAGTTGGAGGGAAAGGCAGCGTCGTCGGCACTTACTATAGGCAAGAGTATACGCAGATAAAGAGGAGCTGAGCTCGACTCAAGGTCACTGGACACGAGGTTGACAGTGACACAATGGACACCTAATGGACTCAAGGTCACACACTAAGTCCCCAAGACACAAGTTAGCATAGTATCTAATACAGAGATGGTTACTCACCTAAGTCCCCAAGACACAAGAGGTCGAGATGGGGACTTAGGGCGAGCTACAGGGGTCTTATATACACAAATCCATGGTCCAAGAATAGTACAAGAGAATCACATGCAGGGCACAAGGATGAGTAAGACCGACCCACTTAGGTGGGTCAGGATTATGAATCAAGGAGTTAGAAGGAATAACGAGTCATTGTTCATGAGTAAGCGGAACAAAACTCCGGTGGCTGTGCAGGGCTGTGCAAGGCTGTGCAAGGCAGTGCAGGGCAGTGCAGGGCAGTGTCAATGATGCTGTACTGCTGCCACTGAAGGTCACGTGACTTTGGAAAAGGAAAGGT